TAACTTGTATCATTCAATAAAACTTCAAATTGTTTCACCGCTTCTTCCTCACTTATATCCAACATGAACTTTTCTTGTACTTTCCACACCGCTTTATCAGGTTCCAACTCTATATCTTGAATACCCGCGTCTACCATGAGTGCTATTAGATTGAGGATGAGATTTGCGTTTTTACGAAGTAACATGAGTGCTGTATAGGCGAGTGATTGAAAACGAGCGTAATGAGTGGAAGTGGTTCCTCCCATCGCGTCTACCATTTCTTTGCATACCTTGACAGGAGGTGGGTATGGTTTAGGGTCACGACCGAGTATGTAACCAAAGTCGACTGGAGGTTAGCAAAGTTTCGCTCGCTACTACTATGGAAATATCAGGTTGGGTACTCCTGCGTTATACGAGAGCGTACGCTATCGCCATAGATTAGGCTGACAACATCGGGAGAGAAATGACTCTCAGCCATGACCTATATGGAAGTTACTTCACTGGGATGGAGAAAATCGAACAAGTCTCACCATGGAAGAAATGTCCTGTACGTCAGAGAATGATACTCTAGGGAACAGAAAAGACTTACCATCCGGAGCCAGCATCAAATTGTCTAAATGGCGATCTCCCACACCTAAAACATATGTGAGGACGGAATATCCGGCTGTCGATTAGTCAAAACCTCAAATACCCTCAACTATTTCTATTCAGTCTCAAGGATGGAAGGCAGAAAATGTCTTTATGTTCAAGGGAGGGATAGGAGTGGGGACAACTGGTGCAAAAAAGTTTAGTCGAGACTCGTAGACGGGTGGAGCGACGATGAATAAAGGAAACAGGAAACAGAAACATAAACAAACAACTCACCACAACTTCTCACAAAAGTATCCATCACATCAGCTTCTATACCGTAACTTCCTAACGCTCCTTCATCCGCATGATCCACCCTCAAATAAGCTTGTAAACTTCCATACTCCGCCATGATACTAGCCAAACTTTTACTAGTAACAAATTGAACCATACCTTCATTCGTACTCGTTGCCAAAACACTATAAGGACTTAATCTCAAATCAAGATTCTCCTTGCGTAACAGACGATCCATCAAAGCGAAAAGTTGGATTACCAATTGATCTTGTCGTAAATCATCACCATTCTTAAATATTATAGGATAATCAGGTGAGATGATATTGATCCCTTCTCCATCTACGTCATCTTCTGATAAACGTGGTGAAGTATCTGTAGTTTCGAACCATAATAACAATGGTGATAAATTCGATTTGAAAACGGATGATTTTTCAGGTGTGATGGAAGATATACTGATGTGTGCGTTGATTGGCCATGGGAGTGGTGAAGGGAAAGGACATAAACCATGTTTTGGATCTGCTAGAAAAGATCGAAGTTTATCGATTTTCTTGGTACGAGAATCTCTTGAAGCTCGGATTTCTTTAGCACGCGTGGAAAGTGTTTCTACTAGTTCACCTTGACGTTTTAAAACTTCTCTTTGGATATTACCCTCAGGTGTCTATACAATGAGCCTTTATCGATGACGAAAGATAAAAAGGAGAAAGAAGGAAAGAAGTATGACTCACTTCAGATAGTTGTTTCATGAATTGGAATGCCACCCTGGCATACATTTTAGACAATGGCATGGTGACTCCACACTCAATCATCAAATACCAATGAAATGCCGTTCCTAATATAGGATTCGCAACACTTCGATCAATTAGGAACTTCGACAAACCACTATCATCTTCCTCATTGATTTCTGGAATCTCTTTACGTTTTTGTGTCTGTCTACCTCGACCTCGAACAGTATGCACAATCACAGATGGTTCGAATTTGAGAGCCTGTACCAGTTGTAGTAAATATAACAAAAGTTCCTCATCATCGGCTCTTTCTAATCGACGAACAGCAAAAGCCCTGACTCGGGAATCGCTGAAGCCCGGACCGAGAAGTTCGAGAGCGTCGTCCATACCTATCTCTTGGCCCCAGAGAGGGAGTAGTTTCTCGACAGCTTGTTTCGCTTCGACTGGATCTGACCATGTGACGCATTTGAGGAATTTAGTGAGCGATCGAGGGGAGCGGAAGAGAGAGAAACGGAATTTCCACAGAAGATCTTTGTCTAAAGGTGATAATTGGGCAGTGGGCGGGAATCTGAATATTTCCTAAATAAATCAGCAATGTCCCCCTCCCCCCTTTTCGTCCATGTTTCAAATCAACAGAAGGAGTCATCAGGACTCTTCTCACACGACTTGATGATACGATATGGATAGACAGGGCAGTAAAGAAGTAGATGGGTGAAACCCACATTGAGTCGATCTCGATCTGCTGGACCAGGCTTGAGATCCCTTCCTTCGTCCCCCAGCCTCTGACTCCGAAGTAATTTCCGATGTTTGACTTCTACCGGATTCTCTCTCAAAGCATCCGGATCGTATCGTCTCCACAAATATGGACCTGAAGACAAAAAGTCTGCTGGAAGTGCGGAAGTTTCTCTGGCATGAGGCAAAGGAGGTATGATAGGTGGGGGTGGTAAAATGATGGAACTTTCCTACATTGTCAGTTTATGACTAAAAACGTCTTCCCATCACCTCACCTGCTCGGAATAGACAATAGGAAAGTCGAATCTTGGTAAATCGACGTAAAGATAAAGTTTATCTGACTTGGATGATTCTTCCTATATCGTCAGCTCATTGATATGAAAGAAACTGTAAAACTGACGGCATGAATCTGTTCAATTTGACGGAATGTCATACGATCCAACCAGTCAATTTTTGTTATGTCACCTCGTTCGTATTCCTTGACCAACTGTGATACTAAGCTCCTACTTTCAATGACCTGTATTTGACACTGACCTCTTCCAATCTACCCATCTCATCTTGTTCATCCAGGGGCGTATCACTAGGAGTTGAGGTATCGGGAGATGTATCAGCTTCTTTACCTCTGTGAACGTATAATCTTTGTTGACCGCGTTTCAAAGTCCTACATTCGTCAGCTTGATGCAAGGTTGATTCCAGCTGACCTATTGGGAGAGAATAAAAACATCGTAGACCCTCCTACAGGTACTGGATCCCCGGGTCCTTGTACATCCCAAATTGTGAATGCGATTCTAGAGTTGAGTAACAAAGATGGGTATGTGATAGGTAATATGACAGTGTGGTTCCATCTTTTATATCAGCGAATCATTTCCTGAATAGAGAGACGCTGAAGAAGATATACTTGTAAGATTTCGTGTATTCTTTCCAAGGTGTTCGGAAAGATAAAGTGGCTGGTTGGTCGTTTGTCCATAATTGACATGTGACGTATAAGTCAGCAAGACCACTGTCATTCATGAGCTCCAACCTCAACATCAGTGAAACAGGCGCTCACTCGGTTTGTATACCAGTATGAGAGAGTTCGGGATGTTCCAATAGATCCGTATATGATTTCTTGGGAATACGACCTTCTAGAGAGGTTCTTGGTTGGTTAGCGCACACCAAGCGTTGAGATTGATTGAAACGCAGACATTTTCAAAGTGACATGAAGTTTGAGGTCACACAACCTTGCAAAAGAGTAGTCTTTGACCCTTGACGGGTTGGCCATGATGTTCAAGTATGTCTCATAGTCGATGTGAGCTTGTATGCGGTATACTGCTACTGTGTAGTGGTAGAGAGAAAGAACAGAGAGATAGGGAGAGTGGGGGGGAAATCAAGTCCGCCGTGTAAGCCGAACTGACTGACCGACGATAAAGTCACCCCAGACACACCCCCTTTCCTCCTCATGTCCACCATATCATCACCATCTGGACGTTCATATCTCTACTTTCAACTTGAAAACTACCTTCATCAATCAGTGGTAGTCATCCTACACCTATCCCATAATGGCACCAAATACCGGATCAACATCTTCCAAACCAAAAACAACCTCACCATGTCCTACCCCCACCCCTGGCCCTTCACGCCCACCTGTACCTCAAACACCTTTACTCAAACCTCATACCACCTTCGCCACCCGTCCTCGTCCCACTGGTAAACCCACTCCTGTAGCAACGAGACGGGTGGCCAATATGACAGAAGGAGGAACTTCAAACCCATCTCAACCGAATTTAGTTAATGGAGGAAGGAAAGAAAAAGGTAAACCCACACTTGATTGGATTCGTAAATTAGGTACTAGACGAGCTACATTGAGTGACATACCACCTTCTTCTTCTTCTTCCCCTATCCCACCTTTACCTTCTTCTCCTCCCGTCACAAAATCATCTCCTCGTACTTTACACCTTAATCTCGCTCGAGCTGGAAGATCCAATGGACCTAATGCCAATAACATTCCATCTAAAACGACCAACACACGTGTATCTTCTCCAAACAGAGCGATTTTAAGAAGAGAAGATACTCCTATAGCTTCTAGTTTCACAAGGACAGAATCACATTCACTGAGATCATATTCACTTTCTGCCGTATCTCCATCTGAACGTCAAGCCAACAATCCTTATCCATCTTTACCGGTTTCGATGCGACCTGTACCTTCATCAGTAACTTGGTCTAGGACTTCTTCCGTTTCTTCCGAAGGATCATTTCATCGACGAAGAAGGATTTCTTTAGCTGATGATGGTTCGTCATATCGACATAGTCGTTGGGCAGATGAAGATGCTTCGATTAGACCTATGCCACCTAATAGTCACCCAGGTAGTCCTACCCCTTCGACAAGTTTTGCTTCTCCACCAGGAAGTATAGCTGCCAGTGCTGGATTAGTGGAACATACTCATGGCAATCATGTTTATCATCGAGGTGGAGTAGAGATGCACAGACCTAGAACACATCAATCTATCTCTAGTATTGGGGCGGAATTGAGTATGGCATCTGGATCAAGTGAAACGGATGGATATGGAAGACATAGTAGACCAGATTCTACAAGTACAAAACCTACGACTATAGTCAGTTTTGATTCGACACATATCGGTCATATCGCTCAAGTATCACCACTCACACCACCCCATCATCATCATCATCAGACACACCCTCTTACTCCAAATCATGATACCAACAGACAAGTAGATCCGGATACACCATCAGCGAATTCTACACCTCCAGCTTCAACATTAGCTTCACCGGTTTCAGCTGGAAGTCCAAATGTCGGTATTTCTCATAATATACCAACGGTGATTTCATCACAAGCACCAAAACGTTCCATGCCTCATCCTAGGGACAATCCTCATCCTTTATCTCCACCAGAAGCAAATGCTTCTACTTTGACTCTTGCTTCCTCTACATTCGGTTTGGTACCTTCACCAATGCACGCTTATCAATTGGGACATTCGAGTACTTCTCCACCTCCTTCATTTCACAATATGCCCATGGGTAATTTACTTTCCGGTCCGTCGACCCTTCAACAATCTATGGCAATGGTATCACCTGACATTCCTCTTGCGCATCTTGAAACCCAACAAGTCCCTCCTACGGGCTCAGCGTCTCCTAACCACCTTGGTCACAACGGATCTTCTTTCTTAACAGAACCTCATACATCGAGTCCTGTCGATGACGCTCAGCAACCTGATGCTGCTGTCGCTGCTGGTCCTGGTGTCAATCTTAACGATTCTACCTCTGGTCCTGGTACTGCCGGTCCAGCAGTTGGACATGGTAATCCTGTCAATGTGGGCGTTATCAAACCCCCTGTTCGTCCCACTTCTCTGGTCACATCACCCAGTATCACCTGGGCTCGAGAACCTGATCGTCCAGATCCTTATGCGCCCAGTATCGCCCTCAGCGTCCAAGTCCCCTCCGTGCGTACAGGTGCGAGTGTTTGGGGTGGAGGAGGTAGAGTAGCGGATAGGGATGCGAGTGTAAGGGCTATACGGAGGAAAGGGAGTTGGGAAAGTTATGAGAGTGGATGGTCTTGGAGACCTTCGTCTGTGGCGGTGGCAGGTGGTGGGGGAGGTGGAGTTCTAGGTGGAGGTCAGGGTGGAGTTGGGGGAGGGAACATAGCAGTGGGGGTTGGTGGGAATGGTGAGAACGGAGAAATAGGATTTGGTGGGAGTGGGAGTGGGAATGGGAATGGGAATAGGGATATGGATGAGAAAGGGGGTGTGGAAAAGGATCATCTGGGAGTGTTAGGGAAAAATCCGAACATCCCTATAATACAAACTTCTCAAGGAGTAGTGATTGGTCAAGGGGTTGAAAATGAGAATATGGATGTTGTGCAAGGTTTGGTTGGTGGTGGAATTAACAGGCACCTTCTGGTTATAGACCAAGCAACGAATAAACAGGGAGAATCAAATGAAAATCAAGGAAGAGAAATAGAAACTCCCGCTTTAACAATGATCACCGCTTCTGAAAGTTTAAGGACAAGAGAAAGTTATACAACAGCTGAATTGATACCTTCCACTCCGACAGATTCCAACTCTTTATTATCACCTATATCACCTATCACAGTTATTCCTGATCGTTCTTTCACACCTACTTCCCCTATCGATCATACCTTGATACCTAATCACTTATCCTCTCCTAATCATTTATCTTCACCTATCGTTCAAAACACATCGACCGTCCCTAGAACACCTCCTGTATCTCCTCAATCCGTTTCACCATTATCTAACAGATCTCCCCGATCGCATGGATCTAATAAACCTGGAGGAGAAGTGAGATTAGAAGAAGGTTTAGTAGTTTGATCAGGAGTTTTCAATTGTAGCTGGTGAGATTTCAAAGTATGCATGTAGCGCACTATCATTGTTGTTCATTGTCCATACGTATATTCACATTTCATTTCATTTCATTTCATATCACATCACATAGGTTTACAGCTCGTCTCTGTTTCACGTATTTAGGTCGATGGTCTGATATCACTTCGTCATAGGATATCGTGGTCATATGCGAGAACTGGTTGATGGTTTTCGATCTGGCGTCGAAGGAGGAATGATGAACTGGGAATATACAAGTTTCATGTTTGTGAAGAATTGGTCAAGGAAGGAAAGTGGTGTTCCTAAGAGGGGTTCAGACTTTGGTCGCATTTCAAATTGATGCGATACGAGAGACGAGAGAAAGACCCTTCCATGGTAAAAACAAAATGGAGATGAACTAGGGTTTAATGAAAAGATTTGAAAGAAATTCCATCTTTTTCATACAGTCCACCATAAACCAGCAACACCTTTAGCATAACCAACAATCTCATTCCCAGATAATTTACTTTCACCAAATATCCTATCGACAAATGTTATAGGTACTTCTCCTACTGTATAACCAAGAGAACGAGCTCTGACGATGATTTCCATTTGGAATACATAACCTTTAGAAGTACATCTTGATATAATGTCTTTTATGACGTTTGTTCGATATAATCTGAACATCATCAATTTCTCTTTCACATTCACTTTCACATTAGTCATTCTTCCTCATTACCTTGACACATCTTCTTCAGGTCATTGTCCTATTATCGCACACTTGGAATGATTACACTTCTCGTCCAACTTGTCTCCAACTGACACAATTGTGGGGAGATCAACAATATCAAAGTTGGACTATTGGGATAGTCGAGAAATGTGGTAGGATGGTTAGGTGGTTTGGTTGTTTGATAAAAAATTCGAGAGTAAAAACATTGATGACTCACCGAAAACTTCCAGTCAAATCACTAACCCCAGGTCGAAGCAAAGTATCCGCTAAGAAATTCGCACCTCGCGATACTAATTTTCTTTTCAAATCCCATCCGTGTACTCCACCAGGTCCTAGACCTACATCTTTTGAGAAAGGTTTGGAATAGGAAGAATACCTAGTTCCTGTAACTATATCGAGATTGTGTAGTTTTTGTTGTCTGATATCAGTTGAGGGTGTACGGAGGAGAAAGGAGGACTTGCTTGATGAATTCGGGTATAAATTTTGGCTGTGAGTCAGATACAGATACGTCTGAGTGATATCATTACCTCGCTCAAGAACACTTGAATCAATTATGCGATTTTGCCCAGGTGAACGAGGAGGAGAGATAGCAGGATTGTATCAGTGGACAAGTGGGAAGGAGTGTCATTTGAGGACGAGGATGGAACATGAAATGTTGGGATTGGAATGAAAAGACCTACGTGATGAGAGAAATCAGCATCCATGATGATGACAAAGTTTCCCGTGCAAAAGTTCAATCCGTGAACATATGCCGTCCTACATTTCAGTAAAGTACTCAAGCTTTCTGGTCAGATGGACCAACCCAAGACCGAGTTTCCCAGCGCGGGGTTTGAGAATCTGGTCGTTAATTGAAGCATTGACAGCTTGGTATGAAGCCTCCCGCGTCTTCTCTAAAAGTATGCCTTTCACTCGTAAAGGGAACAAGAACTGATCTGCTATCTTTTCTTGATTGACCCTGTGAAATGTGGACAGTGTGACGGAAGGAATTGTAAATAACCCCACCACTCTATCCTCCCCATAAACCGTTGCTAATTGCCGAGCTACTTCTTGCGTACCATCAGGACTAGCATCATCTACCACTATCACCTCCCATGATATTCCACTATCAGTCAACCACCCATCCACACCGAAATCTGTTCATGGAATGTACGTGTTGTGTGGACGAACTGACCTGGTTTCGAAAGTCCGAGCGAGAAGCCAAACGATGATGGGTAGATTACGTCTTTCGTTGTATGTCGGTAAGATGACAGAATACTTGTCTGAGCCTGTGGAGTCAACTTATGAGTCTGGAACATTGGTGAACATCGACGTAGAGTAGACTTGATAAAAGGGGGAATGTGAAGGAAGGAAAGGAGGGAAGCGTATGACTGACCGGTGGTAGCGAGAGATGATGGCATGTCTATGACGGTATGCTGTGACATGTATGTTTTAGATCATGAACTCTAGATCTACAGTCTGTATAAAGGTCCCTCTACCTCGGACAAGACGTACTGTATGCAAGGATGATGATGTAGACGAAGAGAAATGTGACGTCAAGAAAAAGATGAAATCTTCTCGTACCGTGGACGGGAAGTCTCAGGTTGAAATCTTCTCGCGTCCGGCCTGAACCTGGACTCCATTCATCTTCAATACTCATCTCTTGTAGACTTCATGTATCGGAATCACCACCACAGGCTACTTAATTATCACTGCATAGATGCAATCAGACTGTCTGGGTTGTTTATTGAAGCATTGCTTTCACTTCAGGGCCTCCTCAGGATGGGAACATGGGAATTGAGAGATAAACTCTCTGTTTTGACCGACGGCGTACGTCTGACATACCGTGAGTACTAGTAATATTGGTAGACCATGCATGACAATTGAGATAAGACATAGAATAGAATCAAGTCTTCTGTCCAGACGCTTAAACACATGTTGGATCATCAAGATAGGTGACAAAAAGAGTGAGTATGAACCATGAACGGCTTCTCCTTCCGTCTACCATCATCCGCCATATTCTTCTTCTCTCTCCTTCGCCAACATTCCAGATGGTGGTTTCATGATCTTGATCCCTCTTTTGACTCTCTACGTTGGACATGTTTTTGGTATCACTTGATTGTGTCTTACATGTCACATCTTGTAAAACACAATCAAAGATGTGCTCAATGTTGGAAGGCAAATGAGGAATAAGGGGATGCGTAATGACAGTAAGGTACCCTAGGTAACCTCATCTCATAGCTTAGTAGACAGGAGAACTGAGAGAACATGCTAGCAGGATGGAATAGAATGTGGTGCAGGATTTCAGACTGGAATATGAGAAAGAGCCGCACGGCACTAGAAGCAACATCCCTGTCAAAGTTACCAGGAAAGGATCACTCACCCTTCTGCCGGCCGCCAAGGGTCAACAAATGACCCGGACACCCCATACCGCCTTATTATGACACTCATTTGGTAACTGGAATCAGCTACCCGGTATCAGCGTGTGATCTTATTTCAAAAACATGCATACTCACATGTGGGACATCAGGCTGGCACAATGACGGTTAGAAGCAACACAACTTCAGCGGATGTTCTAGTATCTATCGTTTTACCTCAAGGTCTATACCAGGTTGTGGGAAGGTACTGCACATGATACAAACCTTGACATGACTTATTTGGATTGGTGAGACACGGAATTGTTGATGGAAGGTAGGGGTTTGAAGAATGACTACTTACTAAAGTGTATCATTCAATCGCTTGATCTACCAACCAAGAGCTATCGGCAAGTCCTTAGCTAAATCCAGTTCCTACATATCTTGCACGAAGTAGCTAACTGCTGGTTAGCTTGTTACTATATTCTACAGGTCAACGGGCTAGCGGATCCACTTACTTACACTTTGTTATCCACTCGGCACACCTGGACCGCCAGGAGAGATGCGGGTTGCAGGTGTACAAAGACGCTAAAACACTGTTTGGACTTCCATTTCTGGGACTTTGCCTTGCAGACATTGCTCAGCATCGCTTTTTAAGCGAATGTCATCCGTGGATCACCCCAGATGGGCAAATAAGCATCAACAAGTGGTTTGATCAAAATTGTGGTAGAGGTGGAGAACCGAAAAGTTAACCTGAGACTTCCCGGCCACCGTATCTCGTCCGTTTCATCTCCTCCTCCTGGTTCTCCTTCCGCTTCTCGCCAGTCCTCCCGCCGCTTCTCCCGCCGCTTCTCCTCCTCCTGGTTCTCCTTCCTAGGATCTGAGGCAATGACTTGAACAGCCTACATGTCACGGCCGTCGAACAACTATTTCTTAATAGACCGACGGTCGACGAACCTCGGCTAACTTCACGCTCTGAGTCGATGTCTCACCCAACCAGGAGGGCGCAGACGTCGAAAGGGGTGTAACTACGGCGTACTTCGGCGTAGTTACTCTAACTAGGGTTTTGTTCTACTGATGGCGATGTATCTTGATTTATAGCTATCTCTATCTGTCTTTCACTACTGACAACAATCAAGGATCGCTGAAGAACTTCAGCGATCTTCTCAGCTAATATTATCTACTCCTCCTAGACGTTCATCCAACCCTCTCGCGCTTTGACGTACTTCAACGCACTTCGTCCAACTTCCCCGAGCCCTCGGCCATCCTCTTCCTCCTTCGACTAACTCCGCCTAACATCGCCGCACTTCTGCTCCCATTGTCCCTACTTAGCCTAACTCCGTCTAACTTCGCCGTACTTCTGCTCCCATTGTCCCTACTTAGACTAACTCCGCCTAACATCGCCGCACTTCTGCTCCCATTGTCCCTACTTAGCCTAACTCCGTCTAACTTCGCCGTACTTCTGCTCCCATTGTCCCTACTTAGACTAACTCCGCCTAACATCGCCGCACTTCTGCTCCCATTGTCCCTACCTAGCCTAACTCCGTCTAACTTCGCCGTACTTGGTGTCAGAAGTCCTGAGTTACGTGTAGAGTAAAGAGGTTAAGGCGTGATGGGGTTTTGATGGCCAAAGGAGGGTCATTGTTGGTGGAGTAACCGAGGTGTCGCGACGTAGTTCGTGACAGTCGCCCCCTTCTTTAGCCGCGAACGTCCTCGTGAGCGATTACACCTCTGTCGTGTCAAGAGAACTTAGCAGCGTAGTACCCTCATTCTCTCCCTCCCCATGACCATCCTTCACCCTTCTGCTCTTTGCGCCGCACTTCGTAGTTGGGCCTCCTTTCACTCCAAAACCCGACAATGAGACTCCCCTAACTTCGTCGAGGTTTGCCGTAAGAAGCCCTGTGTCTTTTGTAGGTGAGACACGCTTCCTGAATGGCAGCCGAATAACACCGTTGTTTGTCGAAGTAACCCTCGCTTATATTGAGATGAGACACTATAGCGTGGGAATTTTGATCGTCCCTGCGATGCCTTTTGTTGATGAAACGCGAAGTTTGCTGCATGTTGACGACGAGGGTTTAGGTTTGATTATACTAAATACTGAGCAGTTCGTCGAGCTTCTCTCTTTTTCCCATCTGCTTTCAAAACTTTCTATCTCTCTTACCTAGAAAACAGATTTGTTACCTTGAATCATCTTTTATTTCTTTAAGTATTTTTAACGTCATGGCCCCTCCTACTCCCACCTCTAACCCTTTCGCCGCCATGAGGAACTTTGGTGGTATGGTGTCGTCTGCTCGTGAGTTATTCCTCGACACTTACCTTACTTCGCCGGACTTGGCTGATGTTCAGTTTCCTTCGGCGACAGATCTCGCCAAGTCTCCTCCCTCGGCCTCGGCACCCTCTCTTTGGGGGAGCCGTCTGGCGATGTCCCGCCTCCTCGCTCCGCTTCTCCTCCCGCCGGTCCTCCCGCTGGTTCTCCCTCTGCTTCTCCTCCTCCTGGTCCTCGCTCTGCTTCCCCTCCTGCCGCCAGTCCTCGCCGCAGGACGCCCGCCTTTCGTCCTGGTGAGTCTCCGTCCTCCTCCGACCAGGAGTCGCTCAGTGGTTCGGAGTCGGACGATCAGTCAGACTTCGAAGGAAAAGGGGGTGATTATAGTGATGAGGATGATAGAATCGTGTCGGAGGGTGAAACCGAGTTAGAGGAACACTCGGATGATGATATGGTGGCGGTTAGTGTAGAGGACAACAACGTAGATAGTCCTGAGCGTGAGTTCTTCGTCCAACCTCTCACACCTTCGCCGAACTTGGCCTTGTTTATCTGTTCTTTAGCTCTCCAAGACATTGCTAACTCGCAGCCGGTCCTGCCCCTCCCCCTGCTCAAATTGTGGGCCAGAAACGACGCCGTTCCCTCTCTTCTTCTTCTTCTTCCTCTTCTTCTTCTTCCTCTTCTTCTTCCTCTTCCGGGGTTCTCCCCCCCCCCAACGCCATCGCCGCTGCCGCCGCTGCCGCCGCTGCTGCCGCCGCCGCCGCCGGTCCTGCTGCCGCCGTCCCCGTCGCTGCTCCCCCCCCTTCTCCCAGAGGGGAGCCTTCGCCCAAACGGGTGAAGAGATCACTGCGGGAAGAAGAGTACTTGTGGGAGAAGATGAAGTCCGAGCCTGGTCGTTGGATCGCGGTTGGTGTTGACGAAGCGTGTGATCGTTGCCGGTGAGTCCACCTATTCCTACTACGCCGAAGTTACTCCTGCTAATTAGTAGACGTGAGATTATCACGTATAATCGTCCAAACTAGCCCTGCCTCAAGGCAGTCAGGCCACACAACAAGGCCCTCCGTTGTGCTTCATGCACGTCTGGCCCCTGCTCCTTCTGTCCCGTTTCCTCTGCCCGGGACATCCCGCCCCGTCCCTTCGACGCTTCTCCTCTCCCCCCTCCCCAGACTCCAGCGTCTGTCCCCCGTTCGCGGGTACCGTCTTCGTCTCTCCGGTCGGTTCGCCGTACTTCGCCGGACCTCCGCCCGTCGCCTCCGTCGCCGTCGCCCTTCGCTCCTGTGGCCGGCCCATCACGTCTCCCGGCTGTTCCTCCTTCGTCTTCTCGCCGTCCTTCGGCCTCTGCTCCTTCGGCCTCCCGTCCTTCGGCCCCTCGTCCGTCCTCTCCTGTGGTGGCTTCTCCTCCGGCCCACAGCACCCGAAGTCGCCGTCCTTCTGCTCCTCCGGCCGCTTCGGCGGCCCCTCCCGTCACCCCTCCCTCTGCTTCCCAGAAGACACCGAAGTCTTCTTTAAAGAAATCAAAAGGGAAATCTAAAGAGAAGGAGGTTGCCTTCAATGATGGTGATGTGGAAGGTGAAGATACTCAGCGTGCTGGTCCCTCTGCTCCCCGGTTGTCCCTCGTCCACCCTCGTATCTCCCTGGACGTCCGTATTCCTGAGGACGAAAAGGAATTCGCCACTTATCGTTCTCTCGTCCTCGGTCTCACTACTCAGCTTGAGGCCGCCCGAAATGATACATCTCTCCTGCTTGACTTCTCTTCTCGTCAAGCTAACGCTTTAAACAATCTTACTGCGGCGTTAGTAGATGTAGTCAACACTGGGGCTCTGGACGACGAAGCAAGGACAAGGTTAGCGGACGTCTCTCGCCGAAGCCTTACTGAGATAGCCGATGTTCGCCGAAGACTGTTCGACACCCCCTTCCTAGTCACTCCTATGGCGTATGAGCCACCACCGTCCCTTGACTGGTTAGGTCGCCGTAGTAGTTCTCGTGTCCCAGCTTCCGCCCAGACTGCTCTCGACCTCCTCAGTCTTCCCTTCGAGTGTCTACGGACCATACGTTCTCTGTGGAGGACTCCGAGCATGCAAGCTGCTCGAGATGTCCAGGACTTCGGTGACTTCTTTGGGGCTATGAATCGGGCATGGAATGCTTCTCTCTCTACTGCGTTCCCGTCTGAGACTCTCGATCTACCTTCGGTCATCGGTAGCCTCCACACCAATCCCGCGGGACCGAGTAGATCGAAGGAGAAAGGAAAAGGAAAAGGTAAGGGTAAGAGTAAGGACAAGTGAGCGGTACGTAGCTGTAATCCTATGTTGTATGCAGTACGTTCTATCTCCTAGCCCTTCGCAGTCGCCCTTCTTTCGGCTTAGTAGGGTGAAGTTCGTGGAACTTCGCCAATATGTCATCAGCTCCATCGACGTTCTCCACTGGTTCCCATGATACTGAATCGTCTGTTCCTTCGTAACCTAACCACTCCACCAAGTACTCTAACTTTCCTGACCTCTTATTTACTCTAGAGTCCACAATATCCTTTACCTCCCAAGACTCTCCCACATTGTCTACTTCTACTGGCCCAGGTGGCTCAGCTTGCTGACCAGGAAATATTGGAGGGTGATAAGGACGGAGCAAGGAGACATGGAATACATCATGGATACCTGCCATCGTTCCTGGTAATTCCAATTTACAAGCATGAGAACCTACCTGCCGTACTACCTTGTACGGCCCACTTTGCTTAACATCTAACTTCTTCATTGGTCTCTTCGTCTTAATATTCTCTAACGACAGCATCACTAGGTCTCCTTCCGCGAAGTTCGGCGTAGTCCGGTGTTTCCTATTGTATCCTTCGGCGTACTTCTCATTAGCTTTCTCAATTCCTTCGATACAATCTTTGTGTATTTCAGTCAAGTCTTTTACCACCACCGTAGCAGCGGGCACTTCGACCTCGCTAGCCTTTATCTCTTCAGCCCAACGAGGGTGATATCCATAGTTCGCATAGAATGGGGTTTTGTTTATCGCAGAGTGCTGGGTGTTGTTGTAAGCAAAGCTAGCTCGAGCGAGTAGCTTTGACCAGTCGTTCTGCTGGTAGGAGGTGAAGATTCGAAGATACAGTTCCAAAGACTGGTTGGTTCGTTCGGTCTGTCCGTCAGTCTGTGGATGATATGCAGTAGAGAGATGTAGTCTTATTCCGAGACTATCGGTCAAATTCTTCCAGAACTTGGAGGTAAACTTCGATCCCCTGTCCGATACTATATTCTCTGGCAACCCATGCTGGGCCACCACATAGTCCAATATCAACTCTGATAGGCCGGCTGCGGTTAACTTCGTCGTAGTCGGGATAAAAATGGCCCATTTGGTCAACCGATCCACCACTACCAGGATGGAATTATATCCATGGGAATTTGGCAGCTCCTCGATAAAATCCATCGAGATGCTAGACCAAGGTTTCGTAGCTACCTCCAGTGGTTTAAGCTCTCCATGGGGTTTCTGTCTGTTAGTCTTTGCCCTCTGACATACCGCGCATCCAGCGATGTAGTCCTCAACATCCTTCCTTACTCCAATCCAGACATAGTCCCTTAGAACTAGCTCAAGGGTCTTCGCTGAACCTGGGTGACCAGCTAAGGCCGAGTCATGTCGCATTTTCATGATCTTCAGCCGAGCATCGGCGTAGTTCGGCACATAAATGTGATCGTCGAAGGTGAGGAAACCTCTTGAGTTCCACCCCCCACGAAGGATTAGAGGAGACCGCGAACTACGGCGTAGTTCGGTGATTGATCCTGGTTCCTGCACGTTATCGTTACACGTAGGATGAGAACACTCAGCGCAAACGACTCCTAATAATTCTTCTCTGACCCCTTCTATGTCTTCGTCCTCCTGAACTCCAAGTACTAGATCCATAGGGTCCACAAGATCATTTTCCTTTACCTCCCTTGTCCCTTGCAATGCTCGAAGGAGGTGACGCAACTCCGACGTGGTGGCGTCAACTTCGTCGAACTTCGGCAGACCTTGGATAAGGTTGCTCTCTTGTACCATGGTACTTCCTTTCCCGGAATGATAGTCCGCCCGTCTAGATAATCCATCTGGAAGACTTGCCTGGGTTCCTGGCCGATAAACCATTTTAAACCTGAAGTTAGCTAGCTCCTCTACCCACCTACCTTGCCGAGGACTGAGTTGTTTCGGTTCCATCCAGTAGGTAAGGTTTAGATGGTCGGTAAGTACTGTGGTTTCTACCTGCAATAATAAGTGTCTCCTTCTTCTGAAACCCTCCACTACAGCGAGGAACTCCTTTTCTCCTACCGTATAATTCAGTTGAGCTGTGTTGAAAGCACCAGACTCAATAGCTACCGGGTGTTCTTGACCAGCCGTGTTGATCTGCGAAATTATGAACCCCCAGCCGAAGAACGACGCATCTGTCTGTAATATCGTCTTCAATGTAGGGTCAAAATGGGCTAATACCGGCGCAGTACACATCCTAGCCTTCAACTCTTTGAAGGCTGACTCCTGTTCGACTCCCCATACAAATGGTACCTCCTTCCTTGTCAAGTCATTGATAGGTCTAGCAATCTTCGAGAAGTTGGGGACAAAGCGCCTGTAGTAGCTTACAACTCCAATGAATCCCCTTGACTCTCGTAGATTCTTAGGACGTGGGAAGGAAGTGATGGCATCAATGTATTCTGGGTTCACCGATACACCTTTAGAGGATACCACGAAACCCAGAAACACCACCGAATCTCTTTCGAACTCGCACTTACTAGCTTTCACGTACAGGCTCGCCTTCCGCAGTACCTCAAAGACCTTCGCCGTAGTTCCTCGTAATTCCTCCAACGTATTCCCATAAATGAGGATATCGTCAATGTAGACCACGACTCCATTCCCTAGTAGCTCTCTAAACACCTCATTTAGGAAGTGTTGGAAGACCGCGGGGGCGTTTCGCAGCCCATCACGAACAACCAGAGATTCAAACATACCATACTGTGTCCTGAACGCCGTCAGGTGTTCATGTCCCTCTGTCACCCTCAACAATTGGTATGCTCCAATTAGATCTAGTTTGCTGAAATACCTTGCTTTTCCAAGTTCCTCAGTAATTTGACCTATTAGAGGGAGAGGGTAGGCATCTGGTATGGTCGCTTCGTTCAGTTTTCGATAGTCGATGACCATTCGCCATTGTCCTTCGGCTTTCTTCGGTATCATAAACATTGGTGAGCCGTATGGCGAGTTACTTGCCCGAATTCGGCCAGCGGCGATTTCGCGATCTAGTATGTCTCTCAGCGCGCGTCTCTGATCTTCTCCTTGAGCATAGAGGGAGGCGACCTTAAGGTTCGCCCCCTCCTTAAGCTCAAACTTCAAATCGTAGGACCTTGAAGGGGGGAGGGTCTCTCCTCCCTTCTTCGGATTAAAAACGTCAATGTACTGGTGGTATTGTTCAGGAACTACCTGGAACAACTCGTCTTGTTCCTCCGGGCTCAGCTCTTCAAGCTCATCTTCGCCGCGGAGGTCTATCACGTCCGTCGGAGTCGGCAGCCCTATGGCCGCTAACTTCGCCGCACTTGGTGGGGTTGGGATGGGAAATTTCACCGAGTTGTCTCTTCCATCAAGGACAACCCCTTCCTTCCTCATCCAATCCCACCCTATCACAACATCTGCGTCGCAGAGCGTTGTTACATCGAGACAAACAGATCGCACTTCGGCGTCCTTCGTCAAACTAAATCCGACTTCGACAAACTCGGTGATGGGTCCAGCGACACTCACCGAGCCGTCGAACATGTGAACGGGTACGCTCACCTGATATCGCCTCTTTTCTACACCTATCTTCGCTGCCGCCCTAGGGCTTATATATGAACAAGTAGCTCCAGTGTCCCAGAGCGTAGTTAGCTTTATTCCATTAATGAAAATGTCCGATTTAGGTTGATCTCTGGAAACGGAAGGGATGAGGAGATGATTATCGACATTGCATGAACAAGGGGTACTGAGTGGTGTATTTTTGTACTCACAATCCTCTGGCTCCATCAGCTGTGTTTCTTTTATGGGTTTGGGAATGGTGGCCGAGAGAATATGGCGGACCCGCCGAGCCTCGCCTACTGCGACAGGTCCTCTTCTTTTCCCTGGTCCTCTTCCAAATCTACTTCTCCTCCAACCGCATTCAAGTTCCTCCTCTGTCCGAGAGGTACTGCGTTCCCTCCCGATCCTCCACCACGTTCTCCGAACTTCCCCCCCCATGGAGGCAACAGTCCAACCTTAACCTTAGCCTCCCTTACAGGGCATTCCTTCAGCCAATGTCCTGCTTCACCACACTCGGTACACTTCCCCTCCTTCCTCCTTGTCTCCCTCAGATCGGAGCTCGGCCTAGGCCATCTTCGGCGAACTTCGTCGATGTTTGACGGTGTACTCTTTACCACCGTCGACATCATAGCCGCCTGGACACCACCCTGCGCCGAAGGTTGCCCCTTTTCCCATTTCTTCTCTTCTTTCTTCTCCGTCCTCTGACTTTCCACCACTGTCGTTGTCCTTATCCCTCCTTCCCTTTTCCTCTCTGCCTCCTTCTCCACTTGTCTCCTCCACAGGCGGTTGTCCAAGGGAATCACAAACTCCAATAGCTCTTTCACAGTCCCAAACGATCTACCGTGTCTTGCAATTTCATCTAGAAGGTGCGATTTTAGTCCTTTCTTGGCTCGGTCAACTAGGTTTCCATCATCAGACCACTTAAGAATCGCAACATGTCGCTGGAAGGCGGAGAAGTAGTCCGAAGCAGACCCGGTTTGCTTGAGGTCGTTAAGTTGTCGGGCCGCAGTTCCTTCTTCGTCTGGATCACCAAAGTTAGTCTTGAGGTACTTAACGAACTGATCGTGTGTTGTGAGGTACTCAGGAAGAGGTCTTTTGGATAGATCGGGCTGCACTGCAAGAAGAGGTGTTTCGCGTAGATGAGAGATCATGAAAAAGACTTTCTTAGTGTCGTCGGGGAAAAGATGAGAGTTCAATTCGAAATGTACGTCGCACTCAGACAGAAAGGCGGTTAACTTGTTCCGATCTCCCCTCCAGAGGTCTGGGTTAGGTAGCTTTATCCCCTTCCGTTGTTCGCCCACTACGCTTGGGGTCGCCGAAGTTTGCCGTCCCATGGCGTACCTCACTCCTTCTGATATCCCTTCTGCAATCCCGCCCACTGTATCCCTTTCTCTTCTCTGTTCCCATTCCTCCCTACGCCTTCTCTCCTCCATCATGTCTTTGTTCATATTCGCCACCATCTGCATCAAGGCCAACACCACCCCTTGTGTTCCTTCTTCTCCCAAGTTCGCCGTACTTCCAGTGTTTTCTCTTGGGCGTGGGGTTTGGTCTGATCCAAGTGGGGATCCCGCAGGTGGGAGAGCATTAGACGGAGGAGAAGGAGGGTTAGAAGGCACCGGTGGAACGAACTCATCTCCTTGAATTGATCCCCCCACACTATCCTCCACTCCAAGGTCCTGCCCCATTGCTCTGCTAAGCTCCTCCAATGCTCTCCTCTCGTTCTCTTCCATCCTGTCTCCATCCCTACTCATGCCTCGCGTAACTCTCCTTTCTGGTTCCATAATATCTTCGTACTTCTCCGAGGTTCGCACGGGTCGTCGGTAAGAGCGATCCTTGATACTGTCACGGCTGTCGAACAACTATTTCTTAATAGACCGACGGTCGACGAACCTCGGCTAACTTCACGCTCTGAGTCGATGTCTCACCCAACCAGGAGGGCGCAGACGTCGTAAGGAGTGTAACTACGGCGTACTTCGGCGTAGTTACTCTAACTGAGGTTTTGTTCTACTGATGGCGATGTATCTCGATTGTATATAGCTATCTCTATGTCTTTCACTACTGACAACAATCAAGGATCGCTGAAGAACTTCAGCGATCTTCTCAGCTAATATTATCTACTCCTCCTAGACGTTCATCCAACCCTCTCGCGCTTTGACGTACTTCAACGCACTTCGTCCAACTTCCCCGAGCCCTCGGCCATCCTCTTCCTCCTTCGACTAACTCCGCCTAACATCGCCGCACTTCTGCTCCCATTGTCCCTACTTAGCCTAACTCCGTCTAACTTCGCCGTACTTCTGCTCCCATTGTCCCTACTTAGACTAACTCCGCCTAACATCGCCGCACTTCTGCTCCCATTGTCCCTACTTAGCCTAACTCCGTCTAACTTCGCCGTACTTCTGCTCCCATTGTCCCTACTTAGACTAACTCCGCCTAACATCGCCGCACTTCTGCTCCCATTGTCCCTACCTAGCCTAACTCCGTCTAACTTCGCCGTACTTGGTGTCAGAAGTCCTGAGTTACGTGTAGAGTAAAGAGGTTAAGGCGTGATGGGGTTTTGATGGCCAAAGGAGGGTCATTGTTGGTGGAGTAACCGAGGTGTCGCGACGTAGTTCGTGACATCCTCCTGCTGTTTCTCCCTCCGCTTCTCCTCCTGCCGCCAGCCCTCGCCGCAGGACGCCCGCCTTTCGTCCCGGTGAGTCTCCGTCCTCCTCCGACCAGGAGTCGCTCAGTGGTTCGGAGTCGGACGATCAGTCAGACTTCGAAGGAAAAGGGGGTGATTATAGTGATGAGGAGGATCAGAATCGTGAGGGTGAAAGTGAGTTAGAAGATCTCTCGGATGATGATATGGAGGGTGGTGTAGAGGACAACAACGTTGATAGTCCTGAGTGTGAGTTCTTCGCCCATCCTCCTATACCTTCGCCGAACTTGGCCTTGTTCATCTGTTCTTTAGCTTCCTAAGACACCGCTGACTCGTAGTCGTTCGCGTTTCCCCCGCTCCCCAAATCGTGGGCCAGAAACGACCTCGTGCCCTTTCCTCCTCTTCCTCTTCCTCTTCTTCTTCTTCTCCTTCCGGGGTTCCCCCCCCTGCCAACGCCGACGCTGCCGCTGCCGCTGCTGCCGCCGCCCGTCCTGTCGCCGCTCTCCGTCCCCCTGTCGTTCCCCGTCCCGCCGCCGTCGTCGCTGCTCCTGTCGCCGCCGCCGCCGCCGCTTCTCCCTCTCCTCCCCGAGGGGAGCCTTCGCCCAAACGGGTGAAGAGGTCATTACGGGAAGAAGAGTACTTGTGGAGTAAGTTGGAGTCTGAGCCTGGTCGTTGGGTTGCGGTTGGTGTTGATGAGGCGTGCGATCGTTGCCGGTGAGTTCCCCTATTCGTACTTCGCCTAAGTTCTCCTTGCTAATTAGTAGACGTGAGATCATCACGTATAATCGTCCGAACTGGCCCTGCCTCAAGGCAGTCCGGCCACACAACAAAGCCCTCCGCTGTGCTTCATGCACATCTGGTCCCTGCTCCTTCTGTCCCGTCTCCTCTGCTCGGGACATCCCGCCCCGTCCCTCCGACTCTTCGCCTTTCCCCCCTCCTCAGACTCCAGCGTCCGTCCCCCGTTCGCGGGTACCTCCTTCGTCTCTCCGGTCGGTTCGCCGGACTTCGCCGGACCTCCGCCCGTTGCCTCCGTCGCCGTCGCCCTTCGCTCCTGTGGCCGGCCCATCACGTCTCCCGGCTGTTCCTCCTTCGTCTTCTCGCCGTCCTTCGGCCTCCCGTCCTTCGGCGCCACGTCCGTCCTCTCCAGTGGTAGCTTCTCCTCCAGCTCACGGCAGCCGAAGTCGGCGTCCTTCTGTTGCTCCGGCCACTTCGGCGGCCCCTCCCGTCACCCCTCCCTCTGCTTCCCAGAAGACACCGAAGTCTTCTTTAAAGAAATCAAAAGGGAAATCTAAAGAGAAGGAGGTTGCCTTCAATGATGGTGATGTGGAAGATGAAGATACTCAGCGTGCTGGTCCCTCTGCTCCCCGGTTGTCCCTCGTCCACCCTCGTATCTCCCTGGACGTCCGTATTCCTGAGGACGAAAAGGAATTCGCCACTTATCGTTCTCTCGTCCTCGGTCTCACTACTCAGCTCGAGGCCGCCCAAAATGATACATCTCTCCTGCTTGACTTCTCTTCTCGTCAAGCTAACGCTTTAAACAGTCTCACTGCGGCGTTAGTAGATGTAGTCAATACTGGGGCTCTGGACGACGAAGCAAGGACGAGGTTAGCGGACGTCTCTCGCCGAAGCCTTACTGAGATAGCCGATGTTCGCCGAAGACTGTTCGACACCCCCTTCCTAGTTACTCCTATGGCGTATGAGCCACCACTGTCCCTTGACTGGTTAGGTCGCCGTAGTAGTTCTCGTGTCCCAGCTTCCGCCCAGACTGCTCTCGACCTCCTCAGTCTTCCCTTCGAGTGTCTACGGACCATACGTTCTCTGTGGAAGACTCCGAGCATGCAAGCTGCTCGAGATGTCCAGGACTTCGGTGACTTCTTCGGGGCTATGAATCGGGCATGGAATGCTTCTCTCTCTACTGCGTTCCCGTCTGAGACTCTCGATCTACCTTCGGTCATTGGTAGCCTCCACACCAATCCCGCGGGACCGAGTAGAGCGAAGGAGAAAGGAAAAGGAAAGGGTAAGAGTAAGAGCAAGGACAAGTGAGCGGTACGTAGCTGTAATCCTATGTTGTATGCAGTACGTTCTACCTCCTAGCCCTTCGCAGTCTCCCTTCCTTCGGCATAGTAGGGTGAAGTTCGTGGAACTTCGCCAATATGTCATCAGCTCCATCAACGTTCTCCACTGGTTCCCATGATACCGCATCGTCTGTTCCTTTGTAACCTAACCATTCCACCAAGTACTCTAACTTTCCTGACCTCTTATTTACTCTAGAGTCCACAATGTCCTTTACCTCCCAAGACTCTCCTGCATTGTCTACCTCTACTGGGCCAGGTGGTTCAGCTTGCTGACCAGGGAATATTGGAGGGTGATAGGGACGGAGCAAGGAGACATGGAATACATCATGGATACCTGCCATCGTTCCTGGTAGTTCCAATTTACAAGCATGAGAACCCACCTGCCGTACTACCTTGTACGGCCCACTTTGCTTAACATCTAACTTCTTCATTGGCCTCTTCGTCTTAATATTCTCTAGCGACAGCATCACTAGATCTCCTTCCACGAAGTTTGGCGTAGTCCGGTGTTTCCTATTGTACCCTTCGGCGTACTTCTCATTACCTTTCTCAATTCCTTCGATACACTCCTTATGTATCTCGGTCAAGTCTTTTACCACCACCGTAGCAGCGGGTACTTCAACTTCACTGGCCTTGATCTCTTCCGCCCATCAAGGATGATATCCATAGTTCGCATAGAATGGTGTCTTATTGATCGCGGAATGGTGGGTGTTATTGTAGGCGAAACTAGCTCGAGCTAGTAACTTCGACCAGTCATTCTGTTGATAGGAGGTGAAGATTCGAAGGTAGAGCTCTAAGGACTGGTTGGTTCGTTCAGTCTGTCCATCAGTCTGCGGATGATATGCAGTAGAGAGATGTAGTCTTATCCCGAGACTATCGGTCAAGTTCTTCCAAAATTTCGAGGTAAACTTCGATCCCCTGTCAGACACTATGTTCTCTGGTAGCCCATGCTGAGCTACCACATAGTCCATTATCAACTCGGATAGGCCAGCTGCGGTTAACTTCGTCGTAGTCGGGATAAAGATGGCCCATTTGGTCAACCGGTCTACCACTACTAGGATGGAATTGTATCCATGGGAATTCGGGAGCTCTTCAATGAAATCCATCGAAATGCTGGACCATGGCTTCGTAGCCACTTCCAGTGGTTTAAGCTCTCCATGGGGTCTCTGCCTGTTAGTCTTTGCTCTCTGACACACCGCACATCCAGCGATGTAATCTTCAACATCCTTCCTTACTCCAACCCAAACGTAGTCCCGTAGGACTAGCTCGAGAGTCTTCGCTGAGCCTGGGTGGCCCGCTAGGACCGAGTCATGCCGCGTCTTCATTATCTTTAGTCGAGCATCGGCGTAGTTCGGCACATAATTTCGACCATCGAACGTGAGGAACCCTCTTGAATTCCATCCCCCACGAAGTATTAAGGGGGACCGCGAGGTACGGCGTAGTTCGGTGACCGACCCTGGTTCCTGCATGTTATCATGACATGTTGGATGAGAGCACTTAGCACAGGTTACCCCCAATAATTCTTCTCTAACCTCCTCCACCTCTCCGTCTTCCTGTATTCCGACTATCAAATCCATAGGATCAATAAGGTCGTTCTCTCGCACTTCCTTTGTTCCTTGTAAGGCCCGAAGCAGGTGTTGTAACCCAGAGCTAGTGTTGTCAAGTTCGTTGAACTTCGGCAGACCTTGGATAAGGTTGCTCTCCTGTACCATAGTACTTCCTTTTCCTGAGTGGTAGTCTGCCCTTCTCGACAGTCCGTCCGGCAGTGTAGCTTGTTTTCCCGGTCGATACACCATTTTAAACCTGAAGTTAGAGAGCTCTTCGACCCACCTACCCTGCCTGGGGCTAAGCTGTTTAGGTTCCATCCAGTAAGTTAAATTTAAATGATCTGTGAGAACTGTAGTCTCTACCTGTAGTAGTAAGTGTCTCCTTCTCCTGAAAGCTTCAACAATAGCGAGTAGCTCCTTCTCCCCTACCGTATAGTTTAACTGCGCCGCCTGGAACGCTCCGGATTCGATGGCCACCGGATGCTCTTGTCCTAACTCGTTCACCTGCGAAATTATGAAACCCCAGCCGAAGAACGACGCATCTGTTTGTAGTAGTGTCTTCAACGAAAGGTCAAAGTGAGCCAATACTGGCACCCTACACATCCTATCCTTCAATTCTTTAAAGGCTCTTTCCTGCTCTACTCCCCAAACAAACGGCACATCTTTCCTGGTGAGGTCATTGATCGGTTTAGCAATCTTGGAGAAGTTGGGGACAAAACGCCGATAATAACTGACAACTCCCATAAATCCCCTACTCTCTCGCAAGTTCTTAGGACGGGGAAAAGATACGACAGCATCGATGTAATCCGGGTTACTGGAAATTCCCCTCTGTGAGACCACGAACCCCAGGAAGACTACCGAATCTCTCTCAAACTCGCACTTACTAGCTTTAACGAACAAATTCGACCTCCGAAGCACTTCAAACACCTTCGCCGTAGTTCCCCTCAGTTCTTCCAACGTTTGACCGTAGATGAGTATATCATCTATGTAGACTACTACTCCCTTTCCCAGCAGCTCTCGAAAACTTTCATTCAAGAAGTGCTGAAACACAGCGGGAGCATTCCGTAGACCATCTCGGACAACAAGAGACTCGAACATACCGTACTGCGTCCTGAACGCTGTCAGGTGTTCATGACCTTCCTTTACTCGTAGGAGTTGATAAGCCCCAATTAGGTCTAACTTGCTGAAGTACCTCGCTCTTCCCAGCTCTTCGGTTATCTGGCTGATCAGAGGCAGAGGATAGGCGTCGGGTATCGTTGCCTCGTTTAACTTTCGGTAGTCAATGACCATTCGCCATTGACCTTTCGCCTTCTTCGGTACCAAGAACATCAGTGATCCGTAGGGTGAATTACTGGGTCGAATTCTTCCGGCCGACATTTCGCGATCTAGGATGTCTCTCAGCGCACTTCTCTGATCTTCTCCAAGCGAGTAGAGTGGAGCAACCTTCAGGTTCGCCCCCTCCTTAAGATCAAACTCCAAATCATAGCTCCTCGAGGGAGGTAATTCCTCACCTCCCTTCCTTGGGTTAAAGACATCAATGAACGAGTGGTATTGTTCAGGAACCACCTGATACAATTCCTCCTGTTCCTCCGGACTCAGTTCATCCTGGTCATCTTTGTCTCGGAGATCTATCGCGTCCGTCGGAGTTGGCAGCCCTATGGCCGCTAACTTCGCCGCACTTGGTGGGGTTGGGATGGCAAATTTCGCCAAGTTGTCTCTTCCATCAAGGACAACCCCTTCCTTCCTCATCCAATCCCACCCTATCACAACATCTGCGTCGCAGAGCGTTGTTACATTGAGACGAACAGATCGCACTTCGGCGTCCTTCGTCAAACTAAATCCGACTTCGACAAACTCGGTGATAGGTCCCGAGACACTCACCGAGCCGTCGAACATGTGAACGGGTACGCTCACCTGATATTGTCTCCTTTCTGCGCCTATCTTCGTCGTCGCTCTAGGACTTATATATGAACAAGTAGCCCCGGTGTCCCAGAGCGTAGTTAGCTTCATTCCATTAATTAAAATGTCCGATTTAGGTTGATCTCTGGAAACGGAAGGGATGAGGAGATGATTATCGACATTGCATGAACAAGGGGTACTGAGTGGTGTATTTTTGTATTCACAATCCTCTGGCTCCATCAGCTGTGTTTCTTTTATAGGTTTAGGAATGGTGGCCGAGAGAATATGGCGGACCCGCCGAGCCTCGCCTACTACGACAGGTCCTCTTCTTTTCCCTGGTCCTCTTCCAAATCTACTTCTCCTCCAACCGCGTTTAAGTTCCTCCTCTGTCCAAGAGGTACTGCGTTCCCTCCCGATGCTCCACCACGTTCTCCGAACTTCTCCCCCCATGGTGGCAACAGTCCAACCTTAACCTTAGCCTCCCTTACAGGACATTGCTTCAGCCAATGTCCCGTTTCACCACACTCCGTACACTTCCCCTCGCTCCTCCTTGACTCCCTCAGAGCGGAGCTTGGTCTAGGCCACCTTCGCCGAACTTTGTCGATGCTCGGCGCCGTACCCTTTACCACCGTTGACACCGTAGTCGCCTGGACACCACCCTGCGCCGAAGGTTGCCCCTTTTCCCATTTCTTCTCTTCTTTCTTCTCCGTCCTCTGACTTTCCACCACCGTAGTCGTCTTTGCCCCCCCTTCCCTCTTCCTCTCTGCTTCCTTCTCCACTTGCCTCCTCCACAGGCGGTTGTCCAAGGGAATCACAAACTCCAATAGCTCCTTCACCGTCCCAAACGATCTACCATGTCTTGCAATTTCATCCAGAAGGTGTGATTTTAGACCTTTCTTAGCTCGATCGACTAAGTTTCCATCATCAGACCACTTGAGTATCGCCACATGTCGTTGAAAGGCAGAGAAGTAGTCCGAAGCAGAGCCGGTTTGTTTAAGGTCGTTGAGCTGTCGGGCTGCAGTTCCTTCTTCATCTGGGTCGCCGAAGTTAGTCTTGAGATACTTGACGAACTGGTTGTGCACCGTGAGGTATTCTGGGAGAGGCCGTTTAGATAGATTGGGTTGAACAGCAAGGAGGGGAGTTTCGCGTAAGTGAGAGATCATGAAAAAGACTTTCTTAGTGTCGTCGGGGAAAAGATGAGAGTTTAATTTGAAGTGTACGTCGCACTCAGACAGAAAGGCCGTCAACTTATTCCGCTCTCCTCTCCAGAAATCTGGATTAGGCAACTTGATACCCTTCCGTTGTTCCCCAACTACGCTTGGAGTCGCCGAAGTCTGCCGTCCCATGGCGTACCTCACCCCTTCAGATATCCCTTCTGCAATTCCCCCTACTGTCTCCCTTTCCCTCCTCTGCTCCCACTCCTCCCTGCGCCTACGTTCTTCCATCATATCCTTGTTCATGTTTGCCACCATCTGCATCAAGGCTAACATCACCCCTTGTGTCCCTCCTTCTCCGAAGCTCGTCCCACTTCCAGCGTTTTCTGGCCGCGGAGTTTGATCCGATCCGACTGGGGATCCGATAGGCGGGGGAGCATTGCCCGCAGGGGTAGGAGGATTAGAAGGTACTGGTGGAATGGACTCATCTCCTTGAACTGACCCCCCTACACTGTCTTCCATCCCAAGGTCCTGTCCCATTGCTCTTCTAAGCTCCTCCAACGCTCTCCTCTCATTTTCCTCCATCCTGTCGTCACTCCTACTCATGCCTCGTGTAACTCTCCTTTCTGGTTCCATATTATCTTCGTACTTCTCCGAGGTTCGCACGGGTCGTCGGTAAGAGCGATCCTTGATACTGTCACGGCCGTCGAGCAATTACTTCCTAATAGACCGACGGTCGACAAACCTCGGCTAACTTCACGCTTCTGAGTTGATGTCTCACCCAACCGGGAGGGCGCAGACGTCAAAAGGAGTGTAACTACGGCGTACTTCGGCGTAGTTACTCTAACTAAGGCTTTGTTCTACTGACGGCGATGTATCTCGATTTATAACTATCTCTATCTGTCTTTTACTACTGACAACAATCAAGGATCGCTGAAGAACTTCAGCGATCTTCTCAGCTAATATAACCTATCCCTCCTAGACGTTCATCCAACCCTCCCGCGCTTTGACGTACTTCAACGCACTCCATCCAACTTCCCCGAGCCTCGGCCATTCTCCTCCTCCTTCGACTAACTCCGCCTAACATCGCCGCACTTCTGCTCCCATTGTCCCTACCTAGCCTAACTCCGCCTAACTTCGCCGCACTTCTGCTCCCATTGTCCCTACCTAGCCTAACTTCATCTAACTTCGCCGTACTTGGTCTCAGAGGTCCTGAGTTACGTGTAGAGTAAAGAGGTTTGAGTCGTGATGGGGTTTTGATGGTCAACGGAGGGTCGTTGTTGGTGGAATAATCGAGGTGTCACGACGTAGTTCGTGACATTCAGCGACCTGTAACCTATCTATACTACTCCTCACTTCTCATAGAACGTCCCTCAACTCCTGCACTGCCTCACGCTCAGTCCTCTTCGTTCAACCTCGCCGTACCTCGCCATATCCCCAAGATCCTACTCCACTCACTTTGACTAACTCCGCCTAACTTCCCCTGCTCTGCTCCCCCTTGGTTCCCTTCCCCTAACTTCGCCGTAGTTCTCCGCTAGGCAGGGTTATCGTGACAAATAATACCCCCGTGGTTCTCGTAACTTCGCCGTAGTCCGTCTCAGTGGTTCGAGTGGAGGTTGGTGATGACAAAAGGAAGGTTGGTGATCGTGAAAGGAGGGTCGGTGATGGCGGTGTCAGGGATGTTATGACGTAGTTCGTGACAGTAAGTTACTCGTGGACACGCGAGCCTTGAACACACGCAATGTTCAAACATCTTTCATTTATAGATACCTGGTCACAAAACATTTCACATCTCTACATGTATCTATTCTCCGGTCCTCAAATCTCACACACTCCTAGACGGACCTGCACTGCACTCCTTCCCAGACTTTGAAGCGTGTGTGTTCTTAGCCGATTGAGCTGCACACTTCCTCCCTTCCCTCTTTGCTGTTTCTGTCTCTCGCCTCTCTGCTAGTTTTTCTGCATGACTTTCTTGGTATGCTTGGTCAAATCTTTTGTCTCTTCTTACTACCCCTAGCTGCCCTGTCTAACTGTTCTGATGCTTTCCAGAGCGCTTCATCCTTCTCATGCAGTGCCTTCTCTGCCACTGATCGTTCAAGTCTGCTTCTTGTCTTTCTTGATGTCTTTCCAGGAGTAATCTTGCCACGTCTTATAGCTCAATCAAGAGCAGAGAGACTAGTAGTAGTTGTGGGAGTGATAGGTTCAGTTGAAGGGATAATTCGAGCAGGAGGTGTGGCTGGACGAGCCTCACGGAGTCCTACATTGATTTGTGTGAGGGGAAAGAGGTAGGATTTGGCCCAGGCTGTCTGAATTTGGTGTGTAGTTGTAGTTCTAAGCCAGGCTGGTAGATGCCAGCAATAAAAGAATGGTTTGGGGATGTGGTGTTCATTGGTGCTAAGTTGATAGGTGTCAATCTGGTCGTTGTATGTCTCTTTGAGTATTCGGAAGAAATTCACATCTAGTGGCTGGAAAACTTGGGATAAATGAGCAGGGAGGACAAGACAGGTGATATTGAGTTCCCAGCAAGCATCTAGAAAGGCAACCAAGGTGTGACAGTCATGACCGTTAAGGATGAGCAAACGGGGATGTCCATTGGCCCTTTTCCACGGTGTATGGGTCAAAACAGCCGGTCAACCATTGAATCATTGTAAAGGAATTGATATAAAGGTACTGTAAACACGATGACTAAGTCGCAGGTTGGGTCGAACTCGATGGAACTCTCGTGGAAGTCTATGTATCTCTGGTGCTAGTAGGTGGATCGTGTCTCCTCTGCAATCAATGTAGCCAAAGAATGATATTGAAGAATCAGCAAAGTTGGTCTGATTGTACTATATACTGTCTCCAGGTATCTGTGTCCTCCTCTCAGTTCCTACTGCAAGCGTCTATGTACATACTTGGACAGGTAAAAACCGCTTTTAAGCAAACCCAGTGGGGAAATCTCGAAAAGGGAAAACCCGTCCCTATCTACTGCGGCACTGCCTCCAATTCCCGCTGTTCTCTTTCCTAATCCGTCAAACTCGATGGAGTTCTCTCGATTCGTTGTTACTCCGTAACAATTGATATATCTACTATCAGTTACTACAGCTTGCTGAATTTGAGTATTCTGTTGTACTCTGAACCAATCAGACATGAGATGTTTGCCAGGATGGCTGAGGAAGGGTGGTACTGGGGCATCAGAAGTGGGATTGGTTGTGATGACACTGATGTGAGTATCGGTGGAAAGGGCTGCTTGTGACTTGATAGGAGCCTCTTGAGGTGCAACTCTTTGTGTCCTTCGTTCCTTCGTCCACCAGCAAGGTCAAATGCAACTTTGTCAACGTTATACACATTCTCAGGATGATATTGACCAGCATCAAATGTTTCTCTTGCCTTTTGTGGTGAGCTTTCAACCTAACTGTGTTAGAGAAACTCACAAGGGTTAGAAAAGCAATCCTATTCTCTGGCGTATCCACTCTGAGCCTTGCTACTTCTTGTACACAGTAAAATTTTGATGCAACCCTGATCCTTATGTCGGCGTAGGAAGGTAGATGTCCAGTTAACTCTAAGTCAATGATTGCAGAGTGCCTGGGCAAAAACACCAACATGTTTAGGAGTAAGAAGGGTACCTCTGGCAGTATACTCATTGATTTTAGCAATGAGGGCTTCTTCCTGGATGTGTTACGACTCGAACCTGGCAGGCCTTGGGGCCAGAGACGAGTAGACGGGCGGAAGTCGTAATCGTCGAGCTTGGGTTGTGCGGAGGCGAAGTTGCACAACCACTAGACTTGCGTGGTCGAAGATCAAAAGGTGTGGTCAAAGTGGCGATGTGACCGAAGGTATGCTCGAAGGATCCCGAAGTGTCGGCGAGCGAAGCAAAGTAGACCGAAGATGTATGTCAAGACTATGGAAGGCCTATGGAAGACTATTGTAACTAAATGTAACTTATGATAGATTGATCCTTGAAGAGGATCAAGACAGAATGTGCTCCTTATATATCCATCATTTGGTCCCCCGGTGTAGCGCCACCTCTCCGGGCGGCGTCATCCTGACGCCAGCCTGAATGGTCCTGTCCCATGCTGATCCGTGCTGACCCAGTCTGATCCATAGTGGCGTCAGCCTGACCCAAGGTGGTGTCAGCCTGACCCAAGGTGGTGTCAGTCTGACCCATAATGGCGTCAAGGTGACGTCAGGCTCCTCCAGTGTGGCGCGGGCTGTCTCGTAGTGGTGCCACCATGGCTCGTACTGTACCATAGTGGTGCGGGGTGATGTTGGGGTGATGTTGGGGTGATGTCGAGGTGACAACGGTGACACCAGGGTGGTGAAGTATGAAGGATGTAGCGAGTTGTGGAGCGATAGATCAAAGAGATGTTGTAAGGTGTTGTAGGTGTTACGAGCCTGTCGAAGTAGGCGATGATGTCAAATAGGTTGTAGAGTGACAGGGTCGTAACAGGATGATGGAGAGGTTGCGGGGGATGAGGGTACCGGGAGGTGCATGTTTGTTGTTCAAACGGTCATGGAGAGTGACATGAGAGACCTCATAGCAACCTGCAACTTTACAAAGGCTTTTGGAAGGGTTGGCAAGCTTGTAGGCAATTGCTGTGTCCATAGCTGTTCACATGAAGATGTTAAGATGAATGAAAGATACATCACAATATGACAATTTTCTTCCCGAACATTGTGTGCCTTCAAACGCCATGTGTCTAAGAGTAGAGTAGACAGCTAGAATCAAAGATGTCAATTGATCAGAGAGACAGAGAAAGAAACAGAGAGCTAGGACCTTTATTTATAGACAAAGTACCCCAAACTGAGCCTAAAACTCCTTCCTCTCCTCTCCTACTTCCTGGGGGCAAACTCTGAGGAAACCCCGTATCACAAACAGCATTTTAACCAACTTTACAGAAGGCTCTGAATCATCCTGGAAGCCCCCAAAACAGATCTTTTTGTCACGGCTGTCGAACAACTTCTCTCTATCAGACCAACGGTCAACGAACCAGGGCTAACTGGACGCTTCAAAGTTGATGTCTCACCCAACCAGGAGGGCGCAGACGTCGAAAGGACTGTGACTACGGCGTACTTCGACGTAGTTACTCTGATTTCTTTTACTGATGGCAATGTATCTTGATTTGAATGTAGCTATCTCTATCAATCTTTTACTACTGACAACAATCAAAGATCACTGAAGAACTTCAGCAATCTTCTCAGCTAATATTATCTACTCCTCCTAGACGTTCACCCAACCCTCTCGCGCTTAGATGTACTTCAACGCACTTTGTCCAACTTCCCTGAGTCCCCAGCCATCCTTCTCCTCCTTTGGCTAACTCCACCTCACATCGCCGCACTTCTGCTCCCATTGTCCCCACTCAGCCTAACTCCGTCTAACTTCGCCGTACTTCTGCTTCCATTGTCCCTACTCAGCCTAACCCCACGTAGCTTCGCTGCACTTTGCCGTTCTTATGCTCCAGACCCTCGTATACCTTATTCTCCCATTGTACTTTGCCGTAGTTGGTCTCAGATGTCCTGAGTTACGTGTAGGATGAAGAGGTTAGGACATGATAGGGGTTTTGATGGTCAAAGGAGGGTTGTTGTTGGTGGGATAATTGAGGTGTTGCGACGTAGTTCGTGACAGTTTTCATCAATGGTTGACTTCATGAGAAGAAACACGGATAAAGGATCCATGAAATGTGATCCTTTAATACCTGAAACTTTCCCATGCAGTTCAGATGTGCACTGATCTTTCAGGGGGTTCAGAGGGTGTTTCTTAGGCGCCCACATTATGCCAATTTTGACCCAAAAATACCTGGTTCAGTCCTGCGGGTTTGGTAGAGGTTTGAGAGGTTCAAATATAGGCTAATTATGCTTAGTAGAGTGGTTTTCCTTCTGGTACTCTCAGTTGAGTCATCCACACTGTTTTGAGAGATGAAACCTGTGATTAATAGTTTGAACCGCCGTTAGATAATTACCCCTTCTGTCGAATATTTCTCCTTTCAACTTATCCTCTGAACTCTATTTGACCGTCTCTGGTTTACTGTGTGTGAGTGGAATGTGATAAGTATAGAGACATGTAGAATTGATGCATGCTCTTTTTCCCCTCTGTGTTAAGACCTGTCCCCAGCAAAAGGTTGTCGGGATGTGGAGACAGGGTGGACAGCAGAAGTTTACAGCAAGCTTGGTCTAAGACTGGCGGGAGTAGACCGTAGGGCTGGTGCAAAGGTTGACAGAAGATGTATCGAGTAGGAAGGAGGTAATAAATATAGATCAAGTATAAGAGTGTCTAGTAGTAGGAACTATATACAAAGGAAGGTGGGACTTTGGAGTGAAGACCCAAAGTCAGGCTTGATGATAGATGGAGTGCCACCCGTAGGATGATCTTGCACTGTCTATGGTCAAAGATGACTTTGGGGAGAGCGGAGAGGTAATGAGGAAAAGTGAGGTGTTTTGAGATAGTTTTTCTTGTTAAAGTAGATACCCATTCCGCCGCCTTTATATACCTTCCAGAATTACATGTTTTCACACTGATTCCCACAATCCACAATGTGGCGTGTGGAGTCACATGACTTGCACAATTCCACAATGAGGTGTGTGGAGTCACATGACTTGCACAATTCCACAATGAGGTGTGTGGAGTCACATGACTAGCACAATTCCACAATGAGGTGTGTGGAGTCACATGACTAGCACAATTCCACAATGAGGGGTGTGGAGTCACATGACTTGTTGTGATGAGGTGTTATGACCTGGTCATAACACTCTGTATCATCATCTAATTATCAGTAAACAAGAAGGAGATGGTTGAGTGGGACCTGTGGTGTCTGACCAAGCTCTGGGCTCTTTGTTGGAGGACATCATGACCGTTAGTAGAGCTTGATCATGAAGCAGATAATCAGTTGGATGACTTCGAGTTAAAGACTCTTTTGGAGAGCCTGCTGACCTCTGTATACCGGTAGAGGGATTTGCATTCCTAATTTCACCTATCTTTGAACTGTCTGTTGAACTCGTGCATACCATTGGTTCACGCGGACCCAGGAGACACACATTGATAGGAAAGTACCATTCTTGCAAAACAGTATGTGAGCCGTTTGAGGGAACATTGCAAATTGACTCAACCAGTCATTTCACACAGGGAGTTGTACAAGATCTACTTCCTTGGTAGGTCTAGAACTTGAATGACGATCTGGGAAGCCATATCCTTACTGATTGGGGTCATGTCTGGACGAGGACTGAGAAGAATCAGGGGTGTTGTTGTCCATGGAGCGGTATGTTAGGGATCCAGCGGGAGACAGACCACTCTGAAGTGGAAAATCTCCCATCTGGTCTGATTGGGTCTGACTCCGGAGTGTGTCACGCCTGCGGGTAGACTGCGGTAGCAAAGGACTGCCTTGGGAACTGAGGGGTTTAGTCTCTGGCTTGTGGACCTTGGTGAATGCCTTGGATACTGAGGGTTTGAGAGGTTGGGTTAGAACCAACTGAGTGACTCATGAAACGAGGGGAAGGGAATTGAAAAGATACATTGCTGAAGAAGAAAAGTAGAGCACTAGATAGGGTTTAAATACGAAAATCAGCCTTTTCCAAGAGGCTCGTGCAGACCTGCGGAATACGAGCGCTCTGAACCGTCCTGCACTGTCCTGCATGCATTGCCATGCATCCCACCGATTACCACTGATATCCTACAATGCCATATCTGTGTTTACCTACGTCTTACTATGATATCCTACGTGATGCACCGTGAGTCGGTGACTTTGTCAAAGGTGGTCAATGAGGTAATATGCAGATCATAGAAGAGCTGCGAGAACAAGAGACTGAGAGATTATGCCTTACAAGACATCAGAACAGAGGAAAGCGAAATTAGAGAAGTACTTGGAGCTTATGCCTTACAGGCATGAGAGCACAGGAAAGATAGTCTTGGGGTTGATGCCTGAGAGGCTTTAGAGCAGAGGAAAGATAGACTTGGAGTTTATGCCCAATAGGCTTGAGAGCAGAGGAAGATATGAGAGTGGAGGTTTGAACTTGTGATTATGACAAGTCATTATTTGATAGTGTCATTCATGACAGAGTGGTCTGTCTCCCGCTGGGTCCCTAACAAGGTCCGTGCAGCTCTGGAGACGGTCCAGCGCCGGCTGTGTCCCCAACAGCACCCTCCTGCTTCTCACCATCAGATAACCTTGAGTCAGAGCACGGCTGCATTACTGTACTGCAAACACAAACACTAAGACTACTACAAGTCTGAAACAGTGAGAGGGGTCGAGGGGCGGGACTTGGGGGGATCATTGGACACTAGATTCCGGAGTGGGGACAAACCCCTTCCATTGGTGTTTCCTCTGGAAGGTCTGTTGCGCCGACCTTCTTGAAGAACACCTGAAACTCCCACTCTTGTGCCCTTGAAGATGTCGCCCATGTAACGTCGCCGGGCATTACTATACCTCTCTTGCACATTAGCAGCTGGAGAGGAGTCTGACTCACTTTCTGAGGAAGAGTGTTGCAAAGATAATGAAAGCTTTCTTTTAGTTCCTATCATTGATTGTTGTTGATCTCTGTCCTGTGCTGCTGAATCTTTGTTGACAAACACATCATCAGTGTATGCAGAGCCTGATTGAACAGAAGTGTTGAAGGGCTGGGAGGAACTGTGGGAATTATCATTGAAGGATGATATACTTGATTTACCCTTGCGCCCAGAACTGAGATAGCAGTTGCTCCAAGGGCCCACTGGAAGACAAGGCTCACGATGGCGGGCACGTCTATCTTGGGTTTCTTGGTACCCGTGATTCTGTGATAGAGGTACAGTAGCGCCCGGCAATCTGAGCTTGGGACATGGAGGTCCAGCGTTATTGGTGGGAAGTGGGCCCTCACGGTAAAAACCAATGTATTCCAGCCAGGCCAATTGGTCACGTGGATCATCCGAAAAACAAGGGGGGTGAGATCCTTCACTACCCATTGGCTCATGCCATGGAGCAGTCAGCTGGGTGAATCTGGTTGTAGATGGAAACGGGGAGTGTCGTTTCTGCCACTCTTCATATGGCAGCACGACAGGGCCTGTGAGGGAACGTTGAAGACCTGACGAGTTATCCAGGTGAGGCAGATGTTGGCCAGCAACGCCCAGTGAACGATTGAGATTGCGCTCAGGGGGCACACTTCCAAATTTGGGAGTACTTGGAGTGTCTGTGGACCCCAAATACACTCTACATTGTGGTGCAGTTTCTCCAGTAATGACGTTTACATCCCAAGTCCAATGTCCGCTACCGAAAGTCGGTGAGACAGGGTTGGCTGGTGTATGTTGATTCCCAACGATGGAACGATCCTGTAGATCCCAGAAGCTTCGCCCCCGTGCCTTCCCAAATAGGGATCGAGTCTTCTTTGAGTGGTGGTGTTCCCCCAATTATCAGTGGTCTGTTGACTGGCCATGAGGAATACAGTTGTTAAGGTCACGGTCTGAAATTCTCAGTCTTTATGTGTTCCACTGGGATGTGGACAGGAGAAGGGGTCCTGCTTCTCCAAACCCCGGATCAAGGGAGGGATGGAAGCCGTCCAATCGTCGGGGGTCGAATTCGATCAACGTGGGAAACACAGATTTAGGGTTGCCAGGTATTTAGGTGGGAAACAAAGAGGACAAAAGAGATCACTACTGATGGTACTTTAGGAGAAGCTGAGGAAAGAGGGGAGATGCAGATCTTGATCCGTGAGATTTTGCGACTTTGATGATCCGTACACAGCCTTCAATGGACAGCGGATATGGATCATACTACGTATGTATGTATGTGTCACGTGGAGGAAAGGTCTTAATCACGCTTTTCGTAACGTTTTGGGACTTAAATACACATTTTCTGAGATTTGGGTCTTAGATACGTCTTCGGGCTTGGGGAAGGGTTGTTTTTACCACCCCAAGTTAGGGTGGACCGGGTTGTTAGCCGATAGAATCGGGCCAGGACGGCCGAACCGCCGTTAGATAATTACCCCTTCCGTCGACTATTTCTCCGTTCGACTTATCCTCTGAACTCTATTCAATCGTCACTGGTTTACTGCGTGTGAGTGGAATGCGATAATGTAACGGTACTGGAAACACGATGACTAGGTCGCAGGTTGGGTCGAACTCAATGGAAGTCTCGTAGAAATCTAGGTGTCTCGGTGCCAATGAATTGTGTCTCCTCTGCAATCAATGTAGCCAAAGAATGTTATTGAAGAATCAGCAAAGTTGGTACTTTACTGATTGTACTATATACTATCAACAGGGATCCGTGTCCTTCTCTCAGTCCTACTGCAAGCGTCTATGTACATACTCAGACAGGTAAAAAACCCTTTTGAGCAAACCCAGTGGGGAAATCTCAAAAAGGGAAAACCCGTCCCTATCTACTGCAGCACTGCCTCCAACTCCCACCGTTCTCTTTCCTCATCTGTTGAGTTCAATGGATCTCTCTCGATTCATTGTTACCCCGTAACAGATAAGTATAGAGACATGTAGAATTGATGCATGCTCTTTTTCCCCTCTGTATTATCATCTAATTATCAGTAAACACGGGTGCACCAAATTAGGGGGCTATTGATCATGCATAACAATGTTAGGGGGTCAGGGGAAGTCAGGGAGCTAGAGAGTCAGGTGGTGAGAATGTTTCTGATGCATGCTTTACATTGGGGGACCAGGAAAGGAGGTGTAATCAAGTCCAAAAACACTTGAATAAGGGTGATGAAGACCTTTCCTCATCTCACGTGACCCACAGAAGCTGTGGCACTTGGGACTGTCACAGGAGTCACTGTGGCCATCAGAAGATCCATGCTACTTCAACATCATGTCCATGACCCAAAACAGGATTGCTCCTTACCAACAACCACCACTCCAACAGTCCCACCTTTCCCTACAGGGATGTTGAAGTGTGACGGTGCCAAAGAATTGTTGGACTAGAACAATCAGCACAGATGCAATTGGAGGTTCCCACTTTTGCATAGCTGTTAGCAATAATGACATTGAAGAATCAACAAACTTGTTATTTTGCTGATTGTACTACATAGTGTCTACAGGTATCTGTGATGCCTTCCCTATCCTGCTGCAAGCGCGCATGTCATGAATCACAAGTATCAGTTTCCACATGTTTTAGTTTTGCTCTAATGCCTTTGAGGCAAGAGACCTGAACCTTTAGTTAGTTATGTTATCTTCAGTTATGATGCCTGGTATGGCATGAGACCCAACACTTCAGTACAGTTGGATTCAGAGCAAACATATGATTCACGACGTGATGCGTGCTTTCTTGTGCAGTCCACAGCGTATTACACGCAGCACGCCAAGAATAGTGTGCAGTCTGTCTTTGCTAGTTAGAAAATGATAGGTACACCGAGGATTACAGTGTTTTCCTACGCAGGACGGTCCAACCTGGTAGAAAGCCTGATTTGTCTATATAAACCCTACTTAGTACTTTGTAGTCTTCTTTAGTTCTTGATCAAAAGTCATTTCCATTGGCACCCTTTTGGAGTCCAATCCATTCCAGTCCAGTCCAGTTACAATTATAGTCCAAGTCCTTCCTAGTCTTGTTAGACAAGCCAGAGACATTCCTTGGGTCACAGTCCCATTCCTTGTTGGACTCAGTCTTGTTATCTAAGTATATTCCTTGTCACTCCTAGTCCTTGTCCCTTGTCCTTTGTCCTCTCTCCCAGGGTGGGCAGTATCCTTAACAGCGCATGTACATACAGTACTTGAACAGGTGAAGAACCGCTTTGAGCAACCCTAGTGGGGTAATCTCGAAAGGGGAAACCCTTTCCTACCTGCTTCACAACTTGCCGCCTCCGCGGAAGCCCATCAATACATGTGGATGAACGCCACCTCTTCGTGGTTAGAATGACAATTCGATGGATCTAAAGAGAGGTACTACATGTAAAGTTTCGATGTTACGAAGGGACCGTGAGGTGGCATTCCTAGAACTCCAACACTTGTAACATGCATAGGGCGGCATGCGATAGAACAAGAGGTGCTCATAGAAGCGCTTAGGATAACAAAAGACCTAAAACAGCCACAAGATGAAATTGGGAGGCTCATTTATGGGTACTTTCAAGACAATAACTTGTGGAAAGACAGGAGAACAGTGTACTGGCAAGGTCTCCTCCCAGGAAGCTTCAACTTTGAGGAAGCACATAGAAACTACTACATCAAAATGATGGCCACCAGCATCAAAACTACAGCTCAGATGTGGACAGCATGGAGAAAACAACCATTTTATCAACTGAACTCAGTAACAGGATAGCCATTGTACCCCAAACGGAGACAAGACTCAAAACGTACCACAAAACTTAAATCACACGGAACATTATAGCACCAAAGGTTACTCCAACCGGACTTTGGCCAGACGAGGCTTGACACGCGCGATCTACCCATTCGTCACACTGCTCCTCTTCGTTCTCACGTTTACGTTCTCCCATTTGTAGCTCCCGTAGCGTTTTCAACGTAGCAATCTCGCCCATAATGGGTATGGCCGACTTATCGGCCGCAGAGACATGCATTGTATCACCCTACTGCAGCACTACCTCCTGTTCTCGTCCTTCTCGATCCCAATCCATGAAGTTTGATGGAGCTGCTTTGAGTTGTTGTTACTGAGTAGTATCTTTAGAGCAACTGTTCCTGTTAACACGGTCCCAAGGGCGTGGTTCGCTCTGTTCATCCACCCAGGGGGGCACATGTGACCGAGAGGGTGCAGGCGCAAAAATGGGAAGTGAGGATCTTGCAAGGGCCTCAACCGGGGGCGCCTGTGTTTTCGGCAAAGAGGACAGGTCAGGGCTGTTAGACGCTGATGATGCTTGAGTAGTAACAGTCTGGAGGGTGGTGATTGGTGCAGTCTTTGGTTCTCCCTGACCGGAGATGGTGCTACTTAATGTGGGTGCGGGGTGCCCTGCTGATTGTACCGAACAAGCATGTGTGGAGATACTGTCTTGCTCAGCACCTTGAGTGTGCTTCTTCCCTTCAACTTGACTTTCTGACATAGCTTGATCTCTGAGATGACTTTGGTCTGATTACTTGTATAGGTCAGTAAATTGATGTGAGTACGGGTGAGGGATGTAAGTGGTAAACATCACCTACTCCTCATCACCTTATAAGCTGGACCACCCGTGAGAAAATTCTGCGCATTTCCAATTTACTGACCGATCCATTCTTCTAGCTACTCCCTCCACACAGCATCTTCCTGCGGAACAAGAATCGTCAAAATGGAGGGGACTGAGAGTCTCCTTTCACGGATTATCAAACATTTCACTTTCCGTGCGTTTTTAAGCACTGATCGATCTGAACACGGCTTTCCGTTGATTTCGCACCTTTCATCGTCTCCACTAGTCTCACCCTCTTCTCAGAGATCTCACGGTGGAGTGAGAACTTTCTCAATATGGCAATGGGAGAGTTGGAGGTTCGAAAATCGGGGATCCTTTGGAGGGATTGAAATCACATACGTTAAAAAGCGGTGTAGACCTGTCTCTCATCGTGTCCCCGACCCCTCCCTTCAAAATGAATCAGGGACTATGGCCGCCTATGCGTGAGAAGACAATTTTGTTTGGCTTAGTCATAGGTCTGATGAGTATAAATGAAGGGATGACTAAAGCGAGGTGATCACTCTTCCCCCTGGTCAACGACTCCACATATCGAAGTGACCTGCAGGATTGACTATAGGCCTCAACTTCTGTAGTCTAGAAGTCAAATGATGTCCACAAGAGTCAACAAGGTCTTAGGTCACGCATCATGTGCATTAACACTCGAGAAGTCATTGGTGCATTCATCACTGACATACTAAGATTGTCCCCTTTGGTTCCAAATGGATTAATCATCGGAAGAGCCATCCAGGACAGGTTGATTGTCGGAACATATTTTGGTCAAATGTATTTCCAACAAGATCATGGGTCTCTTCTCCCTTCCATCTTGAGCTATCAGGAGGGATCTCAGTAGTTTGTGATTTGGGACTGGATATAATAGGCATGAATGTACTGTCCAAGGAAGATTGCCTTGAAATTGATGTGAGTGCATCAAGTAGATTGTTATGCTGCATCTGTTGGTCTGCTCTTGTTTGTAGTTCCTTGAACAGTTTATGATTGACATCTATACCCATTCTCTCCATCCTTACATTCTTCTTCAATTGGGGGGAGACAATAACAGTACTATCTCGGTATTTGCGAACCCAGGTAGGTGCACTGAATATCTGTGGAGCATTCAGATCATTATTTCCCTTCCGAAACACAGACTGGGACCTCGCCCCTGACCTTGCAGTACTATATGGGTGTTCAGAAGGATCAACAATGTGTTTGGAGGTCCTCAGGGGTTGGTAAATAGTCGAGGGAAAGGATGGGGAATTTAGTTTTCCCATGTTGTACGATTGGGTTATGTCATCCACATCATGGCCCGGTTTCCTCGATGATGACGAACAACATGGGACAGACAGTGATGAGTTAAGTTGTGGGGAGGGGGCCTGCAGCCTGTACATTGTAGGGCGGGGTTGGTGGACACTGGTCTCGGGCCGAGATCCTTTACGAGACATATTGTCATACTCCCATGGTCTCCAAACTGTATGAGAGGTTGTCGAGTCGGACGAAGAACAATTCGACTCAGCTTTACTAGTCTTATAGGGAACGAAGAAGCAGCTCTGATCCATGATTGACTTACGAGAAATGTGAAAAATATCAAAAAGTCGTGGAAAAGGTGAGAAAGAGTTGAATGAACTTGGATTTTCACAATAAATGTATATGATGTGGTCAAAATTCGATTTGGAAGTTGATCAAGTTGAAGATCGCGGAATTTGAAAGACAAATTAATCCGTCATTTACTTGTGTTCGTCCTCCTTTCATCCTTGCCTTCTTCTATAACATCTAATTCCTCTGAGGTAAATACAGTAAATGCATTTGATCATCTAATTTGACCTGTAAGACTAATGCAGGAGATTGAATCTTAGATCAGGAGTGTGAATCATGCGGCTTCTCGTATGAACAAGGCAAAACATGAAAGCGGAAAGGATGCCAGGATACCCGGCGGAATCCTCGTCGGATCCGTGTTCCTGCTTTGAAGACGTTGGTGAGAGACATGAGACGGAACAGGGTACTTGGCAACAGCTGGATCTCAACCGTCGTCGTTCCTCGAAGGCCAAGCCTGGGCGGTAGATATTGTGAGGGTCGCTTCACACGAAGAGCTAGGAACAACGAATTGTTATTGTACGGGTACCTCGAGGGTATGGTGGTGTTGAAAGCTGAATAACAGAAATAAGGTGAAATTGGTTGCCGTTCCACCTATCCTGGGAGAAAGACTACTGCCATCTATCATATGGCTGAGCCAGCAGTATTCACCACTTCGTGAGGGTGAATTGACAAGACCCAAGTCTGGACAGTTGCCAGAGACCCATGTTGTGAGTGACTAATAGATGTGGAGCTTTGGGGGTGGCCATCATGTCCTTGAGTGACTACCCTTCTGGATGATTCTTCAACAGCGCTTCCACCTGGTGGTCGTTCATTCCTGTGAGGTTCATCAGCAACTGGATCGTTTGGACCTGCGTCCTGTGCCCTCTTGACTTCGGCCTTCCACTCTTCCAACTCAGTAGGAGTCAGACTTTGAATTGTGGCTGGACTAGAGTGGGAGTCACAATCATCTGAGTAGAACTCATCAGGATCTGACTTCTCACACTCACTATCTTTACTCTCCACCACAAGTAGGTCAGGCGGATCGAAACTTGAGTACGTGTTAGTACCATCTACTTGATCTCTGATCCATGCTTCAGTACGGGATGATGATGGGCTTACTTTGAGGTTTGAGGGGGATTTTAGGTATTTAGTGAGTAATTCTACTTCTTCCTTTGTAAGTGGTGGGACATCAAGGGTAGAAGACAAAGCCTTGCGCTTAGAAGGCTCGTCTCTGTTGTCAGAGCTCTTTGACCTAGATCTCTTTCGGGTAGAAGATGGGCTATTCGGCAGCTGTTGAACAGACATGGAAGGGGAAGTACGATCCATCGCTCGAGTTGACAACTGTGGGTAAGTTTGTTCCATACTGTTCAATCCAGATCGCAAAGAGGGGTCAGGTTGTATGTGGGATCCGGTTGGACCACTCGGATAGTGACCAGCCGCAGTCAATGTTTAATTCATCATGAGCAATGAAGACTCTACGGGTGTGTTGTGAACATACCAAAGTGGAAGTTCACTTTTAAGTCTGGCAGAGGACATGATCTGTGAGTGAATGTGACTCACCACGAGGAAAGTTTGTATCTACGAGTACACACACTTCCGAGACGGCGGGGTTTACCGGAACGGGGATAAGAACAATTGGAGGTGCTTGATCGATTCCCGAGAACTCCTGTTCAATGATGATGTGATTCTTACGATCAGAGTAAGTTGAGTCTCTCCCGAAGACGTAGAAGAGGTATGTTGGAGAACAAGTGGGATGTAATCCGGAGTGTGGGTTTGATTTGAGTGATTGTGAAAGGGAAGGGATTCTCCTTTTTCCCGAATTGACCCCCGTAACTCCGCCAGAATGGTGATACGGAGTTCCACCCTATAAATGATATCGATTTCAATCCATGGTCATCAATCCATTTCAGTATGAATTAAACAAGAAAGAATAGAAGATCTGCGTCTAACGTTCAAACGGGAAGATCGGATAAGAGGCATAATTTTTACATACGTATTAACATGCTCGTCGGTCAGTCAGTGATCTAATTGGAGTAGGATCAAGTCTATCATCTGTTATCCTTGTGAATCCTACTTATCACGCTGTCATTGAACAACTCGACACAATTTATTAGAAGCTTCATCATATCCGGGACTCAGAAACTTGGTCTGAAAGATGTGTTTCTTAGGTCGTTATCGAGTGAGAAGTCGGCGAAATAGGTATATCCGTCGGGAGGAGGCGTTTCGAGTCTATTCGATAAATTGAGTGGGGACGGACTACGACGATCACCCCACGATTCAAGTGTTGGATTCGCCCTTCGTGTTAAATGTCCGTTCGAGTGGATAGAACCGACTGAATCTCCCGGGCGATAGGGTTTTGGCTCGAAAAGATGACACACCCCAGGACGAAGCCTGTAAATTGCAACCTCCCATGGAGGTGGAGGAAATGGATTTGATACATCGTTGGGTTCGGCAGATGGACCCGATATCATTCCCGGAATTGACATTGGGATGACCGACTCGCTGGTAGTTGGAACTTCATAGGGAAATTCGCCCGGTAAAGTGTGTCTGTCATCCGCCAACAGTGGGTTTAGCCAGATCAAACTGGTGCCTGTCAAATCAGGAGTACTTGTGGGGATGGAAGTCTGCGTTCCACTTAGTAGTTTATCGAGGTCACCTTTATTCAGTAACCAGGCAGGAGGTGAATTTAGATCGGGATAATGTATTGGCTGGGAATAAGGTCTTCTAACCGGAGCCAGATATGACCAGTCGTTTAGCGACGTCGGGTCGGTCTTTAGTGATGGACCAAGGAGAGACGGGGATTTACGCCGAGCCGGATTGAGCCCATATGTTGATAATTGTAATTCTCGAGACGGTGGTCGTTCGAAATGAGAGCTATTGGGAGTTTCCGTCCTCGGTCTTTTCGGGACAGGAAGGGAATGCTGAGCATATTGAGTGAAGTCCGGGTCAAGTGACTTTCGTGAAGCTTCATTCCAACCGTCCCTGGGAAAATCCGTCTCATCGTGTGGCCTTTTTCGAGTCAAAATGGGTTTCGAAGTTGCGGGAAGGTCGCCGTCCGTCTCTTCTCCCGCGAAATACATTTTTATGTTAGGCTGTTCACGGGGTCTCGACGAGTTCCGTGAGTGGTTCGATAGCCTGCTCAGTGAGTATGGAGGAAGCATAATACCAATGTTAAGAATAGAAGGAAGGGAGGAAGGGGATATACATATATGTCAGATGAGAAAGATATTGATGGGTTCATAAACAAATTTGACCTACGCTCAAAGGAGGAAACCTTTCTTTCCTATCATTAGGCTAACCCTTTCGACCTCCTCCGCCCTTCGAGATATGAAGACTAATCTCCTTACCGTTTGAGATGCTTGGATTGCTGTTGAAGCATATTATCACTCCACGGATTAGTATACGATTAGTGTCAAGAGGACGGTATGGTCAGTAGCTCGTGAAAAGATGAGAAAGACGGACAGGAAAGGAACAAGGAAGTGAAATTTCGGAAAATTCCAACTTCGAAATAGTCCAACTTTCGAACTTTTCTTTCCTTTTTTTTTGTTCACTACTCTCTACATTATTCATACTCAAACTATGACGTATTCCGTCAAATGAATATGGAGATCTCGAAGACATGTCCCACAATGTGACCGAATCGCTACGGACCATTCCTCCTCGCTCGATACCGACGTACGACCATCTCTCTTACTCTGACTTCTTAGTGAGTTCCTCTTTTCTCCCTCCTTTCCCTCCTGCTCCCTCTTCTGTAACTCCCTCCCTATATAACCAGCTTCTGGTTATAGAAAACAATCGAACTGACTCGATAGACCCATCATGCTATCCCCAATACCCCTTTTCTCCTCTCCTCATCATGTACCACCTCCTGGCCTGCCGTAGCGTCATGGCGGCTTCCTTCTTCCCAGACCGATATAGCCGGACCGTCTCGTCCCAATTTGACAGCATTGAGGAAGTACGAGAATCATATTGTACCCGTGGCCGATACACGCAAAAGGGAGTTCTCAGAGTTCGAACGTACCGAACGGCCTTTGGGTCAAGTTTTAGATCTTTGGGAGAAAGGAGAAGGGGAAGGATTATATGTGAAAGATTGGCATTTGATTGCTCAGTTGGAATACGAAGGTGGATGGTCTGAGGAAGTTTACGAAGTCCCAGAGTGTTTCCGTGGTGAGTGATCATATGATAACTGCTCACTTCCTCCTGGGATCGTTTGACCATAGATTACGGAATGAGACGTCTTCACATAACACATAAGTTTTCTGTCTCTCGGACTGGCCTGTTGATTGCCAGATGACTGGTTAAATCCCGCATATCACTTCAAACCCCCTTCATCGAGCACAATCACATCTCCCGTGTCAAAACAAGTACTACTCAGCACTCACAAGTTGAATGACAATCCTCAACTCCAAACAACCCCTCGTCAGGATTGTCAAGGGGAGCAGTGTCCTAACAAATCTGATCGACCACCATCACTCGATGCGAAAGATCTCCGATTCGTCTACATCGGTCCCGCGGGAACTTTTACCCCGATCCATCGAGACGTTTACGCTTCATACTCTTGGTCTGCCAATGTGGTAGGGAGGAAAATATGGTGGTTATTTCCTCCTTCTTCCTTACTTTTTTTGAAGGGGAAGAACGGGGAAATTCCTTTTGATATCAGAGAAAAAGATTTGGATCTGGAAGTGCAAGCTCTGGGAACGATCAAGATCTTACAACAAGTAAGTTGGTATCTGATAACAGTGTTGGACAAAAGTGCCCTCAAAAGGTGTGAGTATGAAATAAGAAGGAAGATAAGAGAGGTGGAAGGGAGGATGTGAAGGGTGACTGATACTTCAGGTAGGTGACATTTTGTTCGTTCCTAGTGGATGGTATCATCAAGTCGTCAATGTGGATTTTGTGAGTTGTCCCTTATGGGCCATTTAAACACTGTCAATATTGCCAACCTGTCTGTCTGCTTTCACTCGTGAACTTCATCTTTGGATCGTAGCGTACACTTGTACTTACTGTCAAAATCGTAAAGATGTCAGTCGGTGTAAATACAGTACATGTCCTGATATATAGTGTATATCAATCAATCACAACTTTCTCTCTTCCCCTACTCTCCTCAACGTTTTTAGAGCATTGGAAAACGCTCAATCCGACGTGGAAGATTCTCTAGAAGATGTTAAACGAATGATCATCTCCCGTCATTCCGGTACGGAAACGATCGAAGATTCTAGATCTGCTTTGAAGAATTTGATGTTCGATCTGAATCATCTTGCACAAAAGTCGATACCAAACCCTACTATCCCACGGCCAAGCCCCAATCCCGCAGCTCTGAAGGCGGCATCTCCTTCGACACTGCTCGAGATTATTGATGATTCTGATATGGCGAGACCTAGTCACGATCCAATCACGTCGGTCTCAACTTCCTCTCCTTACGTCACTTCCCTATCTGAACCAGTTTGTTTTCTCACAACCTCAACTTCGTATCCACCCGAACTCATTCAATCACACCTATGTCAACAACCGGATGACTTACCGGGTAATGAAGAGACAAGAGGATATGTGGAAGAATGGGAAAAAGAATGGATTCAACAAGTTCAAGATATACTTCGGTTGGACGCAGGATGGAATTGGTCAGATTTCTGGGATTGTGTATTGCGTAACATCTCCGATTCTATGGACGAAGTCTCTTTACGACAAAACCCTTCCGAAGCGTCTGTCGGGGATATTAAACAGTACGACGACATGAGGAAGTATGAACCACCAAAGGAAATGAGGGATGAATGGGTGAGAGAAGTGATAAGTTTGTATAGGACGAAAAGGGAATGGAAAGTTTTAGATGATGTAAGGGAGATGATCAGACGGGTTGGGGGAGTAGTTGGGTACGAGTAGAGAAAGTACTGTAGCTTTTGAAATCGATAATATCGGAGATCTTCCACTTTGATAGAAAACATCTATGCATCTGTATTTTAAACATCCTGTACCAGTCTGAACCTGATTGACTAGATCTGCTGTCTTGACTCCACCGATCATCTCCTCCCGTCATCAGATCAACTCATGTTACCCGCTTTTACGGATGTTCTGAACACCGCACTCTCTACTGAGATCTTCTTGAGGGAATTACCTGATTATCCCGTCACCGAATTGACTAATCACCCGATACACGTAACGACCACATGACCTTGTATCGAAACAGGCAACCATCGGTCGTTGACAACTCAATCGCACCTCCACTTCTTACCACCCACCACCCACCACCCGTCGACCCCCGACCGCCCGTCAACACCGATTCCTCTCGTGTGAATAGGTACCCATCTCTCATGTCAAGGAATGAGGTACCCATCCCTCATATCAACAAAAGAAATACTTCGACATCATATCCATTCAAAAAGATCATTCTCACTCATCAAAAAGAAAGATCAGAACAGTTTGTGTCAATTTAAACCCCGATAGTATTCCTACCTATCAACCCAACCTTTCCTTGTCCATAAACCAACTCTTTCCCTTTCCCATCAGGTTCATCTAAAAACCCAGCACGTATCAACCAACTTAAATACTTTCCAACTTCTTCTTCACCAACACCAGCACCTTCTTTCTCACCAGCTTGTTTGGCCAAAGTCCTAGCGTTTGTATCGTCCAATTCAGCAGATTTGGTACTTGTTGGTAAATCGTCCAAAACGAAATGTAATAATGGGAAAAGAGCGTTATCTTGAGTTTCTAAAACGTGTTGTTCTAATTTACTACGCCAAATGACGTATTCTACTTTTTCGACTTTGTATCCGTAAAAAGGTAAGAAAGAGAGTAAGTCGTTGAATCGGATACGTGGATGACCAGTGACGTGGATTACGTATGGACCAGATGTGGGTTTTTCAGATGAAGGGGAAGTTAAAGGGGAAGAGGAAGAAGAAGAAGGAGGAGGAGGAGGAGAAGGAGGGGGAGGAGGTGAAAGAAGTGATAATGAACAAAGTAAAGAGACATGATCAACAGGGACTAAATTGATGGAATTGTTTATATCTGGTATCAAACCCAATTGTAAACATCCTTTTACCATTCTCCAAATGAAATCGTCCGTATTGGTGACTGATCGTCAGCGAGGTTTTCGTATAGCGTTTTCCGATCGAAAGCAACACAGAAGATGTTTAGGGTGTGTTGTGTGTTGTAGATTTGAGACAAGGGATAGTACGAATGGGTAGCTGAACGTGAAGAAAGTTCAGAGGCAGGATCAGCAGACGGGGTGTAGAGCAATAGGGGACGAGTGAAAGAGTGACCGAATGATACGGAAGTACGAGGGAAAGATTAATCAAAAAAGAGTAAACAAAACATGAGCTATATGAGAGTAGAAGGGTAGGAAGGTAGGAAGGTAGGAAAGTGGGAGAGTAGAAGGGTACAAGGCTGAAAGGGTAGAAGAGAAGAGATGTGAAAGAGTCGTTCAAAACTCACCAGCACTCTTAGAATCTCCCATTACATAACCAGGTCTAACTATCCAACCTCTCAATCCATTATTCTGAGCCATCATAATCAATTTCTCAGCTACCCATTTACTTTGTCCATAACCAGTAACCAAACCTTTTTTCCCTTGTTCTAAATCATCATCCTCTCTTAAACCATCATTACCATTCTGTAATTCTTCATCTGATTTCTTAATGAATCCTTCCGTATCTAAAACGCTCGTACTTGAAACAAAAGTGAATGATTTCATTTTCCCACCTTGACAACATAATTTCAAACATTCCAATGTCGATAATACGTTTGTAGGTTTTAATTTTTCATATGGATAAACCCAATGAACTATAGCACCATTATGTAATATCGCATCTGTTTCTTTTGATAAATAATCCCATGATTTTGAAGAAAGATCGAATTGAGGTTTAGATAAATCACCTATAATTATTTCTAATTTGTTTTCTGATAACCAAGATGGGTTCCAGATACCTAATAAAGTACAAGAATTAATCAAACGTTCTTGACCTTTTTCAAGTGATGATGATCTGACTAGACAAATTACTTTTTTAATTCGAGAAGATCGATTGGTGAGTAGGTCGTTTAATATGAAACCACCTAAAAACCCTGTGGCTCCTGTTAAGAAAACGGTAAGTGGTTTTGTATTATAGTCGGAAGGAAGAGGAGAGAATGTAGGTAATAGTGATACGAGTTCTGGAAGGTCATCGGAATATGAACGTGGTTTTGTCGTTGGTCTTGAAGGGGTCACGGTATCTTTGAAAGTACTCGCTGTTGGGGTGATATCACCATTCGATTCGACATTAGAGATATTATTGGATTTGTTTGAAGAAGAAGAAGAAGTTGAATCACCAAAAGCAGGTGTTAATTCTTCATTCCTTAACGAATCAACTTCTCTTGCTTGTCCACCAATAGTAGGTTTATCAAAAACTAATCCTAAAGGAGCATTAACAACGAAAGTTTTCCTAATCTCGAAGATCAATCTAGTGGCAAGGATAGAATGTCCACCCATATCGAAAAAAATCTCTTCCATTCCAATTGTATTAGGTGGTGAAGGTAATAATTTCAACCAAATATCATGTATCGTCTTTTGTGTAGGCGTCAACATTGTCGAATCTGTTGTCGGAACAGTTGGAACCAAAGAAGTATCGGGAAAAGGTAATTTAGGTTTATCGACTTTACCATTTGGATTTAAAGGAAGTTTTGATAATGGGAAATAAACTGATGGAACGGCATAAGAAGGTAATTTCTTTCTTAAATATTCACGAATATCTTTAATCAATCGACGATATCGACGTACACCACGTAACATTTCCATTTTTAAATCTTTTTCATTTTCTTCTTCTTCTTCTACTTCTTCATCATCTTGAGGATTATCCGATTCGGAAATTAATCCTTCGAGATTATCGTTGATGGGTACGAAATAAGAGACCAAAACTTTTTCTTCATCTTTATCTCTTCTTACCAAAGTGACGTTTTCTCTTACTAAAGGATGTCTTGATAAATGTGTATCGATTTCTCCTAATTCTATACGGAATCCACGGATTTTGATTTGATCATCGGCTCTTCCAGTACATTCGACATTCCCATCAGGAAGGTATCTACCTAAATCTCCAGATCTGTACATTCTATCTCTTATACCGAACCAATGTTCTCTAGCTGGACCAATGAGTGTATCTTCTCTCTTGAGATCTTGTCCAAACCAATTCATGACGAATTTCTCCGCAGTGGCTGAAGGATCTAAATATCCTTCTGCTAAACCACCAGATCGAACGTATATCTCTCCCATTTCTCCTACTGCACATGGGACTAGACGATCGGTTCGGTTGACGACTAAAAGTTGGACATCTATCATCCCTTGACCGGCGGATATGAGATCTTTTTGAGTGGAGAGAAAGGTGGAATCTTCGTTCACTGAAGGAATGGCGAAATAAGAGACGGCTCGTTGGGTTTCTGTGGTCCCATACATGTTGATGATGCAGACGTTCTTGGCGAGATGTTGGAGACGTGTGCAGTCGCGCTTAGTGAGGACGTCTCCAACGAAGAATGCGTTGAGGAGGGAAGGGATTTGACGGGTGGCTTGAGCGGAAAGAAGCTGACCCATGGCTGGGGGTTAGGTTCAGAACAAATTTGCAACGACATGCAAACGTCAAGTCATGGGTAAGATGCGTGGGAGGAGAGGTGTACAAGACTTCAAGAGAGTAGAAGTGAAAAGCGGTCATGAGCATATCCGGTCAAGAGAAAAGGGAGTGCGCCTAAGCTCCAGGAATCACAATGAGAGAAAAGGGTAGAGATAGAGATAGGGAAGAGGAAGTGAGAATGAAGAAGTGAGTGAACGGTGGAGAAGAGGGAAAAAGGTGTGGCAGTGAACAGTGGGTGGAGAAAAGGTAGAAGGGGGAAACGACGGGGAAGGGAGAAAACGAGACGAGCGATCAAAAAAGGAAGGGGAAAAGAAAAAGGTTAAAGACTTCACTCACCAGGTGTCAAATGTGTAACACTAACTTGACAATCATCCATCCATTCAGCTAATCTACCGGGTGTACCAATATCATCACTAGTAGGAACGTATAATTCAGCTCCTAAAAACAAAGGAGTAAACATATCCCTTTGAATAGGATCATGTGCTATACCACTTAACATTGTGAATTTACTTTTTTCGTTTAAACCGAATCTTTTAGACATCCAAGGGAAAAAATGTGTTAAACTGTAATGTCTACCTTTAACACCTTTCGGTATACCTGTACTACCTGAAGTGAAACTTAAAGTCGCAGGTGAATCCGGACCTAGGATTATACCTGTTGGAGTTTGTGATAAGTTTTGATATTTTTCTAATATATCTTGGTATTCCTCCTCATCTTTATTTACGTATCCCCCATCGTTCGTTTCAGATTTTATATGAGTGGACGAGATTGATTCGATAAGAGCATTCGATATTGATTGAAGTGAAAAAGTTGAATTGAATGTTGTCGATTGGGTTATTTTCGATCCTGTTACTTTCCCATTTGACGATAAAGAGATGGATGGGATGAGGATTTTCAAATCTAATTTATCTTTAATAAAATCTTTCACAATCTTGGCCAATTCTCCTGCTTTTTCAATGACCAACAAACCTTTTGGATTTGAAACTTCTAAATAAACGATTTGTCTATTAGGTGGATAAGCAGGATCGACGACTGAAAAAACACCACCAGCTTTCAAGATTCCCATTACGCAAACCACCATTTCGACACTTCTAGCAGCATAAACCATTACAACTTCTTCTTTCTTCAAACCATTTTGAATCAAACAATGAGCGATAACATTTGAAGCTTTATCAATTTGACCATATGTGAATGTTTTTCTACCTTTACTAGGTCCTTCCATTATCCCATTTGTTTGTTCAGATTGTATCACACATAATTTATCTGGATATTTCTTTGCGTTTGCAGAAAAGATATCAGGGATAGCTCCGACGAAATCACACCAATTTAAATCTGAAGTAGGATCAGGTAATATTTTTTCTTGTGATATAGTACGTATAGGTAATGAACCTATTGGATGATTAAAAGATTTTTCAGATGCCGAAGTTAAGAGTTGTAATAATGATTCTAATAAAGATGTTATACGATTTTGTGTGAATAATAATGAATTATATACTAATCGTAGATATAATGAAGGTATTGAAGTTCTTGTTATCGGTGTTTCCGTCGGTTGAGCGAGAAGGTATAAAGTGAGATCAGTTGTGAGTGATGTAGTTGGATCCATTTCTAGAGTTGTTGAATCGAAAAATCTTACTCGAAATAATGGACCTTCAGGTTTTAAATGGTCTACCAAGGTGGAAAGTGGGACAGAATCTTGAGTAGCGATGATTTCTTGAGTTAAAACTTGATGAAGGATTTCGAAAAATGACATTTCGGGTGATAATTCCATTTTCAATAATAAAGGATGAGTGGAAGGTGTCGAGTTGACAGCAACCGTCGGATCTGAGGAGATTGTCGAGGTGGAGGTGGAGGTGGATGTTGTCGAAATGGAAGCCGAAGAAGTACATAGTACCAAAGAAGGATCAGGTGTGTAACGAAATAAGAGGATGGAGAAAGAAGTGAGTAATAGATGATAAGGTGTTGGCAATGGAGAAGAAGGGTAAAGAGTGGAGTACTCCAGGGTGAGTCTAAGAAGGGCTGGGGTGAGGGAAGGTGGGATAGGTAAAGTTTGGAAAGATTCGACTAGTTTCGCGGGGGCTGAACGTCAACGTTTCAACATTTTTCACCTGAACCACACAGCGTCACATCAAGGGAGCAATACGGACAGGAATACTTGAGCCAGAGCCAGCAATAGGATAGAAGTACGAGGTATGAGGGATCCAAGCCGAGAAAAGAGAAGACATACATGGTCGAGGATAATCAGTAGGTAATGCCAAACTCGGCAGCGCTGATAATCTTTCCGACCATCTATCCAGTTTCGCTTTCAGTTCCGAAGCGGGCGTCGTGGTCCCATTGACCAGAGCACTTTCTGCCATGTTGAATGCCTGTGGAGCTGTTGTAGATGGCTCTAGTCGCTGTTTGACAAAAAATCAGAATTTACCCAAAAAAGAGTAAAAGATTAGAATATTTCCTACGAGTCGGCGCCGGTGTCGGCCGAAATATGTAGCTTATCAATCAAAATTTGGTGCAAATAATACCACGTCATGTTACATGCATAGAGTACCTCGGCTGTCATACAATACTTCTCTTTCCTTTACTATTCTTCTGCTAAACTATAAAATTACATTTGTGTAAGCTTATGCGGCTTTGAATTTCGGGTTGAGACCTTCTTTGAGCTACAGGGTCAGCGTGCGGATTAGTCAAGAGAGAATCGGACAACTCGCCTTGCGAACATCCTCGTTGAGAGCGGGAAGGGAATCTTCCATGTGACCTTCTCGAGTCTTGTGACGGTATTTGAACATTGCCGTGGAGCTGATAAATTAGCGACAGACTCTGAACGATACCAATAGTCCCCATCCCTCCGAATGCGCGTGACTTAAGAGGGGCTCGATAGCCGCAAGGCCAAGGGTGAGGTGGCGGGAGGAGCAGACGTAGATGGTGACCGCTCCACTCACCTCGGATGAACATCATGTGAATCTTTATGATCCCAAGGGTTCACCATTCCATTTTGTACTAATGCCCGATGAGGTTCCGGTTCGGAAGCCTTGGACATGCTGGCTGTTAGCTTGTCCATGTAAAACAGTCATTGGTCATTCGCACATATGTGAGTGGACGGAGGACAGGATGCGGTACTAGACCTTCCATGGTAATTAGACAGATCGGCAGTGACATGGAAGTATCGGTCGGGATCGGGGTATTGATGATTACAGAAAGGTTCCAATGTCATTGAAGTTCGATGATCGACAACTCACAGAAAGTACCCAGCACCTAATAAACCAGCCGTGAGGATGAAGGCCAATGGGTACAAAGCGGGATCACGTTTAGCAAACCTATTGACTTTGGCTGTGGCTTGTTGAATGTTTTCGGCGTGAGAGAGGGTGTGAGGGTCGGCCTAGAAGGTCAGGGGTTTTGACAGAAGGTACGAAGGATTACTCACACTGGGTTGACGAGGAGGTAAAGAAGACATGTTGTAGGTTGGTAGAGTGCTTTGGTAGAGATTGAAGAGCTCTTGATGGGTTGATTGGTCGCTGGAGTGCGATTGAGAAACACGAGGTAGTATATGTTGTATGTGTGGGAAGAAGAGGAGGCGAAGAAGACAGGGTTATAGGAGGTGGAGTATGAGAGAGAGAGGAAGGGGGATGACGTCATGTCGTAAGGGGGAGAACATCGGAGGCGATCTACCATCGGAATCTCGGGGTAAATCGATTGTGGCGTTTTGTGACGGAGCCCCACATCATCCCCGGGGGCCCCGCAACTACTCTCCTTCTCACTTGGAAACTCCATTCCTGCCTTAAAGTACATGCCCTACCTCAGTTACTCAATCACTACTCTTCAAGAACCCCCACGAGCAAAGTAATCATTGATATGAAACCTTCCTTGGAGGACGAACAAAGTTTTTTCGCTTTGACCTCAGGTGTATTTGCAGGATCTTCTTCTTCGAATTTGAAAATCACCGATATAGATCCTAGACCTTCAGTTGATCAAAGGGGTTATAGAAGATCAGAAGGGTTTGGAATCAAATCTCAAGCTGTTGTGGAACCTGGTATGTCATTTTTTGTATTTAACATCCTCTTCTTTCCATGCAATCACTCACGCGGGGTCATGACGAATGGGATAGAGAAGGGAATAGAGAAGAAAATTGACTAGAAGAATGGTCAAATCATGTGGGTATGTTACATGGTGCTGCTTGTGCTTGGTTGGTAGATACGTGAGTTAAGCCTTTTCCACTCATTTTCATTCTTATCTATTCCTGTTCCAATGGCGAAGAAAAAAGAAGTGACGTAGTGTATACTCCCTCAATCCAATAGGGTGAGGGGGGGGGGCGTCGTTCAAATGGGCGAGTAATTTGAGAAAAAAAGAGAAACATATCCCCAGGGTTGTTCACAGATGAGATGGAATAAAAGAGGAAATTACATCAGATGGAAGGTTCGAAGATGAAGAAGAAGAAGAGAACTGATATACTCAGATGTACATCAGCGGCTTTGGTAGCACTTCATACTGAAACTTTTTGGGGTTTACCAATGTTATCAGGAGTTAGTACAAGTTTAGAAACAAAGTTTTTCCATCCTGTACCAGTGTGAGTCTTCTCTACTCTCTACTCTTCTTTCTTTCTGTCGTACCCTTTCCATCCGCATAAATCATCGTATGATAGTATCATCATCTAGCCTCATATCCCCCTTACTGGAATTCATCTGGACGATTCCATCTATTGAGCATTTTTCGACTGTACGTTCTTACTCGTATCATACAAGTTCCGAATCCAATCGTAAAGTCATATACCCACCTCTTGTCCAACGGACAACGTATAGTAGTTGAACTCGTGTAACATCTCCTCCACTGTCATGAAAGTGAGAGTATAGTACTCCCAGGGCCGAGATGCGAAATGAGAATCATTCGAATCATCATCTCATACACAAGATCTCGAATTCTTCTACTCCATAATCAGAATAAAAACTTGTCGAGTACGATGAGGTTGAAAAAGAAAATGAAGAGCTGATAATAGTGGTACGAAAATCAAGGTCAATTGTAAAGTATTACAACTCACACCTGTTATAGGATGTATTCAATGCGATGTAAGTTCCCCTCTCTCCATTCATTCTGTTCCCTCAAACAAGCAATCACACGATCTAGTCTTTGACTTTCGCTCATGATTGAACCTGTTCAGATACTCCGGAAGGAAAAAAAAAGTTCCGGGAAAGAAGTCATTTATTGATATCAGATCTTGAATGAGGATGATAGGTTATTAGCAATTGGATATAATACGAAAACATGGCGTCGGATGAAATCTAAACTTTGATTCACTCGTGTATCATCTCTGAGAATAAAGGTTATCTACTGTATCATTCATTTCATATTGTCATAGAACCTTGTCTTAGCATCATGTAATTTTTAAATGTCATATGATTCACATACTTGTATACCATTCAACTATGACACATATAAGTTATCATCCACTCAACATTACTCTTTCCCTCGTGATCAACTTTTTTCCGTGGCGAAGATATTCTTTGAGGGTTAGAAGTGTTTCGTGGCAGAAAGAATATGGGTGAATTTTTCCGTATTTTGAAATGGACAAGATGGTTGGGACAAAAAACAAAGCAAGATGATTTCATATTGAGATTGACATGATACCGAGTAAAGATGTTAATCACTCTCATCACCACGTACTAAACCATCTCTTCTTTTCTCTTCTTCTTCCTCTTCTTCCAATCTTTGTCTTTCTCTTTCTTCTCGAGTATATTGAGTTAAATCAACTTCGTTGGATTCTTCTTCATATAATTTGATATCTTCCATAGCACCACCAACTTCGAATAATGTTTTCCCTTTTATATCAATATCAACTAACATTGTTCATATTCGAATTCTTTACGAAGGACTAGGGATCCAAACTAAAATGGAAATGAAATTAGAATATGGGAGATGCTGTCAAACCAAAAATAAAACTGAAACGAGTCATCCTGATTGGGGAGAAGATACGGTAAATCTTCCGAAGGACGTGGATGTTTTCATATACCAGGATGCGACTAATGGAGGATAAAATACGAAGATATGGGACGGCTCATGAGAAAAGAAAAGAGAAGAGAAGAGAAGTAAAGCAAAGAAAGGAAGAAAAAGTAGAAGGAAGAAGAAAACGGAAAAAGAATCAAAAATAGAAAAAGAAAGAAAGAGAACAAACTCACCAGTAGGTCTTTCTTTCCTTCTCTTCCATTCTTCTCTCTCTTTAGGAGGTAATCCTCTTACTCTCTCTTCTTCTTCTTTCTCCCTTTTAATCTTGAGTTCAGACATGTATCCCTTACGCCATTGTTCGAACGTTTCTCTGGTCAATGGTGTCCCACGTGTTTTCTTCGCTTCCACCTATAACGTCAGTGATTCGGAATTGTTAGACGTAAAACGTTTTCGAGTCATATGTGAAACGAAATCCTTTGGGATGACCATTTTTTCCATATGCTTACAATATACTATAAAATCCTGAGGGCTGCTAGGAAGTTGTAGAGAAAGCCTTGGAGATGAAGAGAAGGTGAGAATGATATGATAGGGGATGATAAATGTGTCGTTTTGGAGCAGAGTAATGTTGGTGGGATATGATGAGAATGGATAAGAGAGCATACAATTGAGAAGACAAAAGATGGAGAAGAAATGTTGTTCGAAATCACCTACCTCTTCATATTCCCTAGCTCGACGATCATCTTCTTCCTTTTCTCTTCTTATCCTTTCATGTATCAATTCCATCAATGATTCTTTGATAGCGGAAACGAGGGTGAAAGTCATTGCCATACCTACAGATTCTTCTGCCTGTTGTGTCAGCTGCATTACTTGGAGAGAATCTTCAATGATGATTACCCAGTGAGATGGGTATATAGGAGGACAAATCAAGTGATGTGAGAAACACCCGTGCATCTTAGCTGCGCCTGAGAGAGGAAGAAAACGATGAGTTCTCTTATGAACATGAGGGATACGATCAAAGGCAACAATATATTGAGAAGGTAGGAGGATATCAAGAAGCTCCCAGAATCAATACACCAAGTATTCAGGACATAGGTAGGCGAGCTGCCAGCATGAGGGAGAAGATAAAGTAAACTTATGGACCGGGAGGGGTTCCAGGAATGAAGGAAGAGGAACATAATAATCCACTCACCACTTGTTTTAATATTCCCAAGAGTTTCTCTTCTTCCTCCGTATCTAAAGGTATCCCATCCTCTGGCTCCAAGGAGAAAAGTGGGATCACATCGGGATAATCAGGTGGGTAGTTCACTATGATATATATAGAAACTACTCATCAGCTGATTACCTGTTACATCTGGCCGCAGCTGATACCACCCGTGTTACTGATGGGCAAAGAGGCGATGAGGATTAGGATGATAGTAAGCAGAAAAGAAAGAGAGGACTTACGGGAATGTGAAGATGATGATTCGTCAGGAGTTACCAAGATAGCCATACATCTTTCGTTCTTTCCTGATTCATCAGCTCACCTTAAGCCTTGAGGGTCATACAAAAATGACTTCATTCGTATTAGTGGCTCAGCGAGATACAAGGCGAACAAGGTGGACGTGTGAGTATCGTTATGATAAGATCAGACATACTTTGGATCTCCTCCGGTGGGAAAATACTTTCCAACACCTGACATAAGCTCTTCCGTCATTGTCCCTCTTCGTATATCTACTTAACAACTCTCGCTGAATCTCGTTTTCTACCCGAGGTATACGAAATGACATCTAATTTGGACCTAGGAGGCAAAATGGTACTCACCTCGAATTCTTCGTCAAGAATAGCTTGATGGTCTGTTTATCAGTATCTAGCTTGTATTTTTCTACTCACCTGTCATGATGTCTCTCTAATTTCCACTGTTGCTAATCGATGTTCCTATGGGAAGTGATCAAAAGACAAGTTTCCGCCAAATTACCATCTTTCTCCAAACGTGGTGATTTCGTCACGTGACCTTTTCTTGCCACCCAATCTCACTCAGTTCAAGGTTACTTAACTTTCTCTAACTAAGTACTACATACATGTAACCTCTCTCTTCTTGCATTACAAATGTCAAACAACTTATCCCCCGCTCAAGCGAGACTGGCAGCTCTCAACAGGTTAAAAGCCAAATCGAAACTTACCTCTGGTTCATCAAACCAAGCTGGCCCTTCTCATCCTTCGAGTCATGGAGGCATCGGAGGTGGTAACGGTGGAGGAGGAAACTCGACATACGTTCACACACGTCCTTCAGAACCTTCAAACGCACGTAATATGGCTCAAGTTCAAGTCCAAACTCCGACACCTCCCGCCCCACTACGTAGAGATCCAGGATTGGGGAAATACTTCGAATATGATCTGAGCAAGCTACATAATTCCAGAGGAGGGTTTTTGACGGAAGAGGATTTGGAAGGTGATAGGATCAAGAGTGTGGTGGAACTTGCTAGGGAGAGAGAAAGGGAGAGGAGGAAGATGAGGGAAGGTGAGGAGCCTGGTGAGTGTCATGATTTCTTCACTACATCGTCCAAGACGTCCCTCATACCCTTTCACCCTCTCGAGTCACACCTTTCCTCTCTTTCGATTATGACTTTTCAAGTGCCTCATCTAGTTGTTTACCCACATATCCACTATGAACGTCCCATTTATCTCTGCTCTCTTGATGGAAGATTCGCGCGTTACCAAAGAGATTTTGCCTGTGAGATCATTGTCGCACCCATATAGCTTCTCGTCGATATGGAGGTAAAACGACACGACCTCTAGTGAATTGAAAATCGAGTCTTGCTCTAACTTTCAGCAATCCTCATTGATAAGTCTCCTAGATGTGTAGAGTGTAATACATTGGAGATTGACAATCAATTTGACAAGGTATGTTGATGTCTCCCCCATATAACCACACGACACGAACTGCGATAGAGTCGTACATGTATTTCTGTGCGAACGAAAACTGACTTACAGGTTTTTCACATCAGAGTTTGTAAATCTTGCAAGGAAAAACACCCCGAGAAATATTCCCTTTTGACGAAAACAGAGTGTAAAGAGGTACGTCCCAAGTTGTGTATGTTGACTCCTCATCTCATTCACTGTAACCACTTCGAACAACCATACTTGGCTGGAGTAATGGATTATCGTTTCATGTGTCCATTTCCAGACTCGTCGATTGACCAACAGGACTACCTCCTCACCGATCCAGAACTGAAAGATGAAGACCTTCTACCACATCTCTTACGACCCAATCCACACGCTTCAACATATAGCAACATGATGCTTTTTCTCCGTCAACAAGTCGAGAAAGTTGCATGGGATAAATGGGGTGGTGAAGAAGGTTTAGATAAAGAATGGGAAAGAAGAGAAAGTATGAAAAAGCGAAAACGTGAAGAAAAGTTTGAACAAGGTTTGAGAGAGTGAGTTTAACTATTCATAACTTCGAAAGAAGGGAGATGGAAATTGATGAAAATAGTTTAAGGAAGCGGACACGTAATAATGCTTTTCAAAGACAACAAGAAGCTGAACATGTACATCATTTTGAAGATGTTGAAACTATCCAAGGAGATGATGGAACGATGGCTTTACAAAAATGTTTCGGTTGTGGGGCTGAACAGGAGGTTGAGGTTTTTTGAAATGGGTACAATGATTTTGTTGGTGACAATCTCTTCCTCTTATAATCGATACGTTTCTTTCTTAACGTTTTTGACAATCATAGTTCATATCACTTTATAGTGATCTTACACACAACAAACCATATGTGACGATGATACGGCTGATCCTGGCTGAACTGACTCTCTCAAACGTACACTAGACTTTGAGCCGGCAAAGCATGACTTAACCTCTCTTTCACACGAAGGATTATTTGCATGAGAAGCGACTGACAATGCTAATCTTTAAAATGTTTCCCTACTTTCTATTACGCAAGAATTTCTTCACATAACATCTTCCCCGCCTGAATCACTTTAGCTCTTGCTAGATGAAAGTATCCTCCTTTCTCCTACCTCGCCTCTTCCCTCGACTCATACCATGACACGGTATCTTGCTGGGCCGCATACTTGCCATACGACTCGAATATCGTGGGAACATACCTTTTCTAACTTGATGCTCTCCATCATCCTTGAGGATATAAACCATGCCAACCTGAGAGATTACCCCCACACTTTTCCACTCACTTTCCTCATTAAATCCAATCAAATATTTCAGGTCATTGTGATATCATCTATTGAAATCACTCTACTATCTCAGCCAAGCGTGAAAAACCTTTTCATATGTCATCAACGCCGTCTTTGTTGGACCTAGCTGATACTGATCAACCTCCACCTTCCCTCCTACATTTGGAAAATGATCCAGGTGTTGTTCCTGCTGAAGACACAGACAAGATAGTTAGGTCCTTGCTCATTGGTGCGTCTCGCCAGTTAGAACAGTGGCACAAGATCCCATTTGACATGCTCACGCATGCATGCAATCTCCTAGGTGTTACACGAGGGGCTTTGTCTGCTGGAGAATTGCGTGAGTCTCATCCTGACAGGAATATATTTGACAAGGACTTTTCTGCCCTCACCCCCAGTTCACAAAGCAGTCAGGTACTTGACCAAGCTCGCAGTGGCGTAAGTCGACTGTCGTCCGGGATATCCGTAGCTGTTGGGGACCAACGCCGGGCCAGTCGGCGACAAACTTCGATGCTTCCCATGGCCACGCATTACTGTTAGCCGATAGAATCGGGCCAGGACGGCCGAACCGCCGTTAGAATTACCCCTTCCATCAAATATTTCTCCATTCAACTTATCCTCTGAACTTTATTCGATCGTCTCTGGTGTTATGCGTGTGAGTGGAATGTGATAAGTATAGAGACATGTAGAATTGATGCATGCTCTTTTTCCCTTCTGTATTACCATCTAATTATCAGCAAACAATTACGTACATTCCGAGGTGAAAGACTTGGTTCAAGATGCCGATAGTGCGATCGCACGGTGCATTCTTTTCCCTCCGGAATTAAATGCGCTCAATCTGTATCGCAATTGTGACTCATACACTATAGAGAACAATCCAGAACCATGGATAGCCCTTGAGATATGGTCAAAGTTTCCCGCTCAACAGACAGCCATTCGGGACCTCTGGAAGTGCAAAACAGATTTGACCAGACGTCATTACTCACTGCTGAGTCACTCATATAGAGTCTTGTGGGCAACCGTAAGATACTTGGACGAAGTGGATTGTGTTGCATACGAGGCTTCGGACATGAATATGGAATGTCTGGGAAATGCCCTTCGTGAACTGATATCTTCTAGTAAGCAGGAGCCAGAACTGATAGGCAATGATACCATTGGCAAGATGGAGGAGCTCTGGCACGAGCGGGAGGGAACCAAGTACGAAAATGCAACTTTGAAGCATATTGGAACGGCCCTGAGGAGTGTGCTCAGCCAATCCAATGAAGGGGCTTCTTTTGTTGCCCAAACTCTGGACAGGGAGCCTGATGAGAGTGATGAGAACATGTCTTGGCTCTGCCTCCTACCTGCAGATGGGAAACTGTCAGAATCCCAACATTGGGAGGCTCTCCAGTACAATCCTCCTGTTTATGGACTTTCATTATCAGAACATCCCTAGTTTGCTTGGGTGTCACAGGGCAAAACCCTTGTGTGCCTAACTTTGACCGACGGCCAATACCTTTGTGGGTGACAATCTCCACAGGACTTGTGTCAGGACCAGAAGTTGAAGATAGGCTGCATCAATGAGCTATGGCTATGTGTTACGGGGTAACAACGAATTGAGAGAACTCCATCGAGTTCGATGGATCAGGATGGAGCAAAGCGGGAGTTGGAGGCAGGGCTGCATTAGGTAGGGAGGAGTTTTCCCCTTTTTGAGAAAGGATAATGGGGAAGTCCATACCTGGATAGGTGAGACGGGACGGAAACGGGTGAGGCGGAGTAAGACTCTGAGGAATCCGTCTTAGGTATCCGTGATCCTGACACCTTCCTTACCCGGATCATCTTCCGCCACACATACCCACTCCACGATAATTCCTTTCTAGAAACTCTCGGAAAGAAGAAGGTTGATGCAGAGCCTCAACATCAGAGAGATGACGACGTCATGAGAACGATGTATTGGCACGTCATGGGAACAAAAACCAACAGAGAAGAAGGGTGAGACAAGAGAAAAGTCGAATCGAAAGATCCGTGCGAAAATATCGCGTCATCGACCTTCCTCCTTTCATTCGATCGAAGGACCCGTCTCTCTTAACCAATTACTCCAAGTGAGAGTGGAGAATATAAACCCTACCGTCCTAAAACTCTTCCCATCAAACTCTAACCCCATTTCCACCACTTTTAACAATACTAGTGCTTCCCAACTGGCAGGATCTTGACGTCTCCGATCTAACGTCCTTTATCAACCACAAGGCGTCATCTCCCATGGCTGAGGGTCTGACTCAGTCCGACTTTTGGGCTCAGAGTGCAGGTCTTGAGGTCATTGACCCTTCTGTCCTTGATGAGGCAGTCACATATTACGAAAGCGGGGGGAAATTGGCCCTTGCAACATCCGCAATAGGAATGACAGCATGGGCACTCTGAAAAAGTAATGATGTACAGGTCACCAATGATCGGGTCCAAGAGAGTATAGCCAACATCCGGAAGAGTATAGCCAAGATCAAGGGAGTACTACCAGGATGGCCTTATGCGGTCACTAGGGAGGATGTGATTACCGCAAGAAATGACGGTAGACTCGGCATCACTCTGCCAGCTTTTGAAGACTTATCCGATCTGGATATACATAAAGAAAGATGTCCCAAAATGGAAAGTGTTGCTGATGCCATACCTTCTGAGATTGATATGATCAAACTTGTCATGAAGAGTCTCAGATCAGAAGAGCTCAATCCAGAGGACACCAAATGGATATTGAAGTGGCTTCCCAGTTACGCATTTGAGACATCTGGAATAGCAAATGATCTAGTGGATGAGGCCTACATGTCTCTTGTTACTCTATTCCCAGAAGTGCTGAGACCACTTGATTTAACTCCCAGGAGGATAGTTTGTCTCATGACTTTGGACAAAAGCCTCGGACTTGCTTGCCAATCTGGTCTGAGACAAAGCCGGACCAACAATCAAGAATTTTGGATCTTTACCTACTTCGAGCAACCCTGAGCCAGCATCAAATCAAAATTTCCAACTGGCTGTATGACAGGCTCAGAGCACAAAAGGAAATCTTGAATAGTCTAAGCGGTGCACTGGAACGTCGACATTGGGAAGTTGATGTAGAGTTGGAAGACAACTGGACACAGTTCAACACCCTACTCGGAGAACGGCCAGATCCAGCAGATCCTGAGGCAGATGGTATCATGGAAGCGCTCTGGAAGCAGTACAACCCAGATCATCAGGAGTCTGACAATGTCACCTTGACCAATATTGGTCAAGCACTGCAGAAGGAGAACAGTCTACCAAAACAACAAGCTCAGGACAGGAAAGAAGCAAGGGTCATCCTCTTGCCCACAGGTCATGACAAAAGTCCGAGATTGAGAGATGGTGCCAAAAGTTGGGAGATCTACTGGGAGTTTCAAGGTAGACGTGCTCAAGAGGGCACACCATAAGTAGCGGCTAGACGTCAACCTGACCAGGTGTACACACAATATGTACATTGTGACCATCAAGGTAAAACACATTGACTACTTCCTGTCATTGGCATGATTCACTTGTTGAGAAATAGAGCCCATTGAATCTATGAATGTAGAGCATAGACCCATTCTTTAGATCTACTGGGTCCCTCTTTGAAGCAGGTTTTTTCTTATGTGTAGATAACCAGTATTGTCTCAGCAGTAAATAGTAGCAGGGATTTGTCTGCCATGGACCTAGGGCCGACTTGTCATGACCAGTACTCAGAGGAAGATTGATTCTGCTGAGTACAGTAGAGTTGTTAAGGACCCCGCCGGAGACGGACCCCTCCGGAGCCGCACGGACGCGATCAGACCCTACGGGAGATCTTCCACTCCGGAGTGGTCTGACCCCTTGACAGACCCAGCTGGAGAAACATCCAATAAATGATCTAATTGAGTTGGAAAAATAAAGAGATATGGATCCAGACTCATGATCTGGACACTCTCATCTGTGAGCAGGGATCTCCCATGAGTCTGCCTTGATTCATCATTTCAATCTCCCAAATTCCCCGCACCAATCATGAGTCCATGTCTTCTGGTGATCATACAAAATTTGGGGCAAGAATTGCAGGATTTGTCTGCTACCACACATGGGGAGGGATGGTCAACTAGGTCATCATTGGGGCAAGCAATACTTTTGCAGGACTAGCATCAAAAATCTTGTGGTCCGGTTGAGCAGTAATTACTCTGGGTGGGTCTGGACACCTCCAGAGCGGTACAATTCTCTGAGTGGGTCTAAGAGGGGTACTTGGAACTGTGCCACTCCGGAGGGGTCCGTCTCCGGCGGGGTCCCTAACAGAGTTAATTTTATATTGAAGCTTTTGAGACACGTTAGGATCGTGGGCTTGCTACCTGGTGAAGCTCTAATCCCGTACATACATATATTTCCCAATGGCTTGCTCGGGTGACAAGCATCTTGTTTCATTGACTTGGAGCATATCACCATATATTATTCCGTGTAACCTTTCTCTGAGATCTCACGGTAAGCCAATTGGAATATTGCGGAGTGATGAACATTGTTTGTCATGGTTCCTTAACCATTCTCCCTGCCCCCTGTTCCATTCGCACGCCCTGGTCAACAGCTCCCAAGCAAACTTTCTGAGATCTTTCCTTCAATATCCCCCCCTTGAGAAGGGGAACAGAAAGAAAGAGGTGCATATTCTCAGCAACAGTCCTATGACGACGTCATGAGAATTCTACATAACAACGTCATGGGGAAGGACGGAGATTTTGGATGACGGAGACGAAGGAAGGGCCAAACGAGAGGAAAGTTGATTTCCATGATCCGTGCGAAAGTAATGCGTCATTGTCATATCCGTTCATAAAACTAAGCTTGAAGTCTGAGAGCTGTGCACTACAGGCCTGCAGGTTATTATATATGACTTATCACTGCAGTCTTTGAATCACCAACCTTTATCCATAATTTGCCTTTGGCCACTGACTGATTTAGCATTACCGCCTTACTCCAAATCGTCTCTTGGGTAACAACACTACATACTGTGTGGGTCTAACCTCTTCAGAAGCAATCAGCAATGCAACAATCCCACGCCGGACAATACGGACAATCAGAAGACTCTGACAGGTTGGATCAGCAGGTCTACCTATCAGAAGTGGAGTGGGACTGTGTATCTTCTGATCCTGGCTCTGAAGTTGATCCGGTGGCAAGTCCCCCTGATAGCTTAGATGAAGAGAGTGATCATCCAAATGAGGATAACGACTCACAGCTGCAATCAACAAACAGAGTGAGACCAAAGAAGTCTCATAATCTGTTTCAATTTGTTGCAAATGGTGCTCCAAACCTTATGTGGGAAGAGGACACCTACTTTTATGTCATGCGTGTTACGGGGTAACAACGAATCGAGAGGACTCTATCGAGTTCGACGGATTAGGACAGAGGAAAGCGGGAGTTGGAGGCAGTGCTGCAGTAGGTAGGGACGGGTTTTCCCTTTTCGAGATTTCCCCACTGGGTTTGCTCAAAAGCGGTTTTTCACCTGTCCGAGTATGTACATAGACGCTTGCAGTAGGAACTGAGAGGAGGACACGGATACCTGTAGACAGTATATAGTACAATCAGCAAAGTACCAACTTTGCTGATTCTTCAATATCATTCTTTGGCTACATCGATTGCAGAGGAGACACGATCCATTAGCACCAGAGCCCCTAGATTTCCACGAGACCTCCATCGAGTTCGACCCAACCTGCGACCTAGTCGTCGTGTTTCCAGTACCGTTACAATGCGACTTGGCCAAGAATATGTGCTAGCCACATCATTGGGGAGCCGGACAGTAGAAGAAAACACATGTCCCATAGCAGACTACAGGCAATGCCTGTCAACTATTGAATCTGTGGACCCCCGCTGGCCCTTTACCAAAGATGTAGAGGCAAAATCAATGCCAGGGCTCAAAACTAGAGTCCTACGGACAAGCTTCAGCTCAAGTAGAAGTCCTATGAGCTGTGTCTTGATAGCTATCCAGTCAGAGTTAAAGGTACTCTCAAAAGTGTGCCATGCTTTTGAGACAGCCAGGATACTCAATGAAAAGAGAGCAGGTATGGCACGGTCCTTGAAATCTTATACCTTATACTTGGGATCCCTGCTTGAGGACCTAGAACCAGGCTTTGTGGCCGAGTACCAGGCAGCATTGTCTTGGAAGTTGCTACAGCATCTCAAGCTGGATCCATACATGACCTGGCAAGAACCCAACACAAAATGCAGTGACCTGGAAATTTGCAAACAACACCCCAGACTGCTTGGTACTCTCCAAGCACTCCATACAGTAGCAACTGTGTTGAACACTCATATTGGCTCACAGATGAAAATGGATCTAGAGACCTACAGGACAAAGATCCACACCTTTGAAGAGCTGTCAAGATACTTCTCTGCGGTGGGCGGTGATGTCTCTCAAGATGGTGCCAGTGGTGTGAGTGAAAGACCATTGAGTCTAGATTTGAAGAGGCTGGCTCTTCCTGGGAAAGCAGCTTTTGTGAAAGGGGGACTTAAAACCTTGGAACGATTTTGGAAAGAATTGGATGATGGTGATCTGTGTTGCGCAACACCATGTTCAGTGGAAGCAATTTTAGCGACACTACTCAGAACCGGGGACAACGAGCATGACATCCCAATCTCCCCTGATGGTGACACATCAGGAGATCAAGCTCCCCATTCTTCTGATATGAGGTCCTGAACCAAAAGTTATCATCTCAGAGAGGGAAATTGAGGTTCTGCTCTGTCTCACGAGCAGAAAGTGCAAAACTTACAGTAAGTGCTCATAAGTCTTGGAACATGCATGGATTACTGTCTCCTTTAGTGTCTTTTGACATATTACGTCAAGTGCTCATGCATGCAGTGACTTAAAGCTCTGAAATTCAGAATACAGGAAGCTAATAAAGTGCTGAAAGTAGTCAAAAAAGTATGGCTTGATTGCTTCAGTATTGTCACGAACTACGTCGTGACACCTCGGATATCCCACCATCAACGACCCTCCTTTGACCATCATAACCTCTATTACGCCTTAACCTCTTCACCTTACACATAACCCAGGACATCTGAGACCAACTACGGCAAAGTACAACGGGTGAATAAGGTATGCAGGGGTCTGGAGCATAAGGATGGCAAAGTGCGGCGAAGTTAGACGGAGTTAGGGGTATCTAGGAATGATGGGAGTAGAAGTATGGCGAAGTTAGACGGAGTTAGGCTAAGTAGGGACAATGGGGATCCGATGTACGTCGAAGTTAGACGTAGTTAGGGTAGGTAAGGACAATGGGAGCAGAAGTGCGGCGATGTTAGGCGGGGTTAGTTGAAGGGGGACGAAGTACGGCCGGGGGCTCGGGGAAGTGCGTCGAAGTACGTCAAAGTGCGAGAGGGTTGGTGTCACGCGGCGCCGCGTGACATCATCCTTTTCCCATCAAACAAAGTTCCTTTGGACATCAATTCGCCATCAACGACCCAGTTCTCATGCACTTCACCACCCACGAGGGTATTAGGAGGCTAACTTCGTCGAGGACGAAGTTAGTCATGTAGGAGGTTAGTGAGATACGAAGTTAGTGAGATACAAAGTTAGGTCCGAAGTTCGTGGGATACGAGGTTAGGGAGGCACGAACTTCGTCGGGGACGAAGTTCGCAAGGTACGAAGCTCGGGGATTCGGGTTGAATGGAGTTCTGCATTGGCAAAGTTGGGGAAGAACGAAGTACTTAAGGACCGAAGTTCCCAGGGATCTTTGACAATCTCTGGTTGTTGTCTTAGTGATAGAAGTTAGTAGACTACGAAGTTATTACACCCAGAAGTTATTGTCACCTCCCATACTACAAAGAACAAGTCTATTAAGTGTCCTAGCCCACAAAGTTATTGGGTGTCGGTCCTAGGAAATGAAGGAAGAACCAACCCTGTGACAGTTGGGTGAAGATCTAGGAGGAGTAGATAATATTAGCTGAGAAGATCACTGAAGTTCTTCAGCGATCTTTGATTGTTGTCAGTAGTGAAAGATTGATAGAGATAGCTACAATATAAATCGAGATACATCGCCATCAGTAAAAAAACCCCTTTTAGATAGAGTAACTACGCCGAAGTACGTCGTAGTTACTTCCCTTCCGATGTCGGCGCCCTCCTGGTTGGGTGAGACATCGAGCTAGAACCATCAAGTTAACCGAGGTACGTCGACCGTCGGTCTATTGGAAAGAAGCTATTCGACGGCCATGACAAGTATCTACTCATGAATTTTCCTCTCCTTCTCACCATTCAAATCCTGTGTCACACCTGTAGGTACACTGCAGTAGCAAAGGACTGCCTTGAGTACTGAAGGGGTTAGTCTCTGTCTCGCCTTACCTTAGATACTGAGGGAACAGAGAGTGCTGGGTTAAAACAAACTGAGTGACAAATTTCCTGTTCTAACTGTAACAGTCAGTAATATTAGAACAAGAGGAAAGGAGATCCATTGGTGGGGAAACTGTCACGGCCGTCGACTAATTTCTCTCTGATAGGCCGACGGTCGACGAACTTTGGCTAACTTGACTCTTTGGATTCCATGTCTCACCCAAACAAAAGGGCACAGATGTCAAAAGGGGTGAAACTACGGTGCTCTTCGGCGTAGTTACTCTATCTAGGGTTTTCACTGATGGCAATTGTCACAAACGCCGGTTCTTCCTCTCTACTGACCAACGGTCAACAAACCTCGGTGTAACGGTACTGGAAACACGACGACTAGGTCGCAGGTTGGGTCGAACTCGATGGATGTCTCGTGGAACTCTAGGGGCTCTGGTGCTAATGGATCGTGTCTCCTCTGCAATCGATGTAGCCAAAGAATGATATTGAAGAATCAGCAAAGTTGGTACTTTGCTGATTGTACTATATACTGTCTACCGATATCCTCGCCCTTTGTCCTCTTCCTGCTGCAAGCGTCTACGTACGTACATACTCGGACAGGTGAAAAACCGCTTTGAGCAAACCCAGTGGGGAAATCTCGAAAGGGGAAAACCCGTCCCTACCTACTGCAGCACTGCCTCCAACTCCCGCTTTCCTCTGTCCTAATCCGTCGAACTCGATAGAGTCCTCTCGATTCGTTGTTACCCCGTAACACTCGGCTAACTACATCGTTGTGGGGCGTCGATGTCTCACTGAGACAGGGTACTCGACGGGGAACTACGGCTAACTGTGGCGTAGTGGATCGTCGAGTGGCAAACAATAAGGTGATTGTCTGGGAACTGCTGCTAACCTCGCCGTAGTGCGTCAAACTGCTGGATGGTAGCTCTCCTTATCTCGAAGGTGTAGCTACTGAATATATCTCTTGCTACTGACAACAAGCAAGGATCGCTGAAGAAGTTCAGCGATCTGTCAACTATCAATACTTCTCCTCTCTTCTCATAGAACATCCTTCAACTCCTGCACAACCCCACGCTCAGTCCTCTTAGCGCAACTTTGCCGTACCTCGCCATATCCCTGATATCCTACTTGGCTCACTTCGGCTAACTTCGCCTAACTTCCCCTACTCTGCTCTGCCTCGGTTCCCTTCTCCTAACTTCGTTGTATTTCTCTGTTAGGCGGCGTTGTCATGACTAATAATCCCTAGGTTCCCGTGACTTTGTCGTAGTCAGTCTCAGTGGTTCGGGGTGGTGATGGATAGCGGTTCGGTGATGGTGAAAGGAGGGTCAGTGATGGTGGTTGTCAGGGTTGTTACGACATGGTTTGTGACAGCAATGTATCTCAATTTGAATGTGACTATCTCTAACAATTTTTCACTACTAACATCAATCAAGGATGGCTGAAGAACTTCACCGATCTTCTCAGCTAATATTATCTACTCCTCCTAGATGTTCACCCAACCCTCTCGCGCTTAGACGTATGTCACGAGATGTCACGCCTGCGGGTAGACTGCGGTTGCAAAGTACTGCCTTGGGTACTGAAGGGTTTTAGTCTCTGGCTCGTAGAGCTTGATGACTGCCTTAGGTACTGAGGGTACTGAGGTGTTGGGTTAGAACCAACTAGGTGACTTTCAAAGATGAAGTTCAACTTCAAGATGAAGATACATTGCTGAAGAAAGAGGGGGGAGATGTGCTCCTTTTATACCCTTCAAAACTAAAGTAGGTGTACTAAATAAAAAGCGCGTGAGGGATTTTCTAGCCAATCATGTAAATGCCTCAAAGTGAGTGCACTGCGGGAAACCAATTCCAGCCAATCACATAATTGCCTCACTGCTAAACTGCTGAACCTTCCAGGCTTCAGCCAATCACGTAAATGCCTCACTGCTGAACTGCTAAATACCATGACTCATATTTTCCTTCAATCCTTATCACAGTTCCTAGCATGAGTCATATTTCCTTATCACTATTCTGAGCATGAGTCAGAATTCCTTATCACTATTCATGACACCCTCTCTTCTCAGGTGTAAAGTTTCTCAGAGTCTGTAGGAGAACTGATAGCAAGGTGAGAATCCTTCTGTGGGACATGGATCTTCAGCCGGTCACGATCACACCCGTGACGCTTCGAAGTGTCACGTCTTCCGTACGTCACCTAAGAAAACTTTCCTCTTTGTGCGTTTGTTCATGTCTTTATGCATTACTGTATCATTCGATTTCAACTTGAAAGTCCTGATGTGAATGATGGTAGGTGAGCCTTTGCAAGCAGCTCAGCCCCGAAGATCTTGCACAGCTTCTTCTGTTGAGTCATTGTTATGGGGTAACAACGAATCGAGAGAACTCCATTGAGTTTGGCGGATTAGGAAAGAGAAGGGCGGGAACTAGAGGCAGTGCTGCAATTAGGTAGGGACAGGTTTCCCCTTTTGAGAGTTCCCCACTGGGTTTGCTCAAAGCGGTTTTTCACCTGTCCGAGTATGTACATAGACGCTTGCAGTAGGAGAAACAAGGACGCGGAGACTGGTAGACAGTATATAGTACAATCAGCAAAGTACCAACTTTGCTGATTCTTCCATATCATTGTTTGGCTACATGGATTGCAGAGGAGACACGATCCACCACATAGCATCAGAGACGCATAGATTCCCACGAGACTTCCATTGAATTCGACCCAACCTGCGACTTAGTCGTCGTGTCTCCAGTACCGTTACAGTCATATAGTGCCATACCAGACTGTCAACGGGCAACCCTACCATACCATGACTGCTGAAGACATCAGAAACAGACTCTGCATTCAGGTGAGGGATAGCTAGTCCACCAATTTCTAGTTTCCGCTGAATGAGCAATGAGACTCGTTCGATCAGATATGATCTGCGGACCGGCTTTCCGCTGACTGCTGCCAAAATTGGAATGAGAATCGTGCGTCCCATCTAAGCACTCAGTGAATGCTCTCTGTCCCCCTCCTTCTTTCATCGGTAGCCTACACATCCTGGGCTCACTAGTAGAACCACTGTAGTAATGTGAGTCCTTCCTTCTTTCTACCCATGAATCGACCAAGCTGGCCGGCGCGAAACGGTTGATGTAAGTATGCAAATCTTGATAGACTATGGATGATTCGTACGCCGCACATTCTCGAACATTCGGAGTATGAACTCTTGACTACTGTATGAAATATGAGTATGTATCTCAAGGGATAGGTCCACAAAGGTGTGTGGGAGAGTTTGATTCAAGATGAGTTTCATCCCTCAAGCTGTGTAGAATTTTCAAACGTTTCATGTCCGCTCTAAATTGAAGGGTATAAATTAGTCATCCGGATAGATAGTTCATCATTATTCTCTCCTCCCATTTCCATACTTGGGCCGTCTACAACAGTAACAGGTCCACACTCAATCGAACGAGTATTCTTATTTGGAAAGGAGCTAGCAGACCTCATAAAAATGCCTGCTACGCCGAGTTCAAGTGCAAAGTATCGGACGAGACACAAAGGCAACGGGCAAGGTAGATGTAAGGACCAGAGGTCGGGATAGTCTGCGTCGATGAGCTATGACAATGAGGCCTTGTAGGGAACAAACCTAGTGATGTAGTGTATCGAAGAGATCTGTAAGATCGATGAGATGTATGTCAAATGATATAACTAGGAAAACACAAAATACATTCGACAAGACCTTGCTGAGAAAAGACTACGTCTATATACTAAAAAGAGAGCGGGATGATACTGATAAGAGCATGCGTAGTTTGGAATGAAGTCGAGGTAGAATAGGAGAGGAAGAGCGATGATAGTTACCGAGACGGAGATGTAAAAAAGGGTAGAGGTGTCGAAGGAATGGTACCAGGCGTAGTAGCAAACGGAGTAAGCCTGGACGCGGGAATGGAGACGGGGACGGGAACGGAAAAAGAGTACGACTACATGGTAAGGTACCCGTGGTACCGCGTGATCCTGACAGTAGACAAGGACCATACTCCCAGGTTGTCACAGAGGCCCGCAAGAGGAACTCATTCAGATCATCTGGTGGTATCAGTATGCAGTGGCCCCCTCCCAGTACACCCCCTCATACGCCTTCACCTTTGAGCTTGGGTGGACTTTACCCTCCTCAAAGATCCTTATTGCAAGATAAGCTTGCTGGTCAAGCAACTACTGTTGGAACAATTGATAAGAACGGCAAGCGAATGGCACTGAGATCCTTGGCTCTACCCTCCGCCCTCCTCCAGATGTGTGACAACAGAGATGAGATGTCTCTCAAGGGAGTGCAAGACTATTGTCCGCTGTTGAGGGTCTGACCCCAAATGGCCATTTGTGTCAGGGGACGTTGACGTTGTTCAGGTGATGGAAGACGACAGTACTTTGAAGCCGGATGAAGAGTCAATGATGGGCATAGATATCGGGGACATGGACAATGGCCTAGAAGAGGGTGAGGTGAAAGATACCTCCCATCATGACCTGATGGAAAGGTCCAGTCCTCCAGTTGTTCCGATAAATTCGCTTGATGACAGGGTCTCTCGAGTGACCATGGAAACGAAAGTCGCTCTACTATACGAAGAATGCGTGGCGGTGGGTCTTGAAATAGAGAATCTACAATTGGTGCTCAAACGCCTTCAGAACGATCATCATGATGACGCTGGTCAGGTAGAAACCGATAACATGGCACAATGTTTTTCGATTTACACTGATTACATTACCTCTGTAGTTTCCGCTATCCACGATCACGCTCAAGGAATCTTGAAAGAGCTTGAAACCAAGGTGGAGCCAAAACCTCCATCCGAAATTGAAGAACAGCAATCAATTGGGTATGATAATGAGGCTGAGGTAGCCTCTCTGGAGGAAGCGGGTAGCAACACATTTGATCAGGACCAAAGCGGGCAAGCTGGCACACAGGAGATCGCCTCTGCCTTACAGACAAAACTCATCTTTCATATTGATAGGTTGATGAAACTCGGCCAAACACAGCTTCTGAGGCAAAATGCCACTCTCCAGAGAGTGAAGGACAGCTTTGGTGTGTTGAGGTCAGAGGAACCCAACAGTACCACCAATGTTCCAGTAGCCAAAGAGGAGAAGTTTTGGTATTCGGATCTTCAGGTCCCCGAATGGGAGATGGGAATAGAGGAGGAACGTCGATTCGATACGAACGAGCTGTGCCACAAACTGAGTCTCAGGGCTGAGCAGGTAACATTGAGAAGCCTTGCTACATACATGCGTTCACATCATCTACCTTCCACATAAAAAGTTAGCAAGAATCCACGTCACCATTCTCACTGTACGATAGTATTTTTACATGATTATTGAACGTGATAGATCTTCACCACAATGTGTACACGTACAGTAGTGACCTTTGGTGAGGGTTAGGACTCCCAAGTGATGCAACTTCCTGGCTTAACACAATAATACCCTCTCTCAAGGAAAGTTAGCCGATAGAATCGGGCCAAGACGGCCGAACCGCCGTTAGATAATTACCCCTTCCGTCGAATATTTCTCCGTTCAACTTATCCTCTGAACTTTATTCGATCGTCTCTTGTTTTATGCGTGTGAGTGGAATGTGATAAGTATAGAGACATGTAGAATTGCTGCATGCTCTTTTTCCCCTCTGTATTATCATCTAATTATAAGCGAAAACAAGGAAGATAAGGTGAATGAAATGAGATCTTCCGCTCGGGGAATATGTTTTGGGCCCTCCCCGCATGTAACATTGGAATTTTTCCCTCGATAAGTGCTCCTAGCTCGTATTCAAGTGTCCAGGTGGCGAGACAATAGCGTGGAAGGTATCCTATACATACAACTTGAGCTATACTTTCTCCTCCCGGGTAGCAAACGGAAACAAACCAATTCCGTGCGGTGAACAATTAAACGAGGATGAAAGTGGACAGGTCGAGGAAAGCTTTACTGACGATTCGCTCCTCCCTCGGGATTACTGTCGGCCCAGCCAAAAGCTAGGAGGGGGGGGGGACTATGGAAATGACTGAAGGGGAAGATTCAGTCATCAAAGGTGTGTCTAATTTTCTCACGGTATCACTATTACTACTTTCTCCGCCCAAGTTCAAGTAAGTCTCACACTTTCAATGTTGTTCTTTCAACATCTCCCCCACACTTTCCTTTTCAATACGCCGCCGTAGTGAAACCCTTTGTACCGACCACTTTCCACACTCTCAGTAATCTGGTATCTCAGTCAACTCGATCTCAGTTTTCAGGTCAGTTTCATATTATCATTGCGGGCGTCAGCTCGCAAATGTTATGGAGGTGAACACGGAATCAATTTGCTAGCACCCGTGGATAGAGATTTCTAGCAGCTGATTGGTCCATTTGCCATCCGCTTCTTGCCAGCATAGCCTCAAGCCTAACAAATTGAAAGTAGAGCTTCCCTTTGCATGCCTATGCCATATCACCACCGACAAGCATGGTCCCAGTGTAGAGAGGATGCATAGTACATCTAATTGCGGGTGTCTAAAGATCTTCCCCAAAATCGACCGTGGTGAGACGGGTGACCGGTAAGTAGGTGTGACCGACTTAGGGGTGAGCCACCTTACCTACCTGTCCACTTGCTTCTTCCTCCTCTTCAACTGTTCACCAAGGTAAATTACATGACAGGTTCATTGAGTCCGCCTTCTATCATCCCCACTGATCAACTTATCATTGTCTGCTTTGGCTCTCCTTACTCCATTTGCAGTATTAGAGAGCTTGACTTGGAAGTGTACTTGGTGACATCATGACCAATTTAGCCCTCAATGGTTCCATGTTTGCCAATAAGCGCTGATCTCACAGATTTTACTCCTATCCTGATACATTATACTTAGCAGTTCACTCCCCTTTCCCCCTCTGCATCTCATGCACCATTCCCTTCCTTTCAAACCAACTTCACCGTGCACTTCACTGGAACCGGACGCTCGCTTTCAATCGCCTGTCAGGTCGATAACCTAGTTTCAACATGCCCAGCGCTTGGCATTATCACCCTGCTGAAGACTTCAGGGACGATACATTTTTCTCTTCCCCAGATTATTGTTTTCATAAAGTTCGTGGGCGTGTCGTACTTGCAACTTCGTGTCTTTCGTTGACACTCAACCAACAGAGCTCGGAAGTTCCAAATCTAATCGAGGATGACATACGAAGCAGCCTTCTTGAGATCGAATGTGTGCCTCCGGGATGGCCATACTCTGTTCTCCCTGACGAATTGGATGTTGAAGTGTCCACCATCAGTAGTAGGCTAGAAGAAGTGACCATGACTACCGGGGCTCTACCCAGCGAGGACATTAAGGTTGTTGAACAGGAAGTCAAGGTATTGGGAAATTTGATGAATTATGCCCGGTCCAAGGAGGGGCAAGCGGATGCCGCATTGTTGGGAGTTTGGGCTCCTGGATATATCCACAACTTGACAACAGTGATTTGGAAGATGCAACAGCAGATAATAGAGGCTAGTAACCAGGAGGATAATGAAAAACTGTTGAAAGAGGCACTCAAGGAGTATCAGAGTAATGACACTCTTGACCACAAGATCAAAAATCTGGAAGAAGCCTGGGGACACTTGCTTGAACATATCACCCATCTGTCACAGTGTCTTTTGGATACACTAACTGATCACATTGGGTTGCTCCAGTCCTTGATACTTGATTTTGAAGAGCTCATGGAGAAAGAGTCTCCTCCTTTGCATATGGACCGTGAATCCATCAGTAATGACATACAACCCCTGAAAGAAGTCACCATTTCACGAGAAGTTGAAGAGATCTTCAGGCAAGCATTATTGAGAGCAGGGCTTGGTAACTGGACTCGGATGACCTTGAAGAAAATTTTGACGGGTGCTCAGTCACTCAGTGCTATACAAGGAGGGAGTGACTCTGAAAGTTCCACACAGCCATCCACTCCAGTAGGGGATGAATCAGGCTGTATGAGGGTGACATGAGCTCTGAAGACGCCTGAAAGACTAGCTTTTTTCACAATTGGGGCTTGCGCAACTATGATGTCTACCGGGGATACCGTGGGTCACTCAACTAGTTGATTCTTGGTGGTGTAAGACTGGATGTATGCTATTGCCACCCCCAGTCAAGCCTTGGAATGAGACAAGACCAAAGTTTTGTGTTAGATGCCATACGGAAGACGTGCCACTTTGAAGTGTCATGGGTCTACCTGTGCCAGACCAAAAATGTGACCCACGGAAGACCAGAACAACTTTACAGCTGTAACAAGATGCTCCTCATCTATTCTGTGCTCAAAACAGAAGGGAGTAGCTAATCAGATGCTTGCGCGTTTCACTACACAAGATGAAGATTCCTGCATTGATTGATTTTCTTCCTCCAATGCATGTATTTACCACATTTCTTACTGTAGTCTCCTTCTAATCACTTTCATGTGTCATAAGCTCCATTTACAGTCAGTCTTGGGTGGTGACGTTCAAGGAGCTTCGAATCTTCTGAGCTGCATGACCCCAAAGATGTGACTCTTTCAAAAGTGAGAAGTCATGATTCCACCTGTGCAGCTTTAAAGTGACACGTTTTCCGTACAGCACCTAACAAAGACCTCTTATGACAGTATCACGATGGAAAGTTTCATATTACCGCAATACTATGGCGTGGTGGTCCTACTCCAACATTACCTACCTACCCCGAATTAGGTTCTTGCATGTCCCCTCCCGGGAAATTATATATCATGACCGGAGACCATAGCAAGTCCCGGACTCTGCTCCTGAGACTTGCTTTCAATATAGTTCCAGACCAGTCCGTCTGGGTTGCTTGAGTCATGGATACAGAGCGCTTTGGAGGGACCACGCAGATTAATGTAGCAGACTAAAGAATACTGATGCAATCGTGTTGACCGGTAGTATTGATCCGCGGAACTGACGTACAAACTTTCCCCCGCCCGTCCCTTGTCTTTGTTGTCTTATTGTTGTCTGAGCTCTATTCAACATGTTCGGAGTTGCCTACATAAGGGTGGAATCATTCGTCTTGAAAGGGCTTGTACCAAAGTACTAAAAGTAAGAAAGACATACTAGACAGCTTTGTCCACCAGACGGACTGGGTAAACTCCCAAAAAGGTGAGCGATTGAAAGCAACTGGTTTGAAATCTTTGTGTGATCGGAAACTCGTTCTATCCCAAAGGTTATCCTCTGCAGCCTGTCCGTCTTCTTCTACCCAATGTCAAGTATACAAAGTGATGATATCCGTGCCCTTCTTCCTTCTTCATGATCATCTGATGATTAGCAATAGTGAGGGATTCATCCAGTTGCCCTAAAGCCCTTCATTTGCCCTTGCGGGGAGATCCCCCGTGCGATAAGATATTATGTCACGACCGACTTTCCTCCGATTAAGTTTGAGATTGAAAGAAGAAGTGTGCAGCTCTTCTATTTTTCCTTCCTAGATGGCACTACCTAGCTGCTCGCTCCCAGTGTCCTGCTGTCAAGACCAGACCGAAGGTCGAAGGATCTGCGTCGAGGGTGATGAGCTACTTGTAGGGACTTGAACTAGTTGTAAGAGGATACGAGGATCGAAGCAAATAGTTCGAGGAGTGAATAATAAGTTTTGGCAAATGTATAAGAGAACTTGTATGTTGAGACAGACAAGATACATTCGTCGAAGTTGTTCTAAGCTATGCACTACCTTATGTACATGGAATGAGAGTGTAATGTAGATAAGGGTGGCTGGTAGTGTTTATCGGTGGCGGGTAACTGGATATTACCCGAACTAGCAACTTCGACGCACGTGGTCATGACAGTATCCTCCCTTCCAAAAAATCATCGTCCACGATGATCGCATCTAATCCTTTCGTCCTCGAACCCTTAAATCCGATCCCATCAAAACCATTCCATCTATCCTCACAAACCCTTATTCCATCGATTCCCGCGTTGACCTGTTTTCTACGTTCATTGACTTTTCCAACATGTTTACGTCCTCTATTTCCTTCGTCCATTTGTCCTTTACTCATTCTTCTTCTAAACTCCTTACTCTCACACACACACATTCCATCCTTACACACCATGACCAAATCTCCTTCTCCAAACTCAGAGATCACCTTGCTACTCCGTCCCCACGTCGTCAAGCGAGAGTCCTCCGCCCTCGAACAGAACTCTTCGATCCCCGTCGCAACTCCGTCGTCAGCCACTCGACAAACCGCCGCCCTTCTTCTGCGTTTGAGGGACCGCGTAGTTGACTCTGCTGACGATGATGAATATCTGGAGCCGGAAGAGGACGTCCCAATGGAGGACGAACTGGAGCAGGACGAATTGAGTGCAGAAGATGAACAGGAAAACCCGGTAGAACCGGAATCAAGTAGGTTTTCCTTTTTTTTTTTTTTTTTGTTTGGAATCTTGGCGTAGAACTGATCGTCAGACGAGTTTCCCGGGATCGAAGACCTGGGTTCGAGGCTAGCACAGTCTCGAATTGTGACCAATCCTGTTCCTCCCGCTACTCCCGCGCGGCAATCCAGCGACGAGCTGCAAGAAGTGGGGTATCTCACTCCGTATGTCGCCTCCGCCAAGAGCAAGAAAGTCGCTGTTGGCGATCGTGTGGAGATTTCGCCCTCTTCGGTGACGGTCAGCAATGGGACTGTAACCGTGTCTCACGGTTCGACCGTCACTCGCTTCCATGACGTACGGGTTCGAGCGTCTCCTCACCTGTCCAGGGGTCAATTGGTGTGTAATCTGTAACGGAATTGATGATCGAACTGATTTGTTCAAAGATCCTGGCCACATATCTTCAGAAGAACATTGGAAACCGTGCCTCAAACGTTCAGGCTCTGTGGACCGGTATGCTGGCTCTGCTAAAAGATCCAGACCTCGTGCTAGCAGAAGTGGATGTCGAAGATCGCTGTGATGGGTGTCGCAACATCCAGACCAAGTTCCTCCCCCCCACCGTGAAGAAGATGTCGTGTATGGCCCCCTTATTCGTCGCCCCGGACGATTCGATCCATATTGGTGGCAAGTAAGTCGTTTCCTCCTCGAATCCTAATGTTCGATAACCACCAGATGTTACTATTGCCAACTAACCGCTCGTCCCTGTTCCCTCGCTTCGTCCGGCAAACATGGCTCCCGGTCAGCGCCGAAAATCACCTATCCGTTCCATCGGTCCATGTTTCGGGGGTTCCAAGTTCTTGGGGGGATCCTAGTGTCAATGGTAGACGATGGGAATACCTCCCTTTCTCAGCTGGGGGTGACGGGTTTGAAGGAATTAACTAGAATGGCTAAGGTTCGTGCATCGAACTGAAACGTTCGACCGCCGAAAACTAACTCTTAGGACCTTGATCGCTCCAAAATGGTGCCGGGAATGTTCGAAGAAGCGGACGACGTCCTCGCTGTGTCCAAGAAGAGACTTCCCATCCCTCGTTATCATTGGAGGTATCGTCCTGTCCGGCATCCGTCCGACTCCGAGTACACTGATGAGGACCGCCCCTCTAATCCTTCGGACGTCGAATCAGACGATGTGTTCGTCGAACATGACCGTTCGACTAAGGGAAAAGGGAAGGAGAAAGCTGCTGTCCGGCCACAGAAGGGAAAGAAGGGTAAGGCTGTGGAAAGGAAGCGAAAACGCGCGGTGGAGGATGAGGAGGAAGAGCAAGAAGAGGTCCAACGGGTTTTGCGTCCTCGAAGGTCGAAGGCTATCCTTCGATCGTCCTTGGTAACGCCGCCCATCGACGAAGGAGAGGAAGAGTGGGAACCCGACTTCGAGACTTCCGGCGATGAAGATGAAGAGCACGCGGGTCCGTCGACTAGGGAGGCGAGGAAGAGTAGGTTGGAAAGGAGCAAGAGGGGGACAGGACGTAGGTGAATTCGTTGTACAGTATAAGATGTAGGGGTAAGGACTGTGTATCGTAATGACAGTGTGTAAAGATTGTGAATGTTCTCTGGAAGTATGAATTGTGATGGGAACTCTATTTAGTGAAACGCTGAGGAAGCGTACGACGGCGTGGAGCCAGTGGGGCGGTCGAACCATTGGGTTCGGAGTTCAATCTGCTTGTCAGCTCGGCCACCCAACGTGGGAAATTTGAGTCGTTTTCTAATGTAGACGTGGGCTGCCACGTCGCTTCCTCCTCCGGGTATCCCACCCATTTGACCTTGACCTGATCTTCCAAGTCCGTTTGTCCTCGAACCTTGGCCTTTCGCCTTCCCACCAGGTAATCCACCTCGTACGTCTCCTCTTCGTCGACTACCTGTTCTATTGGGGCGACCAATGGTTCTGAGGGAGGGGAGACGCTGCCCTTGGCCGGGGAGAGTAGGGACACGTTGAATACGGGATGAATCCTGTTTTTTAGCATCGAATCCGGAAGTTCGAGCCTCCAGGCATTGTCGTTGATCTTCTCAATCAACTTAAATGGTCCAACTTTTCGGTGGTCCAATTTCTTCGAAGGTCGAAGACTTCGCAGGTTCCTGGTACTGAGCCAGACCAAGTCCCCCACCTCGAAGCGCGGTTCCCTGCGGTGCTTGTCATACGCAGCCTTCTGCGCAGACTGAGCCTTCTGGATGGAATCGCGAAGGAGCTTATGCAGTGTGTCGAACGCCTGCATTCGGTGATGTGCCTGGGGAGATGGTAATGGTGTGTTTGCATCGAGTGCAGGTGTGAGGAGGTCGGTTCTGTAAGTCCGACCTGTGTAAGCCGTCAGCGGCGCCATACCGGTGGAGGAATGAGGAGTGGTGTTGTAACAGAGCTCAGCGTGATGTAATAAGACGGCCCAGTCATCCTGTTCCAAGTTAGTGTACATCCGAAGGTACTGTTCCAACCATTGATTAACCCGCTCTGTCTGGCCGTCAGTCTGTGGGTGGAAGGCCGTCGAATATCGAAGATCGACCCTCAAGTAGGTAGATATTGCCTTCCAAAATCTGGAAACGAAGATGCTTCCTCTATCGGAAGTGATGGTGTCGGGTAAACCGAAACGAGTGTAGACCTTCTCGATGAAAAGGTCGGCAAACTGCTCTGCCGTCAGCGTGGTAACTGTGGGAATAAAAACAGCCATTTTGGTGAAACGGTCCACCACCACCAGAATGGCATTAAAGCCCTTCGAACCTGGCAGTTCGCCTACGAAATCGCAGGAGATGTCCGCCCAAGGTCTTCCGGGTATGGGAAGGGGCTTCAGCAGGCCCAACGGGTTAGCTCGTGATGGCTTGTCTCTCTGACAAGTTTGGCACTGAGCCACGTAATCGACAACGTCCCTCCGTCGGCTCGGCCACCACCAGGCCCTGGCGATCATTTGCAGAGTTTTGCGTCCTCCAGGGTGTCCGGCGGACAAGGAGTTGTGACAACTGTCGAACACTTGCGTTCGATAACGAGAGGGCACGTAGTACTGCTCGTTACGACGAAGGAAACCGGCAGAGTCGATAGATAGTCCTTCCGAGGGGATTTTGCCTTTTAATCCGACGAACTCCACGTCGTCGCGATATAAATCTGTGGGTGAAGCTCCCAGCACTTGCGTCGGTTCGGGAATCGACAGAGCAAGGAGGAACTGTTCCTTCGAAAGCAATGCTTTGAAGTTGTGAGCGTTCAATTCGTGGGATAACGAAGTGTTATCCGTATCTGTGGGTCTGTAGTCTGACCGGCGCGAAAGTGCGTCGGGCTTTGTGGATTGCTTACCTGGGCGATACGTGATGACAAAGTCGAAATCCGCCATCAGTTCGTACCACCGTGCTTGTCGACGGGTGAGTTGTTTGGTCGTAAGGAAGTATTCGAGGCTCCTATGGTCCGTGAAGACATGGATTTGGTGTTGTGACCCCTCCAAGTATTGCCTCCACTCCTTGAAAGCGAAAACAATGGCGAGGAACTCTTTGTCGTGTATTGGGTAATTAAGCTCTGCTGGGTTCATGCTACGGCTGGCAAAGGCTAGCGGCCGTGATAGACCATCCCCGCCTCTCTGAGAGATCACAGCCCCAACCGCGAAGTCCGAAGCATCGGTTTCGACGGTCAAAGGTAAATTGGGATCAAAATGACGCAGGATCGGGGCAGACCCGATCCTCGACTTAAGTTCTTTAAACGCGGACTCACAAGTAGGAGACCATGTGAACCTCGTGTCTTTCCTGGTAAGTTCGTGAAGTGGTGTTGCGACTTTCGCAAACCCAGCTATGAAACGGCGGTAGAAGTTCGCGAAGCCCAGGAAGCTCTGCACCTCCTTGACTGTCCCTGGCGTAGGCCAGTCTTCGACAGCTCGGACCTTCTCCGGATCCATGTTGATCCCTTCAGGAGTAACAAGGTATCCCAAGAAGGACACACGATCGACGTGAAAGTCGCATTTATCGTGTTTAGCAAACAGCTTGTTTGCTCTGAGCCTCGTGAGGACCTCGCGGACATCGGATTGGTGTGTTCGAAGGTCCGCACTGTAAATTAGTATGTCGTCCAAATATATAATTACTGTCTTATCCAGCAAATCTCGGAAAATGTGGTTCATGAGGTGTTGGAAGGAAGCGGGCGCATTAGTCAGCCCAAAAGGCATAACCCGATACTCGAACAATCCGAATCGAGTGCGAAAAGCTGTTTTCCACTCCTCGCCCTCCGCGATGCGGAGCAGATTGTAGGCTCCTCGCAGGTCGATTTTGGTATAGACCGTTGCTCCTCGGAGTTGGTCTAACAGGTCGCCAATCAGCGGCAATGGGTACCGATTTTTAACGGTTATCTCGTTGAGACGTCTGTAATCTACACATAAGCGCAGTGAGCCGTCTTTCTTTTTTACAAAAAGGATAGGAGCGCCTGCCGACGACTCCGAGGGCACCACAAACCCCTTGGCAAGGTTCTCATCCAGGTACTTTCGGAGGGCATCTTGCTCCACCGGCGAGAGAGAGTAGATAGGCCCGAAAGTGGGGTGTTTGCCCTCTACCAGCGGGATTCGATGGTCGAACGGTCTGTGGTCCGGAAGTTTATCCGCCTCTCCTTTTGAGAAGACGTCCAGGAAATCCCAGTAAGTGTGGGGGACGACATCCTTCGGGTCCAGCTCCCCCACAGTGGCCAGCCGAAGGTACACTGCCCCCTTCTGGCCGTCGAAGTCCTGATCGTAAGCTTCCGGACTGATGATAGAAATGTTTGGTGGCCGAACCAAAGGTTCGGCCGAAGAAGGGGAAGGCAGTATACGTTCGTGATTCCAATCAATGATTGGTCGAACTTTCTTGCCAAAGGGAAAGCCTAGTATTACCGTAGCCAGACCGATGTCTGCCACCGTGAACCTCGAAGTATATGGTTCGAACCCCTCCCCAAGCAGAATCTTCAACTCCACCTCGAATTCCAGCGGCTTTGTCACGCCTCCTGGAAGATGAAGAGTTTGGGGAAGGTCTTTGGCAAGGAGAGGGAAACCATGCTTTCCAAGGAACGTTTGGTCGACAAGGTCGGCCTGGGCTCCAGTATCCACTAGTGCTCGGGTCATTATCGACTGGTTATTATGAATTATAGCGATGGGTATAGTAATCTGCAGGCTGGAAGGAGAATCCGCCCCTCGAAGCGAGGGGTTTGACGACGGTATTTGATTTTTAATATTTTTTTTGGTGTTTGTAGTTTTAACTGTTTGTAAACGGACATCATCAGACACTCTAAAAGCCAGAAATGAAATGTGACGAGAAGTTCCCACTGGCTCTCCGGGCTCGTCGCTCGGAGGTGGGTCTACTCGTTTCCCGGCTGGGAAGACGAGTCCGAGCCCGAATCGTTGAGTTCGAAGATCATCTCTTCGTCTTCAACTGTCATAGCTCTGACCTTGATAGGGCGGGAATCGCTTTTGAACGGTGGTCTCTGCCCCGACTGCTTCGACTTGGGGCACACCAGTACGGTGTGACCCGGGTCCCCACAGTACATACAAAGATTTTCTTTTCTTCGGCGTTCCTTTTCCTCATCGGAAATAGGTCCTCTAGACTTTGTTTTACCTGTGCGGTCAGTCTTAGAGGGAGGTTTGTTGTTACCGTCGATGTTCGAACCCTTTCGTTCGAAGTTCGAACGTTGACTGGTGTTGTTGTCCTTGGGGTTGGAGCCCGACTTATCGTCTGACCCACCCATAGATTGGCGGATACCGGAATAATGACGATCAATTGTGATTGCCGCGTCCACTAACTCCCTAAGGGAAGTCGGCTGATTCTCGCGGTTTGCAATAGCAATTCGAATCTCGGCCGAAAGGCCGGTTTCGAACGCGTCTTTCTTGGCCCTGTCATCCCACTGTACTTCAGTAATAATGGCAGTGAACTTTGACCAGTAGGTGGCGACCGAGCCCTTACCTTGCTTGATGGATCGTAGTTGGTTAACCGCATAACGGTGACGATCTGGGTCGCCGTAAATTCTTTTGAGTTCGGCGAAGAAAGCCTCTGGTTCCCGGGTCCAACCCGGGCGTTCGACGGACGGTGTTGAAAAATAACCGTCCCACCATGCCCCGGCGTCCTCTATCAAGTGAGAGGCGATCCAGAGCACCTGTGCTTCTGGAAGCATATTGTTGCCTGCCATCTCTAGCATCATTCTAGCACGGGATATGAAAGCTGGAAGTTTACCTCGATCTCCCTTGAACTTTTCCAGGTTGGCCATGGGTAACTTGGGAAGAGTAAATCCCGAGCCGGGGGCAGGGGACTGGGAGTGACGATCGATCCCCCCGGTTCGAACGCCTAACGCGTTTGCATTAGCTAGGGATTGACCCTCTAAATGTGCGGGGAGTTCGCGACGGAAACCAGGCGGTGGGATGGCCGTCCTGGTTGGGGAGGGAGGTTCATTTGAACCTCCATCGTGAGAAGCAGATTGGAGAGACTGCACCTGTATACGTAGACGAGCCATCTCCTGATTTTGTTCCTCGAACCTTTGGTTTAGACCAGCTAAAGCCTGAAGGATTGCATTGGTACTTGTAGAGGTGGTGGCAGGGTTTTCCACCGCTGGGGTGGCTGGTTGTTGCCCCCCTTGAGTGGTAGGGGCTACACTACCCTCAGGGTGTAACCTTGTAACCCGACCACTTGGAGTATTGGGAACGCTCGACATTGTTTTCAGATTGTCGGGCGATTACAGTTCGGGACTAGAAGAGCAACCTCGTAGAAGTCGGTACAAGCTAGACGAATGTATCTTATGTCAAGACCAGACCGAAGGTCGAAGGATCTGCGTCGAGGGTGATGAGCTACTTGTAGGGACTTGAACTAGTTGTAAGAGGATACGAGGATCGAAGCAAATAGTTCGAGGAGTGAATAATAAGTTTTGGCAAATGTATAAGAGAACTTGTATGTTGAGACAGACAAGATACATTCGTCGAAGTTGTTCTAAGCTATGCACTACCTTATGTACATGGAATGAGAGTGTAATGTAGATAAGGGTGGCTGGTAGTGTTTATCGGTGGCGGGTAACTGGATATTACCCGAACTAGCAACTTCGACGCACGTGGTCATGACACCTGCATAGCCTCGCGACAGCGGGGAAATTCTGTACGCAAGTTCTCCCTTTTCTTCCTCGGTCAACGAGCGAGGCTTGACGCATGAAAATCTTAGTCAGCTATCCACGATTTGAGACCCAAACGGTCTGGGCTATCATGCTTCTGAGTCTCTCAAATCCAGTCTTAATCATGGTACAAAGCAAGAAGAAATCTATGAAGGGATATGTCAACAAAGGTGTGTGAGAAAGTTCTCACCCAATTTGATTCTCATCCTTCAAGCTGTGCATAATTCTAGCTTCTTCCCAGTCCCAGAGAGGAGGAAGGGGGAAGGGGAGTAGTACTAATAGTCCTCTGGATGGGAGACCACTTCTTCCTTCACATCCTCCATTTCACACGTTGTATGTTAACCCTGGTGACAAATCTACGTAAATCAACATCTATATTTCATTTCGAGTTCCAAAGAACCAACAGACCACCAAAAATATGAGTACCACTCAGTTCTCAAGGAGAAGCATCATTGCACAGAGGATCGATGTTGGTTCAGTAGCCCCACAGAGCAGTAGAGTTCTGGAATGGCTAGAGTCATTGGACGAAATGAAGAATAGAGCGTCGACGGAACCTCCATCCAAAAGTAAGGCAGTGCCCTCCAGTATTGAAGTATCTCCATGGCTACAAGCTCTTGCCGAGATGTCCGTACTCATTGGGCGGATTGACGGAGAGCAACATGTCATGGTCACCCCGGCGCTACCTCAGACTGTAATTGACTTGTGTAAAGCTGGAAAGGAATGCACCCTCAAAGACCTGCAAGATTCTTTAGGTATGGTCCATGATCTGACTCCCAGATGGCCGTTTGTGCGTAAGCAGATTAAAGCAAGTTTTGTTGACCCTGAAGGTAATGTTGAGGAAGATTACCAGATTGTGGAGATTGAGGGGAAGGCTGTTGTCCTTGAGAAAGACCAGCGGTCAGAGATGGACCCAGACAACTCGGGAGATGATGCGGAAATGGAGGAAAGTCAGATTCCTGACGGTTCAATCACCCAAGAATTGCATGAGTTAAATGGGCACCTACTTATCAGATTTGATGATAGCATCGACTTCAGACTCCCCCAAGTAACACTATGGACCAAGCTCAGTCCTCTTCATCCGTATTGTGCAGCGGTAGAATGTGAGGTGCGCAACTTGGAGACGGTACTTACACAACTTCAGAAAGGAGAACTGGGTGACGTCCAAATGGAATACATGACACATTGGCTACTTTGTTACACCACTCACATTGCAAGCTTAGTTGATATCTTCAAAGACTGGGGCAAGGAAATGCTGGAGGAAATTGCAGACGAGGAAAAGAGATGGTGGATAACATGTTTCCCGGAAGACCAAACCCAGGTGAGTGATGATGAGTCTTCTGCAATTGCCAGCACCATATCAAAGTCAGTGATTGAAGAGAGACCAAAGGAAAGACAGACACTGTCCAAGATGCTGACAATGATCTATGTTCACATAAGGGACTTGACAAGGCTGAGTGAAACACAACTGGAAAATCAACTTCTAAGGCTCTTGAACATATCAGACAGCTTCAAGGGATTGTTGGATAATGAATATGGTATCCCATTCACTCCAGCTGACAACCCAACAGAGAAGGTTGATCTGACCCTGACAACTGAAGAGAGCAAGGCAGCCGGCAAGCAAGAACGAGAGTTAAACTTTATAGAACTATGTACAGAAGCATGTGTCGAGGATCCAGCCCTAGCAACGTGGGACTACATACTCTCTAGATTGCAAGGGATTGCCTCATCTGATGCAGATCCTTCCAAGCTGTCATCTCAAAGCCAAGGGATGTCAGAAACCGAAGATCCATAGGAATGGATGCATAGGAAGCAGACGGCGGTACCGATCCTCAAACTGGACCACCATTCAGAACATTGTGAAACCTTTGTGCAGCCATGACCAGATTGACTTGTAGAGACTAAGACATGGCTTACCAGAGGGGATGTGTTAGCTTGTGCATGTGGGCTGAGATGCATGTGCATGAGGGTGAGAAGAAGAGCCGGGTCCTGGCGGTGATGGTGAGAAGTGCAACAACTCAGACAGAGTCCGCCACTTTGCCACGCTGCCACTTTGCCACAGTGCCACTTTGCCACACTGCCACGCTGCCACAGTGCCACAGTGCCACAGTGTCAGGTGGGAGAGAATGGGGTACTACGCTGCTAAGTTCTCTTGCCACGACAGAGGTGTAATCGCTCACGAGGACGTTCGCGGCTAAAGAAGGGGGCGACTGTCACGAACTACGTCGTGACACCTCGATTACTCCACCAACAATGACCCTCCTTTGGCCATCAAAACCCCATCACGCCTTAACCTCTTTACTCTACACGTAACTCAGGACTTCTGACACCAAGTACGGCGAAGTTAGACGGAGTTAGGCTAAGCAGGGACAATGGGAGCAGAAGTACGGCGAAGTTAGACGGGGTTAGGCTAAGTAGGGACAATGGGAGCAGAAGTGCGGCGATGTTAGGCGGAGTTAGGCTAAGTAGGGACAATGGGAGCAGAAGTGCGGCGATGTTAGGCGGAGTTAGGCTAAGTAGGGACAATGGGAGCAGAAGTGCGGCGATGTTAGGCGGAGTTAGTCGAAGGAGGAAGAGGATGGCCGAGGGCTCGGGGAAGTTGGACGAAGTGCGTTGAAGTACGTCAAAGCGCGAGAGGGTTGGATGAACGTCTAGGAGGAGTAGATAATATTAGCTGAGAAGATCGCTGAAGTTCTTCAGCGATCCTTGATTGTTGTCAGTAGTGAAAGACAGATAGAGATAGCTATAAATCAAGATACATCGCCATCAGTAGAACAAAACCCTAGTTAGAGTAACTACGCCGAAGTACGCCGTAGTTACACCCCTTTCGACGTCTGCGCCCTCCTGGTTGGGTGAGACATCGACTCAGAGCGTGAAGTTAGCCGAGGTTCGTCGACCGTCGGTCTATTAAGAAATAGTTGTTCGACGGCCGTGACAGTATCAAGGATCGCTCTTACCGACGACCCGTGCGAACCTCGGAGAAGTACAAAGATAATATGGAACCAGAAAGACCGATGATCTTGGCCGGGAAACAACTGGACGTCCACTTGGGGCACCCCCCTTTTCTCCTCGGGGCACGACATGCCACAAACCCTGAACTCAAGTTCATAGGCCCGGCGTTACTGAAATCCCGAGGTCCTGACGAACATGAACTCGCCACTGATCGGAATTTCAGTAACGCCGCGACCTCTGCTCACTCTTCTCTTACATCGTCAATGTCATTATTAGCTATACCATGTCATTTCCGGTCATTGTCCATGCATTCTCCATATCTATCAATGTCCAGGAGGATAATATGAGCCATAGGGATGTCTAGAAGAGCCCTGGGAGGGATAGGGAGGCCAATATTGAGAGGATAGAGGAGGGAGAGTAGGTGGAAGAGGGGGGGGTGGTAGGTACCTCTCCTCAGGAGGATAAATGTCGAAAAATGGGGGTACCTGTTCATTAGAGACCCCCCATCGGATACAGCCGAAAATGCAGTATTAGAGACTCACATTCGGTGGATATTGGCCGTTTCCTGGTGTCTCCTGGACCAATCAGCTTGCAGGAAACTTTTAGAAGTAAGAGACTAAGAGAAGAGTGAAAATTTTCGAGATCGTGAGGCCATTATAGAGAGAGACAGAGCAATATAGTCAGAGACAGAGCAATATAGCCAGGAATGACTGCAGGACAGAGAGGGGGAGAAGGAGGGAAGGAGAAATGTCATTATCATATGAGAAACCCACCGAATAACCTGTCCTAGTGATCATTTCTCCTGTCCTCGCCATCCTGTCCTCTGTCCTCACTACTACAGGCCGATTTTCCTTCTCCCTTTTATCTCTGTCCTCAATACTCTTAGCCAGGCCGGAAACCATCTCCTGAAGACTCGAGATCTTCTTCTCAAGAGCAGCATTAGTCCCCATTACTGATCCCTCTGTCCAGGTCGTTTCTCCAGCATCATACGCCTTTACCTCGCGATCATAGGCCTCAGGATCCCTCTCTCGATGTTCATTAGCCCTTTTACACTTCTTAGGACCATGACTTCTTGAACCACACAGAGGACAGGGACGATTTGCCTTCTTCTTGGTACCTAGGAATTTCTCTGACTGAGTGTGTAATCGACCGGTATGAGAGACATCATTGGACAGTTGAGAAGGGTTCGATTTTACACCCCTTTTAGGCGAAGGAGGAAGAGTAGGAGAAGGAGGTAAAAAGTAGGGGTTTTCGACAGGTAACAGGTCGTCATTATCGTCATTCGTTAAGTCGATCTGAGTGGTGGTGAGGTTCTTGAGGTTCTTCTTAGCTAATACCAACCGGTTTCTTCGAATGTGGGGGTCACGAATCCTGTTGGTATCATTATCCACCTCCCACTCAGGTCCTAGTAGCTGATGAACTCCACTAACATCTCCACTGACTTTCGCAGTGGCCTGTTTGATCGTGTCTGGCCAGGACATGGGGTTAAGGAGACGCCAATGACGATGGAGAGGAGCAAGAGCAATGGTACCATCTCTTTCTAGTACTTCTTTTATCTGCAGAGCAGAAGGGAGGCCCATTGATGTCGAATACAGGTTGCTCTCGTCATCATTTTTGACATTTTCAGCAGTGGCGATCTTGTACTGCTTCGTCATGAGGCCAATTGACTGGTTAGAGACTCGATTCTTGACATGTATAAAGATAGCGTTGACACTGGTGTCCTGTACCATTCGGTTCTGAGCCATTTTGTCCAATATGGCGGTACATTGATCGTCGAAGAAGGAACCAGCAATTCGCAGTAACCCGTATAAATCGCTATATGCATTTTGAAGACGACTCTTGAACGCTCGGTGGTTTCCTTCGAGTCGAGAATTTGCTGTCTGTCCAAGATGAGGATGTTTATCGATAAAAGCAGAGACAAAGTGTGTCTTATGATCCTCCACCAATTGTCTCACATAAGCCCTCGCACCATCCAACTTCTCATGTCCCCACCGGTTCTGCATTGATGACAGAGCCTTATCTAATGACTCTTCAGACTCAGCAGTACAGATAGCCGCCATGAAATGATCACCAAAAACAGATAACTTCTCCACCCAACCGTTTTTATAAAGGGACTGAAAATTTTTACGACAGTTCACCTTGATGTTTTCTCGGAGGTGCCATCGACAGTAATTCAGATGAACATGAGGGAGGTGGATAGACAGAGCGTTGTGTAAAGCGATTTCACGATCACATACGATAACTTTGATGTCATTGTTGATAGGACCCATGAGTTCAAGGTAGCTTTTGATCGCGAGGGAGTACCATTCAGTCACTTCTCGACTTAAGAACACGATTGCAGAGGTGTAGGTTTGATTTGTAGCAGTAAATCCAGCAATGTGAAGCATTGGAAGACGATATCGATTGGTTCGGTAGGTGCAATCCATAAAAAGAACGGTTGGGTACGAATGAGTCATGGCTCTGGCTGACGAAGTGGTAAAGACGAGACCACAAAGTTCTTTTTTACTGTTGGTGAACGCTTTAAAAAGATCATTATTGTCGGTGAGACGTCTGATTGCTGCTTCGGTAGCAGAAAGACCTTGTCGAAGCATTTTCTCATGACGAAAACGAATATTTTGAACATCTTTCGCAGTGAGTGTGACTTTATTACCGAAATGATGATGGACGGCCGAGACCACCCCACGAAGGGTGTGTTCACTCTCGAGAAGGTGTTTAATGAATTCAAGTACTTCAGGAGATCGACTAGCCTGACGAATAAAAGAGTAATGAAGAAGAGGGACAGGTTCATGATTATGAGAGTTATCCATGGTGTAGGGGATCCAGCGGGGGGGACGATCTTGAGCAATCTTCTTGGTCTCTCTTCGCCATATGATAGAGAAGGGACAGTTGTCTTGTTTGGTAGTTCTAGGTCGCTTTCTAACATGTTCATAGTCATGAGAACGATGTGACCGACCATCACCACCATGAACACAGTGGAGCTCGAGTTTTCCTCTGTCTTCTTTACTGCGACGAGTGACGATAACAACGAGGTGTTCCATTGCTACCTGTTGGGTATGAAGTCGAGCTGCTTCCATGGTTGGTTGAGGTTCGAGATCGAGGGGAGGGTGGATGTGGTGAGCCACACAATCGAACCCAGGTTCATCGTAAACATCGAGACCGAGATTGTCGAGCAATTCTTCGAGATTGTCGTCGTCAGAGTCTCCAGGACGATGTGGCTGAGTCTCTGGTACGATAGAAGGAGATCGAGAGTGATCAGGACTGAATTTTATAGAAGGGGACCTTGAAAAACGATCCAGAATTGGTGATGAGGGTGGTGATGATTGGATAAGAATCGGTGATGACATCTAATTCGTCAGGATGATCACTTCATGCAGTAAAATTAATACTCACTCGTAGCCCAAGACCAGCAGAATACATGTCGACAAGTTAGAACCCGGGGGGTGGTGTTGTTGAAGAATTAAAAAAGTTTTTGGTCGAGATGTCGGTGGCAAATTTTCGAGGAGTTCGGTGGCGAGGATTTTAATGTTGAGTAGGCCTATTGAAGTCAGCATTTCACTTCTGATAGTAAAACAACTACTCACAGCTCAGGAAGAACCAGGGATCAGTGTCGCTGCATATGTGTTATCGCAGGAAAAAAGTTTTTTCGAGGTGGCCAGGATTTTGAGGTTGAGGAGGCCTATTGAAGTCAGCATTTCACTTCTGATGATAAAACAAGTACTCACAGCTCAGGACGAACAGGAGAACAGTGCCGAGTTATAGCCCAAGACGAGCTGAATACGTGTCGACAAATGAGAACCCCGGGGGTGGTGTTGTTGAAGAGTAAAAATTTTTTTTGGCCGGGATGTCGGTGGCGAAAATGATGATGATGACGAGAACCTATGACAATCAGATTTTTACATTTTTCGATGAGAAGAGTACTCACAGACTCGCAGAGGCCAGGAGAACAGTGTCGAGTTGTTTAGAAAGGCTGAAGATGTGTCGTTGAAGAGTAAAAAAAGTTTTTCTTCGAGAGGTGTTCGGTGGCGAGGGTGATGATGGCGAGAGCACCTATCGAAGTCACAATCTCACTTCTGATGATGAGACAAGTACTCACGGACTCGCAGAGAGCAGTAGAACAGCGTCGAGGAGGTGAGAGAATACCACACTTAATATTAAAAGAGATATGGCGATTTGATGGGTGGTAGTCAGGAAGGGCGCAGTTGAAGAAGCGAAGGGCCAGAAGTTGGTGTAAAATAGTCGTAAAAGAGTAAGAATAGTATCAAAATGATCCTTGAGACGAGTAGAGACCGTGTGTGTGAAAAAGAGCGTGAGTTTACTAGTATAATGACGATAGAGAGATTAGTGGTGGTGAGGACAGGTTGGTTGGTAGCGAGCAGACATGTCGCGTCGTCGTGTCGGTCGGCGTTACTGAAATTCCGATCAGTGGCGAGTTCATGTTCGTCAGGACCTCGGGATTTCAGTAACGCCGGGCCTATGAACTTGAGTTCAGGGTTTGTGGCATGTCGTGCCCCGAGGAGAAAAGGGGGGTGCCCCAAGTGGACGTCAACAACTGGGTCGTCGAGTGTGAGGGGTTGAATGATGATGGGAGATGGGAGATGGAGCAGCGTTGAATGATCACTACTACTTACTCAGGGACGTGTGAGGAAACACACACTTGCTCTTCCTCTTCTCCTTCCCTTTCTCTTCTTACTCTCATCCTCTTCACTGACCTTCTTAATGACTTGACGATCTTATCTGACTATAACGATACGACACTTTGACGATTGACGATCACGACCATACCATTTCAGTTTGACATCTACCACAATCGAGGCAAGGCCGAGGGAAGCCATTCCAATTCCACGGTGATCCGGTGAGTTCCATTCCCTTCCTCCTTCCCTCCTTCCCACACAGGGATACCTTCCGGGCGTCTTTGTGTCTCACACACCGTTTCCTATCTGTCATGAACACTCGAAATAGCCAAAGGAGCAGAACGGACGGTTTCATGAAGCGAGACACCGAAGATGAAAGCTGACACAGTAGATCATCGTTCAACTTTACACCCTAGAGGTGTTGACTTGCTCCACCTCAATGTCTTTTCAACAACCTCTCTCGTCTATCATACCAAACGACTCGAGACTGATATCTTTCTAAAAGCTCAGTCAAGAATCTAACGACCTAACGAATCACCATTACGACCAACGATTTATTCACGAATCACGATCATCATTTCATCCGACGCCATCAACACATTCCTTTTCCATACCTGCCCTGTGGAAATTGTGAATCTTGACCACACGTTTCACTCACCATCAACGTCAACACACACGTCCTCTCACTTGTTTACCCTTTTCTCATTTCACGACGATAACGAATCATCATGACACCTTCAATATTCTCCTCTGACTCTCATCTCCTCAACTCTCGACATCTCGCTCCTCCACCCCCTGTACAGAAAACATCAGGATTGAAAAATTCTTTACGACGTATCCCTTCCGCTCTCTTCTCCAGAAGTCCTCCGAAGAAACAACAGAAATCAAAGTTGGGTATATACCAGGACCCCGATACCGCTTCGACCGGAAGATCTTCCAAGTTACAATTAACCAAGACCTCTGCTCCGAGATTAGGAACGACTGTGCTTTCAACCGATACCGACTTTCCAACGCGCGACAACGACATCCCGCTCTCGACTTCCAATACTTCTAAGGGAGGTATATTCTCCACCAACCACATTCCTAAAGGTACGGCTACTTCCGTCGTCAACAGCACCCAAGTTTCAAAAATTGTTGGAATGGAAGTACCGGAGAAAACCAAGACCAGGACGAAAACCCGAAAAGCTCTGGCGGACATTCTCGGGTGGGGTAATCATTCTAATATCCAACCGTCGCTCCCACAACGACAGGCGTCTGAGAAGAAACCTTCAAAACTTATCGCCAAGGCTTCACTCCAAAAACTCCCTCGAGCAACCCTCGGAAACCAATCCTCCATCCAGCCTGTGACGAAATCCATCATCACGGAACACCCATTTCCTGAAATCTCCCACCGTACCGCTTCAGTTGGGAAGATTGTCGATTCATCTCCTCCTCCACCACCCGTCCCTCCCAAAACTATGCCGCTCGTACTCAAAAAACCGGCTAGTTCCTCAATCCGAATCTCTTCACAACCCTCTCAGCCTATCGCGGTTGCTCAGAAGCAATCGTCGCTTAGGACGGAGGAAAGGACCGGGCGACCGAGTATTGGCGATGATCCGTTTGGAAGGACATCTTCAGGGGCAGAGGTGATCGACAAGATGCCAAATAGGGAAATCACGACACCGTCAGTGAAGAGTATCACAACCGAAAGAAGGGCTAGTATTTCGTCCAACAAGGCGATGTCGGCGCGTACAAATCTGAGTGATGATGTTAGTTTACAAGATATGAAGAGGTACGTTCCATCTCTTTCTTTCCTTCATCTTCACATATCACTTTCTCTGTATCATCATCATTGACCGCACGACTTTTTCTTGTCTCATAATGCGAGATGATCTTCAGTCGCGTGGTTACGAAAAGATTGGGCAGAGTTCAGGGATCAAATGGCTGACGAGAAAGAGCTATTCGAAATACTTTACCCGTCACTGCCGAAGTATCGGAAAGCGCCCAATCTTCTCCTCAGAAAGAACGACACGTCTCTGCTCCATTACCCAGCAAAGCTACCCTCATCCAATTACCTATACGAACTAGCTCGCTCGGACGGGTCATCCCAATGGCTCGACCAATCACGCCACAAGAGACTGCCTTTCCCACTTCAACAGCCGCCACGCTTGCTTCCATGCCGACCATCACGTCGATTCACGTGGAATTGCCTCATTCCACCGAGAAGATCGATGAGACCACAGTTGGCGAAGTACCGGCACCAATGGCATTGAAAACACAGCCAAAAGTATTGAAAAAAGAGAAGACCAAATCCAAAATTTGGGGGTTGTTAGGAGGAAGGAACAAAAAGTCATCAAAAGAACCAGAGAAAACAATGCCTGCTCCAGTGGAGCATAGTAAGTCATCCGATCTCTCTTCCAGCATCACATCTCGTACCCTCAAATCCCCTATTCCGCACAATGTAGAAACTCGAAGCCTTGTTCTCTGCATATGCATCACATTCCTCACTCGTGATCGTTGCTGACATTCCTAGTTGCTTCTCACTCAACAAGCAGTAAAGCTGCATTCTCGAATCTTTCTTTCAACTCTCAGTCACAATCTTCCAACCGACGTCCTCCTCCGCCGGCGCTACACGTCACTCATCCGTCTCAAGATATCAAACCCTCGCTCCCTACATCCTCCACTGTACGCACGACGAACACCATGACATCCGTCAACTCGGTGGAGTCGAACCAAACTATCACGCTCAAAGCGGATACAAACAGTTTCGCCTCTCAGCTAGATGCCGCTTTCGGAGATTCACCTTTGACTTCCAACTTTCCTCAGGATATCTGGAAATCTGTTGGTCCCACTTCCTCCTTGACAGCCAGAGCAAAGACCCCAACCTCTGACATGGGGACTTTCTCCACTGCCGAACCCAAACATGCTGGATCGACAGGTCAACGTAATATCGAAGCTCTCCTCGCACCTAGAGGAATGCCAAAGAGGAAGTCACTCTCTGGCTTGTTTGGCTCAGCGGTGAAGTCTCTCGGAAGAAAGGTTGTATCTCCTCCTGTCAGTCCTCTGCAGATGAAGTTGGCCAAAGAGAAGAGATTACCTTCACCTCCTATCAGTCCCTCACAAAGAGATGGGGAAAGGCAGGTCGGTCAGGAACAAATGAGATTGAAGACACTTGCGGAGGAGCTGGATGCCGCTTCGCCGGAAGTATTGAGAGATTCTGGGGGGTACAAAAGTCGGTTTGGACATTTTCACGGATTTCATTTGGACGTTTCTGATGGTGAATTCTCTTCTTCCTCTTGCTTCCCACCTGCGTTCCTTGACCTTCTCCTCCTGGCTACTTCCTCCTCTGATCCGTTGCATTTTATCATGATGCCTTGGTCCTACTTTCAGTCCCGCCAGCAGATATGAGGAGATACGACACTCGCTTTTGTTGTACTCATTCGGAGTTTCACTGACTCCCAGGGAATCTTTCCAGCGCAGCAGCAGCCACAGACCAGCTTCTTTCTTTCGTCTCGGCTTTCGAAGCTTCTCCCATGTCTAACGCATCCGAAAATGGGAGTCGGAAACCATCTTTAGTCCAGATGACCTCCTTCTCCTCCCTACGAGCGGATGCGAATGGAAGTCCAACGCCGTTAAGAAAGATCAAGAGTGCTATGTTGACGGAGAAGAGTAGTTCGAGTAGTCCATTGAGACAACATGGAAATGTTTCACCTTTGAAATTAGCTTTGCACCATGTTCAAGCTGCCAAGGCGAAGAGTGGGGTATTCTCACCTTCGGACGAAACTTTATCGATCAATCCGTTCTCTAAAACCATCGTGGGGAAAAAGTCTACCTCGACGTTAAAGAACTCAACTTCTTTCATTTCTCTTAAATCGAAGACAAACTCCACTCCATTCGCTGTGATCAACACGAACGTCCAAAAAACTGAAGTCACATCGACCAGTTTAGTGAAAAAAGGAATGAAAAACATTTTCGCTCCTCCTTCTCCGGCTCCTGTTTCGTACACACCTTCCCCACTTCGGAAAAGGGCGGACGCCGAGGTGGTTGGTATGCCAGGAATTTACGTCGCTTCTCGAGTTTCTTTCGGTTCTTCAACTGCTAGAGTAGTAGAAAGAGGTAGAACCGTCACTCCTGAAACCATCCGAGCAAGGAAATTAGCTCAAGATCAAAGATCATCAAGATTCCAAGATGCCGCTGATGTTCCTTCGGATTTACAAGCCATGTTTAACAATCTCGAAGGGTCCGATACTCCTTCTCCACTTGCCAAAAAATCGATCGCTTCGAGTACAAACCTTGAGGAAAAGCAAGATCGTATTATGGATTTAGGGTTACCTATACCTCCTCCAATTGATAGAAGGGTATCTCGTCGTCCACCTCAATACAGATCACCACCTCTCGCTCCACTTCCACCTCTGCCTACCAGTTTTATCAACTCTTCGACCGATCCACAGAAAGCTGTTCCCAAAATGGTCGTCACTCAACTTTTACCAACCCCTACATCTGTTCGAACGAAGAGAGAACACGGGTCGGTCCTCACGCCTCTTGCACTGAACACTGGTGCGAGTCCGAATTGTGGTGAGAAAGATAATAGAATGTCTTTCGATTTTACAGGGGAATATAATTCTCTTGAACAAGGAGAACAACGAGCTTCTTTCGTTGATGCTTTGAGAAGAGTAGGAAGTGCGGATTTACTTCTTCCCATGACTATACCTCAATCTTCTCCCATGGCCAGTGTGGATCAACATGGTTCCGAAACCTCCGCATCGAATTGTCTTCACACCGAAACGCAGACTCAGACCGAAAGTCAAGGTCACTCTGCTCATTCCCACGGAACGGAGAATTCCGTGTCGTTGTATCTCAACATGAACAGAAGTATAGAAGACGAAGATATCTTCGCAGATGCACGTAGTGATAGTGGAAGTTCAGATGGACAATATGGGACAGTGAGGGATAGAAAACAACCTTTCCGTGGACAATTAGCATTCCAACAACATGCTTCCAATATGAGGGTTTCACCTGTTTCATCCCCTTCATCCCCTCATCCCTCTACAACTCACACCGATCTTTCTTTACCTACTCAACAAACATTTGGTGAACAAAGTCAAATTGGAAGAGGACATCACAATCGAGGTGAAAGTGTATGTAGTATTCTCACAATGTCTTCAATCGGAGCCGTCATCGATTCAGGTATAGCAGGTGAATATACGAATTACTTTGATAAAGAATTTGCTCAAGCTCTTCAAAATCATCAAAAGCGTCTTTCTGTAACTTCGGTAGATTCCACAATGTCAACAGAGTCAATTCCTATGCGACATCAAGGGACACGACATCGTCGTGGTCCTTCCACCACATCTATCGATTCTGTATCAGCTAGAAGACCACCAGGAAGAAGAGGTCATCATAGAAGACAATCTTCAATATCTTCTATCGATTCTTTAGGTGATGTGGAGATGTATACAACCGCATCTTTAGGTCCTCCAGTCAGTATGCATAATCCAAAGAGGGGGTCATATATCTCTAAACATCGAAGATCTGGTTCGACAGCTTCTGGTGAATCTTTTGATCTCAATTGGACACAAAACCTTTCTGGTTCTTCCGGTCCTGGAACGGGTATCTCTATCAACGGAGGTGTTGGGGTCGGAGCAGTAAGAGGACGGACTGATTGGGCTGCTAGACATCGTAAAACTTCTTCTGTGGAAAGTACCAACTCTATAATTTCCGTTCATCGACTTGTCAGACCTGGATTAGGTGAAAGAATGTTTCATTTAGATGGAGGTGTACAATTAACTTCTATAACTGGATCTCCTCCCGAAGCTTCTCATGGTATATCTGGAACTTATCCGGAATCTCCTTCTCCACACAAGAACCCACACGATGAACGTCGTCATGGTTTGAAAAATGTATCTCGCCATATATCTCATCAATTTTCATCTCAGACCCAGGAGAATCATCACGGAACAACAACTCAACACTCCAAGAATGTCGGAAGAATTGAAGAAACACAAGTGGACGATTGGGATGATTCTTTGTTCCAACCTAGATCGCCGGATTCTATTTTGATTCATACTCGACGATCACCCGATTCGATCCTTCGTCCAGTCCAACCTAACAGAAAAGCAGTCAACATGGTACCGAAACACCGAGGTGGTTCGGGTGATTCTGTGTTTGGACGTGGTCCCATCGACATAGCTTCTGTTACGCAGGACGACACCAGAGGAGGGATGAGAAATGCTGGTTTGCATATCCACGGAAGACCGATTTCCGATATCAGTATGAGTTCAACGGATGAAGATGTACAGGATGATACTTTTATCAATGTTAATAGGTATAGAAGGAATGTTGGGGAAGAAGAATGTTTGGAAGGTGAAGGAGAGGATTCTACTTTGATGAGTGAGTTTTCATTGATTTTTGGTTCAAACATACTTTGAATTCTGCCTGGTATATCGGTATACTTCCTTGTCCGTTTACTCTTCTCGAACAGCTAGTATCCCCTGCCGTCCACTGCAGTTGAGGCTGGGGAGGATGCTTCCTCGTTTCGATTTCCGAACAGTGGCCACGATCTTGTACAATTGATAAAGTCGGATTGTGCTTTTGAGCGAGAGATTGACACATGATAGTGTTTGTGGTCCGTCACTAATTCCAGCTCCTATTCACGACACCCACCTCACAGGTCGGCAACTTCTCATGTCATCTCTATCCCGACCTCAACCTCCTCGATCCAGAAGTGGAGCAACTCGTCGTCGTCCACTCCCACCTCCACTCAATACAAGCGGGTTTGATCTATCCAGTTTAGACACTCCTGGTTTGACATCACCATCAGCATCTGAAACTTCAGGAAGAGCATCTCTTGAAACTTCCACATCTGATCATTTCTCTTTTCATCGTATTCGTCCCAAAGGTGCAGGCCATAATCGTCAAAAATCATCTGCTGGTATTTTCCCTCAACCTACCATTCGAGAAGAACCTTCCAACATGACATTACGACCTTCCACAAATTCTCAACCGATTCGGAAAATCTCCCGTAATAATCTTCGTACTTCCCCATTACCCACCCGAAGGATTTCAAGCCAAAACCTTCAATCTGATTCTTCTCTTTCCACTCATCTTCCTCGTCAATCATCACGAAACACTCTCAGAGGTAAAGAAGAAGTCAAAGTTAGAGAATGGGATTCTTCCGATAAAGGTTCAGAAATGGATTTGAATATAGATGAAGAGATGGACACAGTTAGTGGTTGGTTAAAACTTCAACGTGAAGTAAATGAAGAATTACGTAGGAACCAAAACGAATGGGAAGATTCAGAAGAAACGAAACTTGCTTTGGCGGATTTTTCAGTTCCACAAACATTTGAAGATATTTCTGAATTTCTAAAAAAATCAAATTCGGTTTATAAACCTTTACCAATCGAACGTCCATTAGCACATCGAAGGAAATCTTCTTTATCAAATTCAAGAACATTAGTTTCTCCATATGGTTTAACAGGAATGAATTACAGATTCTCTTCAACTTTATCTCCTTTTAAACCTATTTCAACGAATCAAACTTTCGAAGAATCGAATGAACAAACTTTCAAAACTTTTGAATCTAACGTTAATTTGGGATTACCAAAACCTCCTGTTGATAGACCTGAAAGAAAGAAAGGTTCATTAATTACGAAATTTGAAAGAACTCATTCTGCTACTTCTGCAACTTTCCAATTATCAGAAGATACTATAAACAGTCGTGGACCTGGAGGATCAGCTGGACCGATATTAGGAACTATAGGATGGAATCAACAAATACCAAAAACCGCTCCTGCCACTCAATCAGTTTTCGCTCAATTCACTAGAGCTTTACCACCTTCTCCACCTCCTAAAGTCATATTAACACCTACGAGTCCATTCAATTTCCAACTTCCTTCTTTTGACGCTTTTGGTCTACAAGCGGATCTTGACAATCTCACAAACAAGAAAGAAGGTCAAGGTGGAGGGAGGAAACGTGGTGTTAGTCAAGGTCAAGGTGAAGGTGAAATGGAAGAGAAAAGAAATAGAGTTACTTCTAATGCTAGACGACAAGCATTAGGTTGGGGTAGAAGAAGGAATAGTGATGGACCTGATAAAATTGTCGCTGTTTCTCAAGGTGTAGTTAGAAGTTTAGTCAAAGAGAAAGAAGATCAAATTGCCGCTTTGAACGTTTCTTCGAATCATGTTCAATCTTTGGTCAACTTGACTTCTCCTGGTGATAAAATGTTTGAAAAGGAGAAGATTTGGAATCACACTCATGTTAAAGGTGATATTGAGAAACATGTGGAAGAAAAAGGGATAAAATCGACAAAGATGAAATATATGACGGGAAAAGACAAAGAGAATGAAATCTTTGGAAAGAAAGGAGGAGAGGGGGGAAAGAAAATGAGGAAAGTAAAGAGTATGAATAGATCGAAAACTCATGCTCTTCGTGTGTAAGATATCCTTCCGTAACATGATCTCCTCTCTCGAATATATTTGGACTGATGGTTCTTTCTCTCTCTGTGGAAAACGTTTCAAGGACACAAGCTACTGGCAACTCAATTGGGATAACGAGACAGAGTGGGAAAGGAGGAGAGAAGTGAAGTGAAGGACAATCTCAGTAATGATCATGCGAATATATCTAGTTTTTGTGTATAGAAAGAATGCAATTGCTGGAATCTCTTTTATTCAACTTGAAACACGGCGAAGAAGAAAAAGAAGTTGCATCGGCTTGAGAATATGTGAAGTCATGATGATACATCTCGTCATAAATGCATTAGAGGTACATTTCGTCGTCATGATCTATGGTGTGACAGAGTATCATCGGAAATTGAGTTTACATAAGAATAATAGGAGAGTGGTGGATGCGTGGATTGAAGCCCATCCTGGGATTTAGCATTCATTCATCCATCCATCCATCCATCCATCCATCCATCCATCCATCCATCCATCCATCCATCCCGTTAGGTATCCCTGATAGAAACGGCAGCAGAGATCTATAGGGAGGGAGACAGAGACAAGATGCGATGAGGAGTTAATTCGACAGACGATCAATCACAGCCAAACCTTCATACACAGGCTGAACAGACGCGTTCAACATACTCAGCAAACTTAGCAGACACGGTAGACTCGATGGGCAGTCGAGAAGGGTGATAATGGGAATTTTCTTAGGTAAAATTAAGGGAGACATGGTGTAGAAAAAGTGACGAAGATTGTTTTAATAGGTTTAAAGAGGGAAAGGAGGAAAGAACATACCGCAAGCAGGTACTAATTCTGGATATTCTCTCATTTCGTTCAATCCTACATTCGTGACGTCTACGTCGAACGAAAAAGACATTATTTGTCTGGCGATGAACGAACTTATCAATTCTGATCCCTATTCGTAAGCTTTTCCCAAATATAGAGATATCAACTTGTGCTGCGGATTGGTGTGACATAAAGAGATGAAAGGGATGAGGATCATTGGACGGGTTTTGGGGATGGGACGGTTGTTGATCAAATCCGGACGGCTGGAGATGGTTAAATCCGGACTAATGAAGTTGAGGTATTCGCATACATGGAGGGACGAAGCAAGTGTAGACTTGATAGGAGGAAACGTTTGAGATAGAGACTTTAGCATGATGGAAAACCCAATGAAAGGCAAAAGAGGGTAGATAGAAGTAAAGGAGGAATCAGAACGAAGGAATTGACTAACCCAAATGACTAGAGAAGCTGTGAAAGTTAATGAATAAGTGTAAGGATCATCAGGTGTGGGTGAAAATCTAAAGAAGGGGTAAATTTCTACATAGAGTCAGCATCATCTATAACAACACGATAAACATCATATATATATGTATTTCTCAAAGAAGTTTCATCAGATGAGTGGAAACTAAAATTCCCCTCTTCCAAATCCTCATTCAATCCATTCTATCCCAATCTGAGGAACAGAGGGATGAACTAGATGGTTGACGATGTTCTTCACCAAGATTTTTCGAGATAATTCTGACTACCTCGTCCAAAACTTCAAAAACAAGTAGGATATGACATGTCGATATAAGAAGATTTATTCTTCGTTGGAATTGATGAAGCCTCTATCCGCTCGAGAAGGAGCCATGAACGAATATACAGGAAAACAAGGTAAGGGGTACTGGGAATGAAGAGTGGAGTGTGCAATATCAACCGAACACTCACGTTGATTAGGTCCGAAATGTAATATACTCAACCAACCTAAAAAACCTACCATAGTAACATTTTGTGCTAAACCACGACAATAAAAAGTAGTCGCTAAACTATCGGAATGTTCTTCCCAACTTTGAGGATAACCAATGAATATTTGAAGTAATCGATGATATTGTTTTGTCATTTGAAGAGGAAAAAGAATTATCACTGAAATGGAAGAAAGTAATTGGACCGTTGCGAATTGTGATGGTGAACGAAGACGAGCGAACTGCCCATAAGACATATTTCCTTTCGAGTTTGATTCATAATGACAGGTGCGTGACAATACCACAAAAAATTAAAGTGCGTACATCAACTTCGGGGCCTTCCGAGGACCAGCCAAGTGGGGAGAAGAAAGAAGTTAGGAAGATATGGGGAACGGAAGAATTGAGAGACAGGGAAAATTGAGAAAAGATGATTTGGAAATTAGGATCAAGATTAAGATCATTACAGCCCGACAGGAGGAAAACATAACGAGCTATGGTTTTCCCGGATAAGGTGATGTGAACACCAGAAAAAGGTAGTAGAGGTACGAAGGAGGTGAGAAGAATGTTAGAAAACCGCAGAGGGGGTATTTGAGTTTAGGACGTACCAAATTCCGAGTATATGTCTGTAATACCAACTGAAAGAACAATTTGTATACAAACAACAAAGCTCTCGAACGAACTTTTGAACTTAAGATATATAGTGAGATATATGATAATAATTGTACGGCTATTCATCAGATTGTTCACAAGGATACAAATGAAGGAAATGATTTACTGATAATCCATGAATAAACCCAAGTACCTGCATCTAAAGAAGTATGAGGTAAAGTTGAGAGGTATAAACTGGTGTATGCTGGTTTATGGTCAACATTCTCTTCTGTCTCTTCTTCGTAGTGTACCGGTGATAGATAAGCCAAACAAAAGTAGAAGTATTTGTCTTTGATTTCTGTGATCTTCTCATTTATGGTATTATGCTTGCAGCTACTGAAGAGATTTGAAATGGAGAGGACGAAAGGTGAGATGTCTAACGGGGTACAGTATGTTTCGTGTCTAATTTGAAGGGTCTGGTGGGGTGATTCAACTTGAGAGAAGAAGAGCGGAGATGAGGTTGAGGCTGGGAGGAATGAGAGAAAGAAGTGAATTTGGTACACACCTTGTCCAGCAATGACAGAGAAACAAGCAATACCAAGTGCACTCATGAACCATACGAAACGATACCAAGAAGCTGGTATACGTCTGGTGAAAGGTTGATTCAATAGACTATTCATGAGTTTTTGGTTCCAGAACACCTAGACACCGACCTGACTACAGACCCAGAGAATGGACAACTACATCATAGTACAGACGTAAAAAAGATTACAGCCAAGAGGGAGGGATAACAAGTTGGAATTTTAGTTGACTTGAGCGTGAGTGGAGATCGAAGGGAGATCAAGAGGGGTGGCATGGGAAGACTCACTTTGTAGGAATCGAAGGAGTAGGATGTCGATATACATGTCTTTTATCCCTTTTCAATTTGGAAAAACATGCCAGTGCGGGCATGAGCATAGCTACGAAACTGAGTGTTACCCAGAAAGCTGGGGTTAGTGCAATGGTCAATCATATGGTGTTGAAGATGGTCGTTGGTCCCAGAGTGAGAGCAGGCGTCGGGTATCAACTCCTGGATTGAAGGATGATAACATGGATATTATCAGGGAGAATGGAGAATGTCCTCTTTATATGTGGAGGGTGAGGATGGAGGGTGAGGGTGAGGATGAGAGATACAAGGAAAGAGCTGATATCGCTCATCTAGAAAATCACGCCGTGGTACAGTTTGATTCAGACAAGGACTGCTCGCATAAAGGAAGATGGAAAGACGGAGAGAGAGAGAAAGACTCTGACATGCACAGAGTGAGAGGTAGAGGTGAAGAGAGAGACAGTGAGAGAAGGTAAGAGAACGATGGGATAGACGAAGAAAACAAACTCACTTTTACGTTCCCAATCCACTTCATCAAAAGGATCATGAGACTTTCTCCTTTCTCTCAATTGAAACAAATCAAATTGATGTGCTATGAAACCGATTAAGAGTGTCGATATCCAGAAAAGGAAGTAACTGGCTTTACCACCTAATGACTGAGGCCACCAGTCTGGTTATCAGCTAACCTGTTCGTAGAGATGAGCTTCCCAGGACACGTAATCTGTGGGAAGAAGGGTGATTTTGACAGGCACGAGGAATGAGACATTTTGTGATACTAGCCTTTCAGTGCTGTAGGCAGGAGTGATCTCTGGTTCGAGGATGAGGGAGTTTGGGGGGATTGGAAGAAGGATGTATGAGGACAACGGGGTATGGAGATATGGGGGTGAAAATGGTAAGACGAGTGACTGCACCACTCACTTAGCCTATACAAAGAGAAAAGGTTCGTGATGAAAAACAAAGCTACGGCCAGGTATCCTCTTCTCTGTCAGTCACAGATTTGAGTTTGGAAACGAATGATATACCCAAAATACCTATCATGTTAGATTGAATCAAGACTTGACAGACAATCAATCTCCCGCTCGGATCAAGATTCCAAAAGGAGAGCTCTATACTTGAGAACAATCACATCGTGGGATAGGAATATGAACATGACTATCCAAACGGGTAAAAAACATGACCATGACTGTCCGATCGGTAAAATGTATAGAATGACTCACCAAGTAAGAAAAAACCCAAAATTAACATCTAAAGGTAAAACATCTTGCCCTCCCTCCCTCCCCGTCGAATTATCTTTCGGACGTTTTGGCCAATCTGGGAATGGATCATCTTTATATGGATCTGATACCGGGAAAGGCATCGCTACCCAAATCCAAACCTATCATCAGCACGTTCTTCAATTCCTCCAGGATTTTCTCACTTACCGCGATACAGGGGAATAAGACCAGGACGAAATGTCTAGTCCAAAATGATGATAACCATTTATCTACCGTTTTTCTTCCTGGCTTGTATATCAGCTGAGCTCAACTGTGTGATGTTGGATTTTATGAGGGGCTTACACGGAAAAACCATTTAGTCCAAGAATCGTTTTCTTCATTATCTATCATACTACCTTTCTTGGTTGATCTAGTTCGACCTGATGGTTGTCTCGCATGTCTCGTTTCTCCCCCGGCAGGCCTACGGGGTTGTGGAGTGGTTTGAGTAGTGCTGAGGTTGGGACTTGGACTCCAGGGTGATGCGGGTCCACCGGGTGATTGTAATAAAGCTGGTCGTTGACGTCCTTTTCTAGGAGAGTTTGTATGGTCTAACTTATGTCAGTTGAGATACGAGACGAGGGAGGAGGAAAAGACAAACCCCATAGTTTATCTTGTGCTCGTTCGCTACCTTTGCTCAACGGGGTGAACATTGTGTCGGGGCGAGTTCAGCTGGGTGAATACAAGTGTGGGATCACTCAGGTACTGCTACGTAGTAACTTGGGGATGCCCATGTCGTTGTTGCTGGGGAAGCTATCCGTCTCGTAGTAGTGTAATTGCTATGAGTAGAAGAGATGTATGACGTCAAGGAGGAAAGATGGGAAGGCAACGTTTGCATCTGTTTTCATGTTTCGTTTTGCTTCATACCTCACAAAGTGAGTATTTTCATATTTATAACTGTTTGTACGTTTCTTGACAGGGAGTAGCTACTAGCCACCTTGTACAGCCATAACAACAAATCGACGAGCTCATACGTAGGTTACATAGGAAATAACGACCGTCTTCGTCACGGACTACTAAGTACCACCTTTGTCCTTGTGACTCGTCCCTTGACGGGTTTTCAACTCAAGATCTCTGAGAGGTTCATATATACTCATCACAGCCCTGATCAAGCAAACCCTATTTCAGTGAGAACACGGCTTGGTGGTGGACATACCAGTTTGGAAGACATGAAATACAAGTCAGTTTATCCATCTCCTCCCACATTTTCCTACTCCCCACCTCACCTCACCCGGCCCTCCCTTCTGAGCTTTACACCCTCACTATATATCGGTAAGTACGGTTCAACGCTGTTCGCCTTTACTGACTGCCTTATTCAACTTACCTGGGCTTCGGACCATTCAAGACATCATGGTGCAAGTGCGTCGCTTGAACCACCCTCTGAAACGACGGTAGCCGTACTGACCGGACGTTTCTGTCCAAGCCAAAGTAACACCAATAAGTCATGTCAGAAATCTCACCGTTGCCTGAATGAAGCCTTGAAGATGTGGTCTCTACCTAGAGACAATCGTCTGCGACTACTAATCCAGCCGAGACGGCCTCTCAAAATGATCGGAATGATTCAACATTCGACGTCGTAGCAAACTTTGAACGACGACTCTCAAACAGGACGACTCTCAAACAGGACGACTCTCAAACAGGACGACTCTCAAACAGGACGACTCTCAAACAGGGGCGAGCGCTTCCTTCCCGACTCCCCGTCAATCTTCCCCGTTCCCTCAAACGGCAGGCCGGACGAACATCAAGCTTCAGGGAATGAATGATCCCTCCAACCCGCAATCCACCTGTACGCATGTCGCAACCCACATTTCACAAAGGTACACCGAACACCGGTCTGACGATCATGTTTATCATTCCGAAGGATCCTACGAACACGGGTCACCGAACCCCTTTACGAAGATCCCCTTGGTACCTTCCATTCTACGTACCTCACGAACCTCTCACGTTTCTTTGTGTCTTTCTTGTTCTAAATCTCCACACCTTACGTTACTTTGTCTCCTGCTTATTCTGAGTCATGAGACCTCACGTCTCTTTGTCTTTCTTCAGTATATATAATGCGCCTTCACATCTTCTTGTCCCCCCCCCCAATCGACTCGACAAGATCTACGATGGTTACTCTACCAACCAAGACGTCTACACTGATCATCGGCGGTGGTCCGGCAGGACTGGTATCACTCAAATACGTACTTGAATATGGTCCCCGGTGGGATGAAGGAGAAGCACCGGTTCTGGTGGAGATGGAACCTGAGATTGGTGGTACTTTCCGGTAAGTGATGCCATTTTAATCTCTTCATTTCCTCGTCTTTTCGACAGTTTTAGATTCTCGTCTTTGGAACCATTGGTCGACTGGCAAACGCGAGATGTGCTCGTAACGAACGCTCCCACTCCGTATTCTGTCTTCATTGCTACTTACTGTCGGATCTGTTGCTTGACAATGTAGTATCTTGTGGTTGTGTTATGTGTAGGTGGTAGAAAGCGATGGATGAGCTGATGAGTAGATGGAGAGGATATGAAAATGCCGAGTTGGTGAGTAGCAGACAACTTACTTGTTTTTCAGATCTCAGGTACGTTCAAATTCTGCTTCATCCAGCTTTGTATTCTATTTCGATTTCTGCATCGACTAATCGAAAACAGATATCCATCAGATACTCTTGATCATCCATCTCTTGTCAACTTTGTCGAATATCTTGAAGCTTATGCTCATCATTTCAAACTCTTCAACCATATTCATCTCTCTACCAAAGTCGTCTCACTTTCCCTCACCCATTCATCAGACGACTATCGTCATTGTGCCACAGTCCTCCGCACATCTCGTGAATCGAAGGAAACCACAAAATCTACAATCTTGGCAAAAAGAGTGATCATAACTACTGGTCTTCACGTCACCCCTAACATCCCTCCAATCCCCGGTCTTACCGTTCATCCCACATCAAACACTCCAAAATGGTTTCATTCATCCTCATACAAAACCCCTTCTCAAACTTCCCAGAAGAAAGTCTTAGTGCTAGGCGCAGGTGAAACAGGTATGGATATCACATATGAATCCGTAATATCTCGTTCTACTCAAACATGGTTATGAATACGTTCAGGTTTCCTATCATTTCCTAAAGTTTTAAACAACTTTAGAATATTCGGTATCAACTTTAATGGAAATTTACCAATAGATGGATTAATCACAAACCTTTTCGAAACTGCTTATATCCATCCTTGGGTTTCCGCAACACGTATCCGTTCTCATATTTCCGATTTTGTCGTAAGAGGTTTACTTTGGGTATTGACAGGTACTACGGCAGGATGTAATCAATGGGCAGGTGAATTACCTTTGGAAAAACAAGGAAGATCTTATGTTTTTCTAAACAAAAGTTCAAAAGCTATGCAATATATAAATCGACCTTTTAAAAAATTATCTTGGATACATAAATCAATAGCTCATTATGTTGATCTTCCATCACCTGAAGGATTAGAAGAAACAATAGTGAAGATAGTTCCATTTCCATTGAAGTTTGATCAAGATGGAAAAGCTATATTTCCTCCTCCACCAAAACATAGAGAAAAAGAGATTGCTTGGAAAGAAGAATGTAAACCTGAAATTGTGGTTTTGTGTACGGGTTATAAACAAGAATGGGATTGGTTAAGTGATGAATATCCTAAAGGTCCTGAAGAATGTGATATTAGAGGTATTTGTTGGAGTAAAGATTTGACTATTTGTTTCATAGGTTTTCTAAGACCTGGAGTAGGTATGTCATATAACCAATCCTCTTTTGATTATTCCATATCATATCTCTATTTCCTCCTTTGGAATCTTCATTTTCTTCGTTGAAGGAAACGTATGGTGGGAGAGATACTGAAGAAACATAGGTGGTATACCACCAATGGCGGAAATGCAAATTCAATTATTCATTCTTTTAACACAAGGAAAATTACCTATTCTGAGAGGTCAAGAGAATTATCATCTACTTCATTCATCAGAATCTAGGATTCAATACGGTGTAGATTATTCCGCTTACATGTCAACTTTAGCAAAAGATATCGGATCAGCTCCTGGTTTGTTTGAATTATGGAGGGAACACGGATGGTTTATCACTTTTGTTTATTGGTAGGTCTCCAAGCTCTCCTCCCCTGATGAAGAATTTTCCATTTTACCATCAAATATAAAGAGTCATTAAACATACAATGTCAACTAACTCACAGCTTTGGAGCCGCTTTCCCAACGTTTTATCGTTTACAGGGACCTTTCAAATCCTCTTCAGCACCTCTTATTGTGAAAACAGAAATATGGGAGACTATACGTCGTCGAGGATTACTAGGTAATTTGTTTATGGGTGTTATACCAATGGTCAGTCGTTTTCAAAACCCCTTTACCTTGAAGGTTCACGTGAACGGTTAAGATCAGTGAACAACTTGAGAGGGGTATACAAGGGTTAGTTGGAATGCTGATTCATAGATCTTTTATGCTTGGTTGAACTTACTTGTTTATCTTGCGGAGACGATCTACAGATTTCTTATGTAGTTTACTCCAAGGAGAAGATCTACAGCTTTCTTATTTAGTTTACTCCAAGGAGAAAGAAGTTCAGACGCAAGTGCTCACAAGATCCAAGCTTACTTGTGTAAGGACGCTTACATGCTGCTTGTTGTAAATAGGCCTACTATATATTGGACATACAGTCTGCTTATACTATGCATTCAGGATTCCTCTCTCTTTCTCAAGATCTCTTTCCAATGAGCCTACCACACTGTCAAAGCATAACAAAATCATCTCCCAGGAAGGATCCTGTGGACTGAGAACTAGTGTCAAAGTCAGATACTATGGCCGAAGGACTACTGGAGGTGCTAAAGGTGATTTTCCGAGTTGGAGTTGCACTATGTGTGCAGCAATATCCTTCTATAGCTGCCAGCAGACACTTCAAGGTGTGCCGGGTACCATCATGATTCTGATCATAAAGAAGCACAGGTATCACAGGAATGGCTGGCATTGAGGAGGCTATTGATTGTTAGCCGATAGAATCGGGCCGGGACGGCCGAACTGCCGTTAGAATTACCCCTTCCGTCGAATATTTCTCCGTTCAACTTATCCTCTGAACTTTATTCGATCGTCTCTGGTTTTATGCGTGTGAGTGGAATGTGATAAGTATAGAGACATGTAGAATTGATGCATGCTCTTTTTCCCCTCTGTATTATCATCTAATTATAAGCGTTAACAGATTAACAGTCGGAAGACCACATACCTCTGTGTATAACATAACAAAGGCAAGTTCCCATTTCTACTCTCCTCATAATGACCTCTGTGTCGTCTAAGATCTCTCTTGAGAACCACCCAAAGTTATCCCACGATCCAGCATCGTATGCTCCGTGGAGGAAGTCGATCGAGGTGTATCTACAGATAGGTGACGTGTGGAATATCGTCACAGGTAATGATACCGAACCTGGTCGCGTAGGGGTTAGATCGGCAGCTGAGAGGGCGGGATCAGTACCTCCTACCACGCCCGTCGAAGGGCAAGTGGCTGGTAGAAGGATTACTGGAGAAGAGTGGAAGGAATGGGAAAAGTGGCAAGCGAGGGAGAATAAAGCGCAGGGGATGATCAAGGGAACAGTGTCGGATGCTGTGATGCTTGATATATCTGAGAAGATGTCAGCTAAAGAAATGTGGGACTACTGCATAGCCCTGCATGTAACAGCGACGATCGAGAATCAAAGGAATGTCCGTCAAGCGTTGTTTAGCTATGACTTAAGGGACGATGCGACGGCCGAAGAAATGGCCAAGCATGTAGAGGATTTCTCGAAGACGATGTCCGAAGCGAGATTGGTAGGGTTGAAGTTTGACTCACAGGAACGAGCTGGGTTATTCCTCAATACCATTCTAGCACCATCCTACAGGATCATTCAGATCGAAGTAACATCCCTCATAGCAGAGGAAAGAACTTGGGAAAAGGTCTTATCGATCTTCAATAAAGAAACGGCGAGACGTAAAGCGCGCCCTGTTGGTAGAACCAATAGGAAGGGATTCGCGATGTTCGTCGAAGGAAATAAAGGAATGAGGGTGAACCGAGATAATATCTCTGATGGTCAGCCCAGAAAAGAAACCAGAAAGTGTTATAACTGTGACACTGTAGGACATCTAGCGAAGTACTGTCGTAAACCTAAAAGAGAGGATACGAACAGGAAGGAAAACGCAGATGGAAAGGATGGAGGTAAAAAGAAATGGAGGAATAATAATAATAATAAGAATAATAAGAAAGGACATACGGTCTCGAAGGATGAGAACCAGTCCAAGGATAACTCCAAAACCTCCTTGATGTATTCGTCATTGGATGGTGAACATGAGGCGTGGGCCGGGATGGCCATGTCGACAGAATCGTGGTTCGATGATGACGAAGGGTACACGAGTAATATCGTATGGCCCGAAGAAATTGAAAACCCGTGGGTTGAGGATAAGGATAATGAGTGGGTGGGATTAGCTACAGAGTCTAATGATGTAAGCCACACTCGTGTAATCCCCACCTGGGTAGTGGACAGTGGTGCTACTCACCACATAACTCCTCACAGGTCGATACTGACGAATATTAAAAGACTAGTGGAGCCGAGAGTGTTCGGACTAGCATCTGGCAAGTCAATGACGGCTTGGGAAACAGGTGACATTAACCTCGAACTAGATTCAGGACAGAAAATGGTACTGAAAGATGTACATCACGTCCCCACAGCGAAGATAAGTCTTCTATCCCTCTCGAAGTTACTCTCATGGGGATGGAAGGCGAATCTAAGCAGCAGTGGTGGATGGATAGGTAAAGGTAAAGAGAAACTAGGTTTGAGGAAACATGACTCACTGTGGTCGGTACGATTTGGCAGAGCGATGTCTGCCGCGATGATCGTGATATCGACACCGAAGGCGACTTCACCACTTGAATCTGAGCATCAGCGACTCGGACATATAGGTGTAGATAAACTAAAGAGTCTAGGTAGACAGGGACTATTGAAGAAGGACTGGGACACTTACAAGAACGATCCCTTTACAACCGATAAATGTCCCGCCTGTATGCAGGCCAAGATAACACGTCTACCGAAGAATAAAGAAGCACCAATGTTAAAAGGAGATGGTGAAGGAGTAGGAATGGATGTCGATATTGCTGGCCCGTTCGGTCCGGCGATAAAAGGTGAACGATATTTCTTCGTTGGTGTAGAAAGGGCGAGTCGAATTGTGTTCGCCGTACCGATAACGACGAAGAACGAATCGTCAGATATCGTTCGACAGTGTATCTCGAAATTAGAGAAACAGCTTGGTGAAAGGGTGAGGGTGATTAGGTCTGATGGGGGAGGTGAATTCGATAGCCTCGATATGAGGGAATTCTACCTATCAGCAGGGATCAACCACTACATCACACCAAGATACACACCAGAATTAAATGGAGTGGCGGAAAGAATGATACGTACCTTGAAGGGGATGGTATCAACGATGTTATTCGACTCAGGACTACCGAACGAATATTGGTTCTATGCTGTCAGATACGCCGCCATTATAATTATGAAAACCTCGATTGGTGTCAGTGGTAAATCAGGCTGGACATCACTCACAGGAAGAGACACGAACTTAGATAGCGTGTGGAGATTTGGTGAACGATGTTTCGTTCAGATACCAAGAGAGATAAGGCTGAAGTCGAACTTCACGATACCTAGGGGTTCGTCAGCCATTATACTAGGTCAGGATGAGGGTGTGAGCGGTTGGATCGTTAGAATGGACGGATCGGGACGAATCGAACACTCACGAGACGTTCGTCGCTCGACAGGACGAATGGTGGCTACTAGAGAGTCGCCAGATGTCATCCAAACCCCTCTTGACGCCATCGAAGTGGACCTAGACCCCGTCGTCAACGAAGAAATTTTCCCTGACGACCGCTCAGAAAGTGGCGAACAGGAAAATATCGATAATGAACAAGGAAATGATGTCGATAGAGACAACTCACCTAATACAGGCCCACAACCTACTGAAAGACGACGAGGACAGGGCATTTGGGGAGGAAATTGGATCTATGAGAACGATATCGTTGAAAATGAGAGAAATGATGAGGAAGGAAGAAATGATGGGGATGAGGGGATCCTGACGACACGTCACGGACGAATTATTCGACCCCCCCACCGTTTTGCAGGCCTAACAGACTCGTTCCTAGACTTTGGTCGCGAGCCTAATAAGTTAGTCTCACTCGCCTCTATCGCAGGTATCGAAAGTGATACTTCTCTCATTGATCCTATCTCTCCTGAAGAAGCAGTAAACGGCCCAGATGGTGAGAAGTGGCTGGAATCCATGGAGAAAGAGATATCTAACATCGAATCTAAAGAAACATGGGTGGAAACGGTGTTACCACCGGGCCGTAAAGCCATTGGATGTAAATGGGTATTCAAAGTGAAGACAGATTCAGAAGGAAACTTACTAAAGTATAAATCCAGACTAGTAGCTCAAGGATTCTCACAGGTACCAGGTGTCGACTACGAAGAGACATTCGCACCTGTCGGTAGATCGGGGTCGTTACGAATACTCTTGACTATAGCGGCCACCGAAGATCTCGAAATTCGTCAGGCCGATGTCGAAGGGGCGTATTTAAACGGTAAACTCGATGTAGAAATTTACATGAAGTATCCCAAGGGGATAAAACCGAAGCTGGATGTAATACCTTGAAGTTAGTCAAGTCTCTTTACGGGTTAAAGCAATCTGGTAGAACATGGTGGATTGAACTCGGGGAAGGATTATCTCACCTAGGTTTTTCAAGAATCGAATCAGATTGGGGTCTTTACTACAGACCAGAAGGGAAAATCGAAGGAAAGGGAGCAGCAATACTGCTAGCCTATGTCGATGATCTGGTATTAGCCACGAAGTCGAAGGAAGAAGCGAAGGAAATTTTCGATGGGCTAGGTAAAAGATGGATAATAACCGACCTGGGGGAGATAAGTACTATCTTAGGTATGAAGGTAACAAGGAACAGAGAAGAAAAGACAATATGGTTGAACCAACCAGCATACATCGATAAGATAGTTCAGAAGTTTCCAGAAAACGACTTACATCGAGACCGAAAAACGCCGTTACCTCTTACTGCGAAAAATCCTTCGATGTCGGAGGTGGAGAGTGAAATTCGACCATTTCAAGAATTAATAGGATGTCTACAGTGGTTAGCCACATGTACTCGACCCGACATATCATATGCCGCCTCATACCTTGCTAGGTACCTCACTAAACCGACGAAGAAAGTATGGGAAGAAGGGATAATGGTAATTACCTACCTTCGGTCCACTCGTTTACATGGTATTCGTCTCGGTGGCGAGGCTAGCGATCTAGCAGGATGGGTTGATGCCGATTGGGCAGGTTGTAAAGACACACGACGATCAACTACAGGTTGGATATTCATGATGAACAACTCACCGATAACCTGGAGTTCAAAAAGACAAGCTACAGTATCGTCGTCGACAGTCGAAGCAGAATACATCGCGATGGCTGAAGCAGCGAAGGAAGCTCAGTGGTTGAGAGGA